GCAAGTCAATGCCAACTGTGTTGCCAACATGCTACTTAAGGTGGTCCAAGACATATTTGTAACAGATTTGTCATTATATTTAGATGGGGTGCACCTGCACGGCTTCTTTCAGACCAAGGGAGAGAATTTGTAGCAAAAGTGAATGATGAAGTCTGCAGAGAATTTGGCATCAAACGATCAGTGACCAGCGCATATCACCCTCAAACAAATGGATTGGATGAAAGAACAAACCAAACTTTGAAACAACGTTTATCCAAACTTGTGAATGAACATCAGAATAATTGGTGTGATTTTCTGGATGAAGTTGCTTATTCCATTAGAACACAGAAGCAAGCTTCAACAAAATACACACCATTTTATTTGATGTTTGGGCGAAATCCAAATTCAGCTCAAATGGTATTTACTAAAATATTTACCTTATAGCTATATATATGTAGCATAACTCATATGGCCACAAAATACTCATGGAAAATTTTAATTGGCTATATAGATTACTGTTGTGGAGGATAATTCATCTGCTCCTGAAAGAACAGAAGACCAGCTAGACCAAGAAACTGGTGAAAGGATAACAAAATCTGAGGCCACTCGCCAGCAAGTATGTACAATTTAGCCAGCAGAGGGGTTTTTTGGGAGGACTTGTGGGTGGAAAAAATCAATTTTTTTGTTAACTCATAAACTGCCCTAGTCTATATTTGAGATTGAATTTATTATTATTACATATATGTAAAGCTGACAAACATTTATTTACAATTGTTGTACTTTTTTGTAGGTTCTGAGCAATCTTGAGCTTGCACAAGAGAAACAGAAAAAACAATATGAAAAGAGAAAAGGAAAGGGAGTCAGAACATTTGAAATTAAAGTTGGTGACACAGTTTATAAACGACAGATGAAAAATGTGTCCAGGAAAGGTGGAAAGATGGAACCTGGTTGGATGGGCCCATATCGGTACTAGAATAATTTAACAATTAGGATGCAATCTTGACCCGTCAATTGATGGTATAATTTCATTCAGGAAATTAACCACTTTTTAATTTTTTTTCAGGGTTATTGAAATGGACAATATGCAAAGGGCAACCCTTGTTTCCTTTAAGGATGATGCAGCACCTCTCAAACAAAAAGTACCATATGATCAACTGAGACCATATAAGACAAGTGAGCTTCATGATATACAAAAGACTGAACAAAGCATGTACTTTTCATCATCACCTGACAACATCCATTCACTAGTCAATGCTACTTCACCACCTTGCAGCAACACCACATCATCCTGTAAAGATAACAATCCAATATTGATTCATGACAGTCCACCGCTCATTTGTAACAGTCCACCACAATCTCACAACAGCAACAAGATTGATTGATATGAATGATTATGATAATATAAATGTGATGTACGCTTGTAGCCCATCCGATTCCGATCATCACCACAGTGACATTCAAATCTATATTTTAGCGACATTTTGTGCTGATTCCATCATACAATACAGACTATTGTCCAACAGTTACATGAAATCACTTACAGAGATCACATTTTAACAGGACTACCTTGTCAAAAGCATTTTTTCTTTGCTTTTCGTCCCATGTACCCAAAGTTTAATATTTTACGTAAATGTCCTCGGAGGATCGTTGAGACTGGGGGAGAACTGAGCCCGCTCTGCTACGTGCTCAGTTGTCCCCCTACACTGCACATGCGCACTTGTTACAAGGGGAGCACTCAGACTGGGGGAGCTCTGAGACCGTGACACCGGTTTGGCCGGTTTACATGGGCAACTAAAATTAGCTATAATTTAATAGTGACTGTATCCGCAGCTAACGTAATTTGAGTACTTTGAGTAATTTCCTTTTGGTTAATGTTTAACCTAGTTCGTTATATTTTTACTGGCATAAGTCAAAATGTCTATGTTGGGACAAACGTCTGGTTGCTTAGGTATTACAGGGCATGAAAACTTTGCACTATCCTTGGATCCCTAGTTCATTTTTATCAGTAGAATTTCATGATCAATTGAGTCAAAAGCTTTTCGAATATCTAAGGAAACTATACCAGTAATTTTACCCTCGTCCATATTTTCCAACCATTTATCACACATTTGAAGAAGTAGAGTTAATGTTGAGTGTTTTGGTCTAAAGCCAGATTGAAATTTTGAAATCAGTAAGTTCTCTGACAGATAGTCATATAGTTGTCGAAAAATTTCTTTCTCAAATATTTTGCTAACAATTGGCAGAATGGAGATCGGACGGTAATTTTCACACTTTCTCCTATCTTCGGATTTATAGATTGGTTGGACTCGTGCTATTTTCCAATCATTGACAAATTTCCCAGTATATAATGATAGATTAAAAATGGCAGTCAGTGATGGAGCAATTATATCCGCAGATAGTTTAAGTACTTTTGCTGGAATTTTATCGAGTCCCGTAGCTTTAGAAACCTTTAGAGATTTTAGATTATTCTATAATTATAATTCGGGCACATTGTATAATTCAAAAATTCGGGCGATTTTTTGTTGCCCCCCCAAACGAAGTTGCGCCCGTACGCCTATGCCGCTAAACTAAAAGAAGGCAAATAAATTTTAGCGTTTTATGGTAAGCGTGACTCGCGAGGAGTTTCTATTAACTTACTAACGTTTCGAAGTATTTAATTTGCATGAAATCTTTCGACCCTCCTAATATACGAGGAGAGGTTTTTCACGCTAAAATGTGACAATTTTAAACTCTTAAAAAAACATACTACTCTTTTCATCGGGTAAAGAAGTGGCGAGTGATTGCAACGGAACATATAAAAATTAAGTAAAAATCAAGGAACATTTAATTCAAAATATTTCACATGGTACTCCCGAGGGAGGGAGGGATCTATTTTAATAGAATATTTCATGTGTTCTTTTCAAACGTTCTTTGATTTCACTCTTTTGTGATCCCCCTATGAGGACAGCCATATGCAAATAAGTTGTAGAAACCTTGATGGTACTTGCCAGGTACGGTGACGTCAAAGACCTTTAACCTTTGCGAGGTAAATGCATGATTAGAAGTTGACCTAGGTTGTGTCATAGTAATTTTAGGGTAAAATGTGATACCTGTACAGATTTCACTCTCCAGTGACCATCCTAGCTAAAGAGCAAGTATTCAACACCCGAACTATTATGGCGCAGATAAATCTTGCTGTATACGAACGACTTCATCTTATCGGCACATGAAATAGAGTTTAAAAAAATTAGAAAAGTTGAATTTTATTATATTGCAGGAAGTCGATTCTTCGGACGAGAATCCATACCGTAAATACAAAAGGCAATGTATAAGACAATACAACGAACACCACGATTTTCTGCGTGAAAATTTTGAAGAAATAAATTCCGAGTTTAAAAAGAAGGCCAAACAACCTAATTGTATCCTTACCTTCCGGAAAACGGGTCAAGATGAAATCAGACGTAAATTTTTCTCTAACAAGAAAGCAGCATTGGAGTGGGCATATAACAGAATTAGTCGTATAGAGAAACATTTTGTCTGTATACAAACATGTGACAAAACAGACAGTCCGGTCCTCAGAGTCAATGAATTGACTGTTATTCCAACAAAAATTACCAAACCAAAAAGCAGTAAAGCTGTAGTTGAAGAAAGCAGTGAAGTTGTAGTTGAAGAAAGCAGCTTTTTTGACTCCGGTGCAGATGTCGCTAGCACTCAGTACGACTCTGAAAAATTGGAACAAATGATCCACTCGGCCACAGATATAAACGGTGAGATGGAGCCAATCGTTTATGGGGGACTAATAATTAGAGGTCATCAACTTCCAAAGCTATATGAAATTAGTGTGCAGGATGGTGGATCAAGTGCCATTGGACTTCCTCAAATGATTGATATAAGTGTGCCTAGGACAAACGAAATAATTCATCAAATGCGTGATATAATCAACCGCGAAAAAGACGCGGACGACAGGTTGTAAATATAATTATATGTATTATATAATATGCAGTGTTTTATTGGCGAATCCGCCATTGTGAAAAGCGATAATAGCACTAAGCCTATGCGATTATTCATGATAATAACACATGTGCGATTATCGTGTTTGATCCACCAATCAGGAAGCGGGAATATGCGCCTTGCGGAGTAAAAAAACCCTTATTATATAATAAAAATAAAAATACATGGATGTTGCTTGGAAGTATGGAACTCCAAAAAATAAATTTCATATTTCCGCGCATCTATGTATTGGGTAATAAGATAATAATTTTTAGATTATGCATGTATATTATTTATTCTCTATATAAATTTTATTCATTATTGGAAACATAGAGGTCTGTAAATAGTATTGAGTTAAGTCACTGTCACTAATCAAGTATCAGAGAAATATAAAAACGTCACTCAAGGCAACTGGCTAAACAGTGGCAGATCTAGGGGTAGTCAGAATAAATTACACATCTAAATTTTAAAGTAAACACCTTAATAACAACAGTATTGGTTATGGATGTGCAAAGATTAGATAAAACCTGCCTTCAGCTTCGGCCAATCAGCTTCCAGTATTTCCATGCTCTATGTCTCATAGTGTCTGAAATTCATCAAATTGTATTGAATTATGAGTGATTTTATTGAATTCATTTACAACTTTATATAGAGTCACTAATGAATTCAATTCCTTTTGAAGGTAGCTATTCTCTCCTATCTAATTCTCGAGACTCTACATCCCATTGAGCACACGTGATCATGCTCTAACCGTTACAAAAAGAGCACTAGTTAACAAAACATGAACTGCCGCAGACGACATGCATCCAAAATCCAAATGCATCCTTGTTCCCAGGATTTTCACGCACTACACACTTTCGGTGCACACAGTCCGCGAAAAACCTGGGAACGTGGTTGAGATGGCATGTCTCAAATTTTTAAGTTAACAATAACGTGGTATCATATTCCACCCAAATTAAACACGTGCGAATCTCACGGGATTTCATGCCAAAGTTTATTATATAACAAATTACGTAATGTAAACAGCTGACATCAAGCGTTGTGAAGAGAAGTGTGTGTGAGATTCAGTTTGCGCGTGAGAGTGACAGACAAGATGGTGGACATGTTGTTAACAATCTTGCTTACTGTATTGGCGACCTCAGATGCACACAGCATCAGTCGTGTGCAGCAAATACCACTACAAATGAGCAGACGTGTCAAAGATACTCCACCGTACCCGCAGTGGCCTCCGATGTTTCAACAAAGCTTCAACGAAACATTCACCTACCCCATCTTGGGCTCTCACAGCACCAGCGGGACCTATTACTACGATTTCGAAAACCGAAGGTACAAAATTGTCCGTGAAAATGGCCGCTACGACAGGTATTGCGGGTTCAACGGCGAACACACGCTTAGCGATACTCCGTGTACGCAGCTTGTTGTCAAAGGACAGAGATGGCTGATTTATCCGGACAAGAAAGAATGCTGTAAGTGTTGTACTAGTGAGCAAGGTTGCGGGGTTCTCTTCCCAACCTGGATGGTAAACGCAACGTTTCTTGGCAAGGTAAGTCAACATAGTTATCTTGCGTAGCACTTTGTATAGTAAAAGTTTTTTTTAACGTATTTGCGACAGTGATGCTAGACTATACAAAAGTATTTAGTTCATGTTGGTGCCTGTTCATTGAATTGTTGATTTAGGCTTTCCGCTCCCTGTAGGGAGCCAAGCGCTGTTGTGCTGACGCATTCGGCCATCTGTCAAGAATTAATTGCGTAAACCATCAGATGTAAATCTACACCTATAGTTTCACACAACAGCGAACAAACAAATCCTGATTTTACAACTTATTCGCAGTGGACGTGAATTCGTTGAATCCTATTGCTGTATGAAGTGAATTTGAGTAAACCGAGGAGAGAGAATCAAACGACGGTTTACATTCTTCAAAAATATATATTAACTCCGGTTTGCTTCGCCGCTGACGATGTAAACTTGATTAATCGGCTTTATATCACGTGCAGTTGTTTTATTACGCAATTAGAAACCCATGCAGTGTTAGCCACGATACTTGTGGGGCAGTTTGCCTTTAAAAACAGTCAATTTCGAAAGAAATTGATAATGATCATATATTGGCCTATCTTTAAATATCGTGACAATTGGCCAAAACTATCAGGGAAAAGTTGTATGAAGCTTGAACCACATTTTGCGTAGCTCAAACGAACGAGTAACTCGAACGATTCCGATTGTTAGTCAGTTAAGTTTTATTGGCAATTCCATGGTCACAACATCTGAAATGGGCTAGTAAATTTACATGCAGGCTGAAACGGTCTATTCTTTTATAGTTAACACTTAACTTTTTATTCCACCCTGCGGCCCAGGCTGACTAGACCAGTCTTATTTTCAAGTGGTTTTCGCCCGCTTGGATTGTTTAAAACTGAAAATACTGTCCTTCAAGTTTTTTCTCAATAGACCATTTCAACATCGAAACTCGTCCTCGAAATACTTCGAGTTTTGCATATTCAAACCGTTCTGACCTACTAGCTGATGTAGCTCAGTTGGAAGAGCATTATTACTCATATGCCATTAGACTAGCAAAACAAACTTACCTCAAATTTTGCAGGTTGACGATAGAAAGACTCATTAATGCAGCTGGAAAAGGCATCCTAAAATAGTAAATTAGAAAACTTGGTTTCGTAAACGTTTAAAACGGTGAAAAATACAGCCACGCCAACTTGGCAAGTTTTGTATAAAGCAAAATTGCGCACAAAAGAAGCGTTGTAATATTTCGAAAAACTTTCCAATTGATCAAACATGCCAAACTTTCCAATTTTTTTTCCATTTCGGATAATGATCTTTCAGGTCACAACACAGTACCGATGAACTATTCTATAGAGGCGTAGTCTATATCAGGGGGACGAGCTTTCTCCGATTATCAAAGTTCCCTCACTTTTTTACCTATTTGTAACATATACCCCCCTGATAACAATATTATTAGCTAAGTATACCGGGGGGAGGAATGGAAGTTTGAAGTATTGTTAACTCTTTGTTAAGGTGAAGTGGCATGACGGTACGATGGTGTACAAGTGGGACAAGCAGGGACTTCAACATAACTATTATTACGAGACGATAGCTGATGACCCTGAGGACAGAATCTTGCTTCAGATCGACCAGCAGCCCAACGATGATCAGATATACAATCGGGAATCTCGTAAACTGGTGATTGAGAATCCGGACGAGGTATTTCAACTACCGTCATACTGTGAATCAGCTGGAGGATGTTCATTTTTCTCTACTTGCCATGCAGTTGGATAAAACTCTCTGGAACTTACATCCGGTCAACCTCAAAGTCTAATCAGTTTACGAATGATATCACCAATTACTGTTTTTTACAATTTCTAACTGGGTTTTTGTTGATTTTTTGAATGATAAGGCAATTTTATCCGTTGGTTGGTTGGATAACCAATTGAAGGTTAATAAATTTTTTTGAAAATGTTTCCACTTAAAATGTTTCCACTTGTGCTCGTTTTGCTGTACGAAGCCAATGTGATTTTTCGCATAATATACAGTACGTAGCTAGTAGCTACGCTCTTTCATATTCGTAGTTCTTATAAGCATGCTCATGCAGATTAGTTTTTTACCACAAAGAACTGGAATGTTAACCTCCCCGGGGGGGTACATATTTCACACACTAAAGGACATAGCCCTAATGAAGTCGTGACGTTTATGGCTTTGTGCCCCATTTATATCGCGTTATCCAACATTAACCTTCTCTTTAACTGGATCTTCAATTTATAAGGTAAATTTTAAAAATGAACCACTAATATTACACTGTGCGTCAAAAAATACATATTACAAAACGACTACCTCTAAAATGAGGTCAAAAGAGTAACTGGAATTTTTGTTTTAATCCCAAGCCTGCTGCAAACTTTGGCTATTTTCTACATGTAACGTTCGTATTTATTTATGTTTTTTACCAGCAAGCTGTCGTTTTCGTACGTGTATAACAATAGCGGTTAAAAAGACCAGCAACACTTGAGTTAGCACAACAACGGTTAAATAACCAGTTTCAACGTAGTTCAAACCAAAAGCTGCTGCTAATGGATGGTGGGACAGGTCACCAAGTCTCTCCTTAAGGTATTCACACTCATCCGTCTCACCTATAGTCAAAAAAATTTCAAAACATGTAAAAAAAACACGACCAGCGATATACTTGAATCCAGAGTTCAGAAACAAATGCAAGTTGCAAGAAAAATTGCACTGTGTGACTGGACCTTTTGTAATGACTTTGTAATAAAGTCGAATATTTACAGTTTCATCCTGTTGTGTCTTGTTTGATTCAAATATTGATTCTCAAGATGTCTTTTTGAAATTTGTTATTACTTTACTTTAGAGCATATCATTGCGTTATAGGCCTATATTTATTACAAAATTACTTGCCATCCACTTACCGTCGTAAAGTTGAAAAGTAGCGTTCGCAACACGTGTTATTTGGGTGTGACAAAGATTGAAGACATCCAGTCGACACGATCCAACATAGTTTTGACGTAATGCCCCGGAACTAAAATGATATGATTTCAAAACCATAGTGACTTTTATGTGAAAATCAAATTCCCAATATATTTTAGATTTGCCTTGACTATATCGAGCATTTTACCTACTAACCAGTTCGCTGGAAGCTCTATCTTCCAAGATTTGCCTTTGCGCAGTTTACTGATGGCTTCTAATCGTTCAAGAAGCAGCAACCGCGGAGAGCAGGTCAAATTTAACATATACACAGAGAAGAGGCCAACCTGTGGGTTTAAAACTGTTAATAATTATTATCAATGCGATTAGGAATGTTATGAACTTCCAGAAATTGAAAGGAATATGTTCACATCTAACACATGCAAGTTTACTTGCCTACGCGCGTATAATGTGATTCAGCCGATATATGCAAGAGTTTACTTTGATTTCAGCTTGTGGCTAAATCGCCTGCAGCTGCGAAGTTATACTAGTTATGGATATCAAGATATTATGCACCTAATGTATGCTCCCGAGGGAAATAGTGAGTTTTGTTTTCCCAAGGGTCTGAATGTTTCCCGAGACGAAGTCGAGGTAAACATTGAGACTCGAGGAAAAACAAAACTCACTATTTCCCGAGGTGTGGCGAACATCAAGTGCTTTGTTATATATGAACAAAAGCATACATGTTACACGACAAATTAATTTCAAAAAACTTTGTTTTGACAATATGCGGGAACCATTTTTTCTGGCGAAAACATTGCATTTATTTAAAGTCATGTGACTACGAATGAACCAATCACATTTAAAATACACAGCACCTATATAACAACACATATCAAATATAGCTACAACTTCATGCATGCAAGTACACTGACCTTCGTCGTCGTATCGTGTATATTTATCAGAACAACATCTTTCCCTGCCGTTTTTCTTTCATAACTAAACTGTCCTTGTTCGTCTATCAAAGGAGAAGGAATAACCAGTGATAACAAATGCGAGTGAAGAATTTAAACCTAACTAATTTCTAGTTAACTGAGCGTGAGATCTTCATCGAGGTACATCAGAGAGGTACCTTTCAACATTTTTTTTTGCGTTTGTATAGAATGAAAGCGTTCTATAGTGTATGCCGATGTAAGCATGTTAACGTTTTGTAACGGTACACCGAACAATCTGAGTGTCCGAACATATGGTTTGGTCAGGTTTATTCGATTGTGCATGAAAACTTCAAAATCAAGGGGGGCATCCCTTGGCCTCCCTATTTTCTAGAATGATCAGTTCTAATTGTAAAATGAGTAGGCCAACATATTCCTTAGATTTAGATTCTCGGGGGAAATTGATCGCGATTGAAAATGTCCACAATACAATTTTCTTCGATGAATATCCTCCAGACCATAAACCTTCCCAAGGGTTGTTGCTCTCAACTTACACCGGATCTAGTCGTGGCAGCGAGAAATCGGGAGTTCTAGTTTTTTTCTTAAGATGATTTATGGTCAAAAACTGAGTTCACCGCCAGGATCCGTCAACACTATAATGTATACATCATAACTTTTGGTTGTGTTATACTTACAGTCATCACAAGGATAATCAAACAAGCCATAGGGCCACACAGGAACATCAAAATTGCACATATCTAAAGCATTCGTCTTTTCCGACCATTTCGTGATCACACATTTATGTCGTACTAGCTCCGGGGTCTTGTGTATCTCCATCTTTTTTACTTCAATTTTAAATATAATCATCTCTTTTTGACCCTGTTGTTAAAACAAACGAGATTTGTTTCGACAGATATATGGTTCTAGAACAGTAAGATGTCTTCAAGAGAAAACTGGTTGAATTAATATCTCTTATCATGCCTGTAAGCCAAATGCATTAAAAACAATTGATAATCAGTTAAGTGAGGTTTACCCAGGCTTAGATCAGAGTAAATATAATTGCAGTGAGTTACATACAGGCCTTAAAGTATAGGACATCCTTGGCTCATCAATGAGTTTTAATGCAGGGCAATTCAATGCAATCTTGTACGTCTCATTTTTCTATGAAAAAAAACAGCGAGAGCATATATAGCAACAAGTTATAACCATCCATATAGTTTAACCTAACTTCACGACGGGACTGAATATTAATAGCCTATTCTGTGGCTGGGATAGGAACCTCTTTCTCGTTCACTATATTGTGTATACTGTATACTAAGTAAACTGCGTGACATTATTTGTATAGGAGAGCTGTATAAATTGCTATTGCTCTTGAATCAAGGATGGAAAATTTACACGATTTTCGATTAATTTCAGCCAGTAAACATGCATGTCATATACTTAAATGTTGAATTTTTCTCTGGAAAACAAAGGCAGAACCATGCATACACCTATAACCGAGAACGCTAAGAATCGATCGGTCCTAAAAACTGAAAAAACCTCTAGCAAAATTTAGGTAATAATACACAACCTTTTTCTTGTTTACAATTTCTGCTTCCAAAGCTGCGAACGTAAGCGAGGGTAATGGTAAGAACCGATAAAACCCACAATTTGGACGCTTTTTCCGTTTTCGATTTTTATCTTCCTAGAAAAAGACCAAGTCCACCAGTTAATTTGGCTTGTTTGGTTTACTAGGCTATATAGAGCAGTACATAGAATCGGTTTAATAACATGCACTCTGTGACTGTAGCTTCGCATAGTCATATATTTTAAAAACAATGTAGCTTTAATTTTGCATTCACCCCTTTAACTCATAAATGAATCTATGATTTGATCTTTATGACATTGCTAAAAACTAGGAGAGACTGAAAATAAAATACTATCAGTACTAAAAATCAAGACAGTTAGAATATTCTTACCTTTTCGTTTGGTTTGCTGTTCGTTGCAAACGTAAAACATATTTGAAGAAAAAATAACACACACAAAAGTATTGTAAAAGGTTTTCTTTTATTCATTTTTTGGTAAATTGCTTTCCTTTCATCCCTTTTTTATAGTTGTTTTGCGAAAAGAAGCTTGTTTCGTAAATAAATTTATCGAAACCTCATATTTTCTGTTTTTGTCTTTTTGAGATCTTGATTTGTTTTGCCGCCACATCCATGCGCGTCCGCCTGTACCTTATGTCAGTGGTTATTCTCGCTCCGGTACTTTATGTACTAAAGTGAACTAAAGTGTACTAGTCTACAAGTGTACTACTACCAGTAGCCTAGCAGCCCAGAGTGACGGCTTCGCAAAGGAAATATTGTAACGGGAAAATGACGCGTATTGCCCGTGAATCGTTGTGCTCTAAAGGCTAGTTTCCACTCAGGAAAATTCTCCTTTGGATCGAACAGGACAGGAAAGTTTCCTTTGTATAAACGCCGCCTGAGAACTCACCGACGAAGGAAATTTTCCTGTCCGTTCCGATCCAAAGGAGGTTTTTCCTGAGTGTAAACTAGCCTTAATACAGTTTTTAGGCTTGGATTTTATTCTGATTTATGGAGCTGGTATTTTCAGCAAGAATATCCCGATTAATTACCGAATTATCACCACTGATTTTGACAGTTTGCTTTTCTTGAACTAACCTTTGAACTTTGAAGTAGCAAGTACACCTCAAATACTTTGCGCTGCAAAGGTTCAGAGAATTACAAGTGATACATGTAGTTTTGTAGCGTAGAGTTGTCAAAATTCAGGTGTGGCGAGACCCCAGACAATTGACCCACAAGGGACATAGTCATAGAGATATAGACAGCTACCTGTTGGTAAGTTGTTTCTTTCAATGTTATTATGATATGATTGAGCAACAGATGATCAACTTACCCAACAGCTGTTGCGTTACGCCATTGGATATGTCAAAACCACTAGTGTACAAAGCATTTCTAATATTGAATATTTTGCTAGCGTAAATATAGCTACTCCTCTTTTTTCGGAGGACAAGGTTTAAAAACTTAATCTAATTTCTACAAACTTTTATATGTACAAGCAACTAGGTTGATCACGGCAAATTTCAGTTTGATCAATAGTCAATGCCCGAACCTCACTTGAATTTGGGCATGCATGTTATATTTGTCTAGCCAGTAAGCAGAACAAACATTAAGATCATTGTTAAAATACACTGTCATTAATGTATGAAACATGACATATGTGATATAATGTATCACAACTCAACTCTTTTATCATTGAACTAAGTAGAATAGCGACGTGTTTATCAGATATAATCTTCTATATGTACACATGTTTTCTCTTGTCCGAAACATTCTCTGAACTTCACCTCTTCGAGTTGCAAATATGCAAATATGCGAAATTGTTCATTGCAAATATGTGAAATTTACGAAAATACAAACACTTTTTGGTTGAATTTTTTTAAAAGCCGTCGGGATCCCATCACCCTGCCCTACGTCACAGCAAACACGCAATATGATTGGCTTAGTTTTGAATTTTGAAATTTGTTTACGTTAACGGACTCAACAAGCCAATCATATTGCGTGTTTGAATTACAAGTGATACTGATACATGCAGTTTTGTAGCGAAGAGTTGTCAAAGTTCAGGTGTCACGAGACCCCAGAGAACTGAGTAAGAAAGTAGTACATTTCTAGACAGTTGAACCGCACGGGTCATAGAGATAGGAGCTACCTGTTGCTGAGTTGTTTATCAATGTAAAAATAATTATGATTGTGCAAAAAACAAGGCAGGCAGGTAAAAATATTGCAAGTCGTAAATTCAGCCTAAAGTAATGAAGTGAAGAAGGCTCACATATTATCAACTTACGGCGGTTATGTCACGCTATTGGATATGTCAAAACCATGAGTGAACAAAACATTTATTATTATGAATATTTTACTGGCGTGAATGTACTTTTTTTTCTTCTGGAGGACAAGGTTTCAAAACTTCAGTAATCTAACAGTCTACCAACTTTTTTGTGTACAAGCAACGACGTTAGAAGAACCTGGACAGTTCGATCAATAGTCAGCAAATTGCAATTAAAAAACGGTTCAAAAATAATGTAGCCCGAACCTCAGTTGAATCCGAGCCTGCATGTTATATTTGTCAAAGCAGAACGAATATACAGTGCAGTCGTTGAGTTGATTAGAAAATCTTCGTAACTCTAGGAGGTTCAGGGCTTTTCGATTTGGGACGCACCATGATCTGACGTGGAACTTCTATTGCATGTAAAGAAAGAAATAAGCATGAAATAAGGTTAAAGAGAGAGACGTACCTCGCGCAGGTTAAATCGTGAAAAAATGCCTAGCTCGAAAGAGAAAATTTTTCAGGTAGTCAGACCACCATTTGTGAGGCGTGAGCTTTATGGCAGGGGGTCTAAACATACATTTTACACGTGGAAATTTTAAAACCCGAAATTTTGTAAATGCTATTTCAGATATTTTGGATATTTTGGAAGGCTATTCCACACAATTCTATTGACTTTAGTAGTTATCTAGAGTAATAGCTGAAGTTCTTTGCTATTACTCTAGAGAGCCTAGGAAGTAAGGGACCAAATTGATTGTGGAGCCAATCGTACTTTTACAACACAGAATGCGTCGCGTCGTACAGTTCACGAATTGATTAACTGATAATGCATGAATATCTATGTTACAGCGTTGGCGGGTAGCTCGACCAGATTTTTCGATCAGTCAATAAATATAACAATATGTAACAAAAAATATAAAAATATAAAAAAAATACACACCTTCCTTCTTAATTTTTTTAAGTTCACCAAGAAAAATATTATCCAGTTCTTCATTGCTGTGTTTAGGCAATTCAATATCTATCGTACCAACCTTGTCTTTCTCCACACCATTTTTGACACTCTCTTGAACTAACTTGAATGATAACATTATTTCTTCTTCGCTTCCATTGTCAACCAGCGCCTTTGCCATATCATAGGTCTTTTTTTGCCCGGCTCTCTCGTCCGAAACTCGTTTTATTTCTTTCTCGATTGCCTGCTTTTTTACGCGAGCCACTTTTTGTTTTTCTTCAATAAGAGTTTGAACTTTTTTATTCAAGGCATCCTCAACAGATTTCAAAATTCTATCTTTTCTCTTACGTGCGTTATCTTTCTCCCTTTCTAATCTTAACTCTATTCCATTTGAGTCAAGGTTCAGTTTCTCATAGTACTTGTTTTTGCTATTCTTTTTACTCTCTAGAGCCGTGCATATCGCCTTTAGTTCCTCTCGTTTCCTCGCTGCGATATCTTCAAGTGGACTGCAAACGTGTTTAGGTTGAAAATGTTCGAAAACGACACAATATGTGCAGACTAATTGGTCGCAAGTTTCACAATAAAGCTTCAATTTTTTTCTTGGATGTTTCTTGCAGCACGACTTCCCCTTTATCTTTAATCTATTTTCAGGCTTGGATAACTCTTCCGTCGTAAGAACAGCATGATCTCTAAAACCAAGGTATTCACTGTGAGCTTTGACGCATTTCTCACACAAGAAATGCTCACATGTTATGCAACGACCAACAGACGATTCTTCACAATGTGAGCAAGGTACGCATTTATCTGAATGTCGAATAGAGATCATTTCGACCATGTTACAAATGAAATGGTTTCTTGTCATTCCTGCCACCCCATCTATGAATTGAAAACGATTTCGATTAGTAAAAATAACATAATCATAAAACAGTGAGACTATACAGTTAATTGTCAACTCGATATCCAGAGCCATAGATTCCGATTTTCTGTGTGAACAATTTGCATCATCATAGTTTTCTTTCTTATATCAATCTTTTTATACCTTATTGGAAATTTGAGAAAGTGGTCTTATTTAATTTTAATTTTTAATTTTTTTTTATTTTTTTTTCAACGCCTTACATTTTGCATCTCAGCTAATACTAGGACTTAAAAACAAGTTCGGAAAAAGCCATCTTTTTGTGAGGATTGAGAAATTGGAAGAGAATAAATGATACAAGATAGCAGTTGATGTATCGTGTTGTTGAAGTTGCCTATACCTTAGCCGTAGGATATATTATACTATATTATGACTGCATTGCTTGAGATTGTCAGAGACGCCCCTTGCTTATTGTAGACAACAAGATTTTAGCAGCCTGGTTATAAAGGTTGCACTCAGTTACCATATAGAGATCGGTGGTCAAGGAAAGCGTGAGCACGCGGGGGTGCCTGGGAAGGACGCTTCCTTCATCAAAACAAGACGCCTGTTCTGGCGTTAACTCCGGCGTGGCGCGCACGTGCCAGTCTTCAATATAAAGCTTCTTCTGCACATAAACAATACAGTTTATATTCATTTAGATCCCTTGCGAACCTAAATGTTGTTCGATCGCGAAATTCAGAAACACATCGTACTTTAAAAAGTATAGAAGTTCAATTGTTCAAAAATGTAAATAAACCGCATGATGCATTCACTTTGTCTTATACTTTGCCTTTAGAATTCGTGCTTATATAGTTATATTAAGTTTTCAATCTTGCGCAAACTGCGACGTGTCAACGCGCCCATACACGACCACATCTTGTTAAACGGCGAAATAACAGCGATATTATTAAAATAGGACCAGAATCTACATGTATTAAATATATTCTTACTCCAATTCAATTTAATATTCAATCTAAACTTAATCGAACAGCATCAAAAGAACAGTTTATTTGTTCCTCAGTATGAGGCTGAGATTCATACTTTCATAGTATATTGCTGAGTAAATCAATGACGTATATGTATCAACTTCATCAAATAAACGATGGTTTTGTTCATATTTTCAATGTTTTAGTGCATTTTTATTTCAAGTAAACCATTCCCCATTGGGCTGCCAGCATATAGGAGAGTTCACTGGTACTGAATGGCTAAAATATGAGCGAGAGATCCCTACATGGCCTATATAAACGAATTTCCACAAACACTGACACAAATATGCCATGTTTATTGTTTAAAAATATATTCTTTATCCACAATTTATACATATCAAAACTTCAAGTTTTGTCTTAATATTTCTTGATATATAGCCAAGTATGTTTCTTACCTTTGTTCAACGTGAACTTGGTACGACACACAGGACAATTTAATTCATCTCTGGGTTTTCCATTGACAAAGTTTTCCAGGCATTTCTTACAAAACGAATGCAGACAAGACAACGTCCGTGGGTCGTCAAATGTCTCCAAGCAAATTGAACACTCGAGTAATCTTTTTAGATTTTGTTTCTTGTCTTGCAAAGGCGGGCAGCTAGCTGAAGCCATTCCAGAATATCGTTGTTATAGTTAAGTCTTTGGATACTTTCGAGAGATTAGTGTTTTCTTAGGTGCAGTAATCAGTTGGGTGTTGCTACGGTTGCAGAAAAGGCGGAAGTATTTTGATCCCTTTATGTATGCATGGATCCTTATGTATGCATGGAGCCCTTTACGTAGTATGCATAGACGAGGTTAACTTTTCTTCAATTTCTTAATTGAAAATGCATGCATGGGTATATGGATTTCACCCACCTTCTTGCACAAAGGCAATGCTAATTTCCAAGCATGAAAGCCTGAAGTATAAATTACGATTGGCACAAGCAAGATTTGTTGGCTCACGACCTTTGTCTGCACACAATACTTACGGTTGTACAACCCTGAGCCAGTGAACTCTATCACGTGAACTCTATCATTTGAACTCTATCATGTGAATTCGACCTCCATCTTTGAATCAAACTGGAAGCCGAAATCGAATTTAAGGACCAGTGCCAGTCCATTTCTATTTCCTATGTCGGCACTGCGTTATCGTATCACCCACAGTTATCGTTTTAATAAATTCTATTGCATACACGCCTAAAAACGATCAGGTTAAATGGTTGATGCGATATTGATTTGAACAGGATGGAGCAATGTTGTGCTGCCCACATTGTTCAGAGTTGTTATCAACATTGAAAAATATTGTCACACCCGATTCATTTTCAACAATAATGTTCAATGTTGTTGACAATTGTGAACAATAATGGCATCACAATATTGCTCCATGCTGATAAACCGCAGGCTCAGAGTTTAATTTTTATCCGTGTTATTATCTAGATAAATACCACTGCCTTGCGTGCATGGTGGCTCAGTCGGTAGCTTGTTTTCCCCCCGGAAATTTGTGGTCCAGGCCATAGGAATGCCCGATAAAAGATCTCCGCAAACGAGCGAAACTTGCTTCGCGACAAGGCGGCGTAGTTCGAGTTATTATGTCCGTAGAAATTTATTGTTTTCACAGTTAATGAACTGAAAATATTAGCATAGCGGGACGAATCGTCGGCTAGCTACACCATCAAATATAGAAAGTAACATGAATAAGTTTCAGGCATTTCATTCCAAAGTGACGGGTGGTAGATGTATTCATATTCCTCATCAAAAACGGCCAACGACATAATAGCCCTAGTTATTTTCACTCAGGACAGTGCAGGTTGAAAAAGTTGTTGCTTTTTTCTTTGTTCGGGTAGTAAAGCAAAAAAAAACCCAAAACTGGATTTAGAGTATAACCTTCCTAGCAGCGTGCAGAATTTCTGAGTTGTCATATAGGTTGTGATGTATCAAAAAATTATTTTCGATTACCTTAAGGCTCTGTTACACGGTGCAATTTTTCTTGCAACTTGCAAGGCAATTATTCTTTTGAGAGATGTAAATTTGGCAACTGCTGAACTTTTTTCTTTATTACGCTCCATGGCGCTCATTACACTTACATTTTAAAGACTCTTCACTAATTTACATCCCTTTAAAGTAGAATTACATTGCAAGTTGCAAGAAAAATCACACCGTGTAACAGGGACTTTATTTACCTATGAATTTGCATAGCTGCATGCTCAGGCTTTAAAAAAGCTTTTATGAGTTTTTTAAAGCACGCTAATATCATTATAGCTAACTGCCAGGTTCTTGTTAGATACAGTGGCGTGGTCAGCCCAACAATTTAGTCATGCTATGCTAATATTTTGGTGTTCATTGACTATGAAAACAATGAATTTCTAAAGAAATTAATAATGATAATAACATAAAATATCATGACTAAATCGTCAGGCTGGCTACGCCACTGGTTTAATAGATACTAAATTCACCGATTACCTCAGCGCATTTCGTGTTGTTTAACTGCTCTCGGCTAAGTGGGATCATGTAAATATATGACATTTCCGTGGTTCTGGCAGACATACCGCGGGGCAATATATTTATATTGCCTCGACCGCGGAACAATTCATATTCTTAAAGAATATAAATATTGCTTCGCGGTCAGAGAAGAAGTTTCATGAATCGAACTATCGAAGCATGTTTTCGACTTCTTGTTGTATTTTTTGGTCGAACGGAACGCCCGAGTGACCGCGGGCTAAAAATAGCGCAGTAAATGGCCTGGCAACAAGTCGATCGAGTTAATGAGTTTTATCGTGGTTAGTGATTGTTGCGGTATTCGCTAAACAGAAAAACAGTGGCGTCAAGAGCATCGTTAGGTGGGTGGACATGCATATTTATATTCATGTTCACAGACCGTAAAAACAATCCATTTAAAATGATGAAATGAATAATGTTAAGCACGAACCTCTGAACACGAACTATCAAAATATCCACCCCCTTCCCCCACTTATCCAGCTGGCGTACACCGTGTACCTATACTCGATTTTCTCATAGACACTTGCGAAGAGATGCAGTAAATGGCCGGTGTTGTGTGTAGGGCCTGGGGCGCATATTACGTGGTTTGAGGGTTGTAGTATGGTTTTATAGCATAGTCAAACAAGACGGATGGGCAAGATTTTCAAGATTTTGTGAATAGTAGGCAATTAAACACGAATAATTATTATACAAGGTGTACCTACTAAATTGTGCTGTATATGAAAGTTTAGAAATCATTAACTCTTTAAACAACCTGTAAATAGATATTTAGGGTTTAGTTTGGTGGATAATTCAGTGAGTAATATATTAACTAACGTCTATTTGATTAATATTATACATATAAAAGTTTAGAAATTATCATAAAAATAGGTTTTCGTGCGCGCACGCAGATGAAAAAACGCGGCAGATTCTAGCACGCACGCAATAGCAAGCTGCTCGTGTCGTCTTCGGAATTCTCCGACTGCCATATTTGGGAATGTAGCAATTTGACCCCGACGAAGGAGGACGACGCATAAGCAATATTTTTTTGTTGAATTTCGCGAGTAAACATCTATATTTTGGGCGATTTTAGCATGGAAGCTGTTGCTAAATTTCAATTCAAGGCCACGGCAGATGATGAATTGTCCTTTGAGAAGGGATCGATCGTAAAAGTAAGTGTTCCAGCCCTGTATACTTGCTGTTCTTTGTAAAATATTCCGAAACGACAACATAGTCTTCGACTACAAACCTTCCTTGCAACTTAACGTTCAATATTTAGGTTTTGAATACCGAAAATGACGAGAATTGGTATAAAGCAGAGTTGAATGGTCGGGATGGATTTATTCCCGCTACATATATCGAGATGAGACCTCACGAGTAAGTGTAAGAGCGGAGTTAGATGGGAGGAATATCTTATGTCTGTGATCATTAGGCTTTTAGCTTTTAAGCTAATACGCGATAACATAGATATTGTCTTTATTATACAGCCGGCATAGGGCTAAAAGTATGAATAGTATGGCATATATTCAACTCTATCTATCCAAGTTTCTCGTCGAGTTGTAGTTTTCTAATTTTAATGCTAAATGTCATTTCTTTCGGGAAGTCTGACTTCAATGACTGAATAATAATATTAAGACGCTGTCTTTCCATATCAATATACATGGTAAATATTGCTCAATGCGCACATTTCCTGAGTAAAATTATCCCACTTGTATGTATTATTTGTATGTTTATGTTAATTTATAAAAGTATAAAACCTCTCTTTTGACCCTGGTTCCATAGGAATGATTGCCTAATTTTACAGTATTTATAAACCTCTCAACCGAAAATGGCTTGCTATATTTTGGTTCTAAGACATCCTGCCAATTGAGAAGAAATATTTGTGTGGGTTCATATGGAGATTTTGTGAATGTAATTGCTATAATTAACAGTCGCATTTTATGGCTCTTGAACTCTTACAGCAGCCATTTTGTTCTTTATGTAGGGATTGTTGAGGACAATCCTTCTTAGAATGACACATGAAGTATCGAATTTATACTAATCTGATACTGATAAGCCAAAAATATGTCAATGCAAGTATTGTGATTATAAATACACCCAATAGATGCTGTTTTAACATATATAACACATATAGTTGTCCCTGATTTACCCCTCTCCCATCTGATATGAACCTCTCCCTCTCTGTATAAGCCCTCACAAACTTGAATAAACACATGATTTCTGGTTGGAGGTGTGTGACAACTCCTTTAATTGAATTCAATTGGTCGATCAGCAATCTACAAATCAAAAGATGCATGTTTGATATCTTTTCAAAACCTGAAACCTTCTTCTTTTGCATTGTCAAATTAATATAAATTTGGTTTATTAAGATTAATTATTTGGCAAATTTGATACACAGTAATTATGTGAAAAGAAATCAATTAGGTTGGCCTATCCTTAAAGCCTAAAAATAAAAACATTCCTAAGAATGCAACTCTTATGTGAAGTTGTAATAATTAATTGCAGGAAAAGTGCAATGACCTCTCGACCAATTCCTGTTTTATTTTCATTTTTTTTATTTGAAAATATCATAATGAATACAACTAAATGTCTGTATTGTGGAATAAAAAGTACCATTCATAGGCATCTTTGGGATGCATTATCAATTTTTTGGAAACTTTTCTGGGTTTGCTATGTAAAGAAAGAAGGATTTTCAAATTGTGTAATTTTAAGAAAGTTTGATCCTTAAAATTTAGTTGTTTGCAATATTTGTGAACCTGATTGAAAGATTTTAAATATTTCTTGTGTTTCAAGGAATTTGGGGGGAAATTCCGAAAATGCCATCAAAGATTGACATTCCTTGTTGTAAAAAAATTCAAGTGTTTTCACTACTTTTCTTTGTTTTTGTATTTTGGTTTTTTTCATTTTATTTTGGTATTAAAAAGGATTTTTGTATGTTGAAAAAGCATCTCAATATCAGATCTTATATTTGATTGAGATTGTATAGTTAATAATGGATGAACTTCGTGTTAAGAATTTTAAAACATTTTAAATTGTGAAAGCTCTTTAATGCTTTATTATTAGTGAAAGAAATGTCTTTCATGTTGTTTCCACACTATTTTGAGATATTTGTAAGCCCCAGTGGAACATGTATTTGATTTTCTGGAGCCTACAATGGGTCTTCAAAACAAGTCTACAATCAGTCTAAACAGAGTCTGCAGATTTAATAGATTAGATGGATAGTCACTGGCTGGAGAACTAATGTCCATAATGCACAACCAATATAAATTATTCTCATATAGATTATTCACAATTGCTGTATATTTTTCTAGTTGGTATCATGGCAAGATTTCGAGAAATAACGCTGAAGAGCTTTTAAAACAGCAAACACATGATGGAGCATTCTTGATTAGAGATTCTGAACGAAGTCCAGGTTTGTGTTACATGAAGTACTTCTGTAGGCTAAACATTTTTCTCGGATTGGGTTCCACAGATCCAATTAAAGATTGGATATTCAGTGGCAAAAAAACCTTTAAATATTATTGTAAATAGTATATATATGGCTGACATGTTACACTTTATAATAACCTCAGTATTGTATTAACTAAGTTCCCTCCACTTGTTTCCTTCTATAATTATAACATTGCTATGTCCAGTGTGTTATCAGATCAGTGTTTTTTTCTCCTAATCTGCCATCTTCATTTTATCTACGCTAAACTTATGTTCTTGTTTTTATTTTATAGGTGACTTTTCGTTATCAGTAAGGTGAGTTTGCCTTCTTTTACATAAATTCCTTGATTGTCATTAGTACACCCTGTTTGTGCTCATACATAGATATGCGGACCTAAAATTCAGGGTCATGGAAATGATCTCAGGAAAAAGTACCCAATCCACAGGCACAAGTACAAGTTTTCCGACTAGAATTTGATAAAAATTTTCGACTTCTAGTTTCAAATTTTTTCAGGGAGACAGCTGCCACCATTCCTCCATCCCCATCTATCTTCGCACTTGACAAGCTTTTTTGAGTGAATACTAATTGTGTTTACACGCTGTTTTTCGAGTACTAAAAAACCTAACCGCGTGGCTTTTAGTTTTAAGTCAACATACACGCGTAAAAACGTTCAGGTTGATGCAAGTTGATATAAACAGGATGCAGCAATGTTGTGCTGCCCACATTGTTCAGAGTTGTTATCAATATTGAACAATATTGTTACACCCGATTCAGTTTCAACAATATTGTTCAATGTTGATAACAAATCTGAACAATGTGGGCAGCACAACATTGCTCCATCCTGTTTATATCAACTTGCATCAACCTGAGCGTTTTTAGGCGTGTACACGGCCAAAAATTGGTCAGGTTGTCGCATCAGGAATGAACAATGTTGTGCTGCACCCTGGGAACAGTATTGTTAACAATGTTGTCGAAGGCTTGTTGAATCATCAGTGTTGATGCAATGTTGTTGTAACAAGTTGCAACAGCATTGATAGTTCAACAAGCTTCAACAACATTGTTAACAATACTGTTCACAGGGTGCAGCACAACATTGCTCCATCCTGTTTGTAACAACTTGCATCAACATGATGATTTTTACGCGTGTAGGTACAATCGTGCATGCTTTCGCGAGGTAAATACTTTATGTAGCATGCTGCAAACTGTGTTTTTTTTAACCTGCCGGCGATGCGAAGCACGTACATTAAAGCTTTTTTTAGCCATTAAATTTATTAAGGATAAATTTTGAGTTCCTATATAAGAGCGGCGAATCAGTATATGGCTTCATGGACCAAATTAAAATAGGTACTAAGGTCTGTTCACAGGATCCAATTTTGTTGGATCCAATTCACTGCTGAAATATAGTCGGCTATTGATGAACTGAGCCATAGTGCATTGGCTTCAGTGGATTTGCGGCTGATATACATCACAAGACAACAGACTATAAAACATCCATCAGAAGTGAATTGGATCAAAAAAAAATTGGATCGTGTGAGCAGACCTTCACCAAGATAGCTATATTTTGCTTCTAGAAGTAAGATTCGTCATTTCTCATTTTCGGCGCTTCAAGTCAGTCCAGTCCTCGAGCAGCTTCATCGAGACACGATCCGGTATTTTTTCAAATCCACTTGATATTTGTGTTTAGCCGTTATTAACAAGCACGTGATTCGAAATGGGTCTGGTTTACACGATAGAAATATCGCACGATGATCAATATAGTTTCACATGCAAGCTGAGACCATATGTTCACACGCTATACACCGCAAAGTGCACTTTTTTTCTCAACATCAAGTAAAACACGCAAGAATAATAGACACCTTTTTTAGAAGATAAGAAAGTTTACGATTCTTGGCAACGACAGGTAGTCAAGCCGATCTTTACTGCTAGAATCTTCGCTCGACTTACCCACTCAAAAATCTCCTGGTTTCGAAGTATTGTGTTGTGTTTTGAGTTCTGGAAAATTTCTTTACTTAATCTCGAAAAATTGCATGAAAAATTGCATGAAACATCGCTCATCAGAATTTTTGACAGATCGCATAGTTTGCAAACATTTTTATTTCTATCTCTTGCATGTTGAATGTATATATCCTGAATTTCCTCGTTGATATAGGTGTAAACAGCGCTTAAGTATTTGTTCCTTTTGTTCAAAGCCTCATCTTCACTTCTTGCCCCCGTGAAGTATTATATAGGATGGCGCCGTTATATGCGGCATTTGCGTGATTCAATGAAATAATTAAAGTGTGTACTCCACATTTTTTCAAGTTGTTTTGACGATGAAATTGACCTGCTTCTACGGACGGAGAGATATGAAAGAATGTACAATTTTCAGAATCTTTCCTAGAAATCTCAAAAAAATCGTGCATGATAAAGTTAAGTGTTGAAATATCAAGCCATCGATGGATATATTCTGCTTTTCATAGACGTGTGATTTAAGTATTTCTTTACCAATATCATGTGTTTCACTGCATATATATACATGTACGTCATCGCCATCGGACTTGAAGCCAGAATTCTCGAAAACTTCTTAGACTCCTTGACGCGACCAACCGCCAACCGTAAAATCAGCTTGAACTCTCAAATCCACAGTTAATCATTCATGAAAAGCTAAAGCATTATGATAAGATTATCGCATAAACTATTCATGGGGATATTTAGTACAGCCTTTAAGGTTAAACGGCTAACAGCTAACTCTAAATTTGCAATTTGTGGTTTGTTTTCCTGTTCACCGCAGCTACGGTATATAGTCGCCTCATTCATTTATCGGAGTAAGAGTAAAGTTAGCTTCTCACAAACACGCTTGGCGTGTTCACCGCTTGCCCTGTTCACCGAAAGCAAAAGTTAATCATCGATTTGAAAACGCTGTTGAAAATAAACACCGAAGTAAACGCGTATAATATCGCATTAGTTTTGACACTTCATCTTTTTGAAACGATGACGTAAGCCGCATCGATATTCACCCGTTTGGCGTTACCTCGTATCGTCATTCAAGTCTTGAATTAGGTTCAGACCAGGTCTTGAATTATAGTTAGAGCGGCGGTATATATAATTGCAAGCAAAAATGAGGACGCAAATTTATGTTTAACACTAAGAAAAGTTCCTCTTCGCGAGCAAAATTCCGCTAAGTGTAAAACCGCTTCATTATTAATGCAGAGTTACCTACGCTTCTAGAGAAAATTTATATTGTTTGTTTACGCCTGAAATTCCGTCCAAAGACTCTTTCACCTTAGCCGTTTTTTCGTACGAGCGTGTCCGCACAAACTTGAAATCGTTATATAAATGTTACATATTGAATAAGTATAAAAATGAAATGGCAGAATCTAGTGTTCTGTAAAATCCAGTGTGTAATCGTTGAGGATTGCGCTTCTCTTAAAAGATGCAAACGAGTGAATAGTTACGAATGTTTTGTGTACGAGTGTGCCTGTTTGAATTTTTGTAACTTATTCATCGGGCGCATCTATCGAAAATCGCGGAAAAAATCGCCGATGTGATCTGGGGCCGGTTGTATAAAACAACTTAACTACATTTTGCATAGTCAAATCCTTGTTAACTGAGAAATTGACGACTCTGATTGGCCAATTCTTTCCTTAACTACAGTTAAAAGTTAACTAGTCTTTTATACAACTTGTCCCAGGCCTTACGCCAATATCCAATTCTTCTTTCAGGTATAATAATGCTGTACAACATTTCAAAGTTCTTCGAGACGGTGCTGGGAAATATTTCTTGTGGGTTGTAAAGTTTAATTCATTGAACGAACTCGTGGACTATCATCGCACCTCGTCCGTTAGCCGAACTCAGCAGATATTCTTACGCGATATGACTAAGGTACCGTCTAAAATATAATCATAGACATCTTATTGTAGGGCGTTTTATAGAAGTATAACTACCATGCTCGAGTTTTGTGTTTGGCTTTTTGTTGTCCGTTGTTCGGTGTAACTTTGCTTAAACTTGAATACTTGATATTCGTATAAATTCAGGATTCTTTTTACAAATTGTTAGCTCATGATCTGTATGTATTTATATAATAACGTAAAGAATTCAAGCAATTTCATTGGTCGAGAGCCATGATCTATAAGAGGACAGACGCACGGAATGACGTCACAGCAATTTTCTTTTTACCGGTTTAATTTTGGATTTTTTTCAGTTTTATTATATAAAACAAATAGATTACAATGAACTGTTGTCTGTTCAGTTATAGATATACACGGTATGACGCCATATGTGATAAGAACAAAAGAGTGACCACTCGCCCCGGCGGCTCGTGGCCACTTTTTTTGTTCTTATCACATATGACGTCATACCGTGTATCTATAACTGAACAGACAACGGTTCATTGTAATCTATTTGTTAAATAGTTTATTTATTTCGAGTTCTCCCAATTACCCAAACTCCCAGAAGTGTTTCTATAACTGTTATGAAACACGACAAAACATTTCTTTTATAATATAAATCAATAAAAATACCTTGTACAAATTATTTCATTAGATTCAATCACAAAGTCTCATTAGCTACATCACTTCGCTTGTCAATTTCGGCGGGAAAATTTCCGTGTTTCTATATATAGAAACACGCTTCTAGGCCAATCAGCACACGCGTATTGTAAATGTTATTTTATAGAATTACTTAAATAGCTTCATTTGTTAATTTTTAGTAACTTGCTTCATTCTCAAGAATATTTCACTCCAGTTCGTAAGCAAATATCACCGGTCTGACATCACAGCGCATGCATGACGAGTTTTCAGAAAAATCGATTACGGTTTAGTTACGAATTCGTACCGAATACGCATCTTGAGTACTTAAAAATTGCTATTTTATACATGTTTTCATTTCATAAGCGGTAATCAATTCCGTATTTTGTCTAATGTTTATGAAAATAAACTATCATGGTATAAAATATTGCGTTTTCAAACAGTAATTATGCGATATGATGTCCACCGGTAATATTTCCAGGCAAAACAAAGTTAAAAAATCACGCAATGAAAACAAGTAGCCAAACTCCAAAAGCGAAGTTTATGATCATTATCTTTGCAATACAACCACAAATATTTGGGCGGGCAATTCTTGTCATATATTGACACATTGAAATCTTGCTGAAAATCGACACGCAGTTTGCTAAACAAAAGCAAAAGCCATTAGTCGCGTTATAATGTGGAAATGTCATAGCGGCACATTTTTCAGTACACTTCTGGCGTAATGTTGCACATTTCGTTCGAAAAATTAAATGTTCGTTCTCATGTTTAAGTGCATGGATAATTTTATCCAATCAAATTGCGCTCCTCGGTTCGAAGCGCATTTTGATTGGACAATTTATGCCCTTGGGACCTTAATGCCTGTTACTTAACACAGGAAAGAACATTTGAACTTTCGGACGAACTTCGCATCATTGTTTGGAAGAGTTTGACTGCGACAAATGCTATAACATTTCCACGTTATGAGAATTCGTGACTTGAGAGCGTCATCTTCTGTCTATTATATAGCTGTTGACAATTCTCACCAAGATTTACGAACACTAGCGCCGAGGTTGGATTACATTTTATAAACCCCCTTTTGACTCCCGGATACTCCGTAGGAGTATCAGGAAGTCATTGCTAACGGTCTCGCATTCTTTAGTGCTATTAACTCGACCAACCTACCTTTAAAAAATCGAAGGTGTGTTTAAAATAAGCTTTCTCGTTCAGGCCGGTTCCGGTAAGACAATGGTTAAAGCGTTATTCGACTTCACTCCTCAAGAGGAAGGCGAACTCGCATTTAAAAGAGGTGATACAATCGAGGTGGTTGAAAAAGACGACCCTAACTGGTGGAAAGGAAAACTTGGCGGTCATGAAGGACTATTTCCCTCAAACTATGTGGAAGAGCAGAAATGATTACCCCCTGATGTGTATATATATTGCAACGTATGTATAGGACAAGAGTTAAAGATTGTTAATTTTTATATATGCACACAACACAGAATATAGGATTTCATGACCTGGCTTTACTATACCATTCCAATTAGAACCGAATATTTTAAGGGTAGTGCTCGTGTGAGAACCCTGCAATGAGTTTGATCATCCAGCTTTCTCGTGGCCAGCTTTGCAGGTCACAGAAAAAGTGCTGAGAAAACGTTTCATTGAAAATTAGAAGTCGCGTTTCCCAATTTGCGCAAACACAACGCACGAGTTGACCCGGATCAAACTTTTGTATATGATTATGAAATTGATTGTAAATTATGTTTGTAACTCGCGTATGTTTTCCTGAAAGTGTTTATCGAAAAGATTGTGTATTTAGTAGGTCTTTCAAACACTATTACCTCATATAATATCATTTTATAATGCCGTCAATATAATCTGAATTGGTGCTTCTATTCTATTCACGAAAAAATTTTATGCCATTTTTTTTTCCAATGACTTGGTATGTTGGCAAAAATTCACATATTAGAAAATATAAATATGACTCTATTCAACTATCGGAACTATCGACGACCCATTTTCTTAGGGGTGTGGCCGGAGCGCGTTTCTTGAGGCTCATTTTTCTTGGGTTTTTTGAGCAGTACCACATGTAGGCTATGCATGTTTGAGTGACTGGTGGCTTGTTAGGTATATGTAAGCCAAGGTTCGTAGAAAACATGAAAGTTCTTGGAATTGACAATGTGAAGTCATGACCTTGGAACTCTTTGATTTTATTATGACCTGTCTGCTAGTCCGTAAATTCTTTTTGCTCTAGCTTTTGTGAATAATTTATTATTTAGTTATAAATTTTATTATTTCTGACCTGTATGAATCCTGATGAACGTTGTAAAACTAATTAGGAATGTAATAAACCAGGCTAGCATGCATTAGAAGATTGATTTCCTTCCCCTTTAATATGTCTTACTGTTTATTCATCTTTGATATTGAATTTCATAGATTTGCCAGGAATCACGAAGCTCCCTCTGCGGGGTTTACGGAGAGAGCATGTTTTAAAACAGACTAGCAAAGAATAAATAAATTAAAAAGTCAAATTGGGACATGTTTACATATATAGTTATAAGTAGTTTACTTCAAGAGGTCGTGGCAGAAATGTCCTCTCGTTGCTTCGGATTTGCAAAATACTTTTATATTTGTTCTCTCCTATGTTAAGAAATGTTTTAGAGACCTTTAGCTTGGCGTTTAGCCACACTTTACACCACAAATTTTTAAGTCTATAGAAAATTGGTGCATTGTTGAAACAAACCATAACTTATTCTGAGAAAAATTACGACTGGGAAAGTGCCAAATATCTACTTTCAAATGTGACTTGAAATTTGTATAGGCTAGAGGTCTCTAATGAAAAGTTTATTTTAAGATAAATTTTGTGTACATCAAAGGGAATCAAAAGTATTGACATAAAGGAAGGACAGAATATCGAGAAAACTAGTTATATATTATAGTTTTATTATTATTATCTTTTGCATAGGAACTTTAAATTTGTTTCCACACAGTGTTTGTCCCTGAGCAAACATTCGTTGTAATTTCTAGAAATGAATGCGTCAGACCCAAAAGGTCATGTAGGCGACCAGATATTTACCACAAATTATTGAGATATGCTCGATTTTTCGTTAAACGTATTCATCCACTTTTGGGTACAAATGCTGGGTTGAAACGATTTCGTTATGTGTGATTTTTACCGCTATTCATTCTCTGCTCTATCAACAACGGTGCATGTTTTAAACTATAATTCCTTTATTTAACGATTAGCAATGATGAACTGTGAAATAGCAAATAAAATATATTACCCAGTCAGCAATGCCATTGGATTTTACTTCTTAAGAGAGGGTTGTATGCGCTTTGCTATGGTAGACAGTAGATATAGGATATTACACGGTTGCGAGTCAGTATGGATTTCATGTTCGTGTGGCAAAATCAATATCTCGCGAGTGAGTGCCACTGAGCTATAATATATACAAACAGTTTTATATCGTTTTTCGTTATTCGTTTTATATTTGTAAACCAAAGACCATTTGTATTTTCACAACAACAGCAATAAAAATGGCGGGAAAATTTTGGAAACTCATGTCACTCCTAAACGTGACGGAAAATACGCGCACCTGGTCCCGGATGAAGTGGGTTGAGTTCTACAAGACTAGTGTTTCAGTTCTCAGTAAAATACCCACATCCATATAATAAATTAATATACATTAATATTATTATATGGATGGGGGTATTTTACTGAGAACTAAATCACTCGTAGAACCACAGTTAATAGTCTATTAACTGTGTTACCTCGGTGTGTGGTACTCATACGCCACTACATCCAGGGTACGGTGTGCGTATTTTCCGTATGTCCCGTTTGGGGGTGACATAATGCGAGTTTCGAAAATTTTCCCGTCATTTTTATTGCTGTTGTTGCGAAAATACAAATGGTCTTTGGTTCATATATAAAACGAAATGAGCATTGGAAATACAAGCGAAAACACTTAAAAGACATCTTTGGATAAGTGAAATTTGTTCCATTTTAATATTTACGCCATAATCCATATCTACTCGCAACGTGTAATATATGATATACGTCATTGGTATATAAATCAGTAAAAATCAGTCGTGCAGAGGTTTTGTGACTTTTCTTTCGGGACACAAGCTGTACAGGTGTACCGTGTGCCCCTCAAAAAGTACCCCCCTTTGAAATCAGAGCTTTTGTTTTGCTTGTGACAGGGTATTTTTGAAAACTACATAGTGATTTCAATAGAGGGGGTTTTTTGGGATACATTGTAAAAAGTAGCAACGTGCTATTGAAATGAAGCTTTTGTTAAAATTTCTATAGTAATTAGGTTGAGGCTTCAAATGAAATCTTGCTTTTAATTTTTGCACCCATGGGTTTAGCATAATAATAAGGCATTCAAATTCTACAGGGTGTATCAAAAAAAAGGAGACCTTTAGAAATCAAGCTATAGTTAAAATTTGAATGCCTTTTCAATTGCATTTGCACATATGCTGAACCGTAGTGCGTGAAATATTGATGGCATGCATGCATACATTAGAAAAAGGAGACCTTTAGAAAATGAATTGACGTTTGTACAAAAGATTGTCTGCTCCTGGGAATTTGAAAATAACTTTAATAGCATAAGGAAAAATAACGACCCAAAAATACCGTAATTACTCGAATAAACGCCTCCCTCGAATAAACGCCGCCCTCGAATTAACGCCGCAGGGACAAGCAAAAATATCATTAAACGCCGCCCTCAAATAAACGCCGCAACCTTTTCGTCATTGCGGCGTTTATTCGAAGCATTTATTTATTACCACAGTTCAATTTTCCTATATAATTATATAAATAGAAAAGACACATAACTTTTATTCTTAGTCACTTTTTGGGGATTGATTGTATTGGTTAAATTGGCGTTTAAATTACACACTGAAATTCAGAGTTGTTACGAGTTTGCAATAAACGCCTCCCTTGAATAAACGCCGCCCTCGAATAAACGCCGCATCCTAATTGCTAAAAATTTAATAAACGCCGCGGCGTTTATTCGAATAATTACGGTATTCAAATGACTAAGCGCAAATGACTAAGCACAAAAGCAATAACAGTATGCATGGTGGATTGTTTTAGCTGTTCCTTCAAAACATGAACAAATATTTGTTCATTAGTTTTTAACACTGCGCGCGAGTATTAGGGCTGTTCACATGAGTTAGATTGACTTTGAATCCGGAATGGCTCAGTATCCCATTTCACAAACCCTGGCTATTAGTAAAATGTTTACATGAGTCAGGAATGAATTACAACTTGATCTGACATGCACAGATTCACTTAACATTTCGATCCGAATTGAAAATTACTGATAAATTGAACATCAAAAGAACTGAATGTCATGGACCATGACCTCAAACGTGGCCTCCATTTATCTCAACACAAACTTCCGTACGCTTGTGCATATCGCGAACTGCTTTTCTGATGACGGCATGCTGGGTAGAAGTTAAGACTACAAAAACTCTTTGCTCTGAAATAAGTTGAACCATTTTTGTACTGGTAGTTTGCTTAGTCATTTGAATATTTTTGGGTCGTTATTTTTCCTTATGCTATTAAAGTTATTTTCAAATTCCCAGGAGCAGACAATCTTGTGTACAAACGTCAATTCATTTTCTAATGTATGCATGCATGCCATCAATATTTAACGCACTACGGTTTCAAATGTGCAAATGCAATTGAAAGGGCATTCAAATTTTAACAATAGTTTGATTTCTAAAGGTCTCCTTTTTTTTGATACACCCTGTACAAAAGCTTGATTTCGATAGGGGGGACTTTTTTATGTACCCTGAATATAAAACGCCTCCACTTTGAAATTTCCCAAGAAATCTTTTTCTAATTAACAATTAGTCGCCGAAGGCGAGGTGATTACAAGCCTATATTTACTGAGCCGAAGGCGAAGTGAATATAGACTTGTAATCACCGAGCCTGAGATACAACTGATACACGTGTTTATTTTATGAATATAATTTTGATTTTGAGTATTTTCAGCCATGTTTTTTTGGGGAAAAGCAATAGTTACTGCTCAGACTGCTCTGAGCAGTAACTATTGCCTCAGAGTTACTGCTGAGGGAGCCAATCAGAATGCTCAAAGGCCATTTTTCAATACTGAAATTATACTAAAGCACAATAAAGGGCAATGAAGTTAGGTCATTGGGAGGGAAAACATTGGTAGAAATCGCAGAGCTTCAGGGTAGCATGATTGTGGGCTTGCTTTAAAAATTAATTCTGCATTCGGGTGAATGCTCCGAGGGTTATAGGCCTGTATCTGTGGTTCGAGCTGGTTGAGATGGACTAGTTCGTCCCCCCCCCCTCCTCGTTCAGTCGACGACGTGAAAATGGCGTGGCATTTCCATATTTGGGCGCATCACGCCATTTACTCGCCATTTTCACGTCGTCTTTGACGTTCACGTCCTCATGTTAAATCGCCCTAATTGCGAAGAGGCTAGGAACGAGCCAAGTTTCCATATAAGGAAGTGAAGGCTTGCTTGTTTAACATTCCAATATTATATTGATAAAATTGTAAATGTTGACTGTGAGGTTTTGTCGATTAAAAGTGACCATCCAGCATGGAAGCGGCCGCCAAATTCACCTTCAGGGCTACTGCAGATGATGAACTTTCCTTTGAGAAAGGTTCTATCGTCAAGGTGAGGCAGCATAACGTTTTACGCGAGAGATTTAGTGTGTTATTTTATGGGGTGCCCTGTCCAGTTCAGTTTGTTGACAATCGATTTTAATCACCAACTTTAGGTTTTAAACATGGACACTGATCAACATTGGTACAAAGCCGAACAGAATGGTAATGTCGGTTATATTCCAGCCAACTACATTGAAATGAAACCCCACGAGTAAGTAAAAAAAATTATATTATGTAACGACATATTCTTAGCTTCGTAGATCGTGAGATGATGAGATCAGCAAGTTTGATAAATGGTCAATAATGTCTTTTGTATTTGTTTATATTTATTTTTAACAGTCCGCACAATACTAAAGGATATAAAATGAATGATGGGTGTTATTATACATATATTTCGCTTTGATCTTCTTTACACTCATTAAAATGGAAGCAAAAGAGCAAGCAGGAAATTAGATCTAGTTTTCTTGGAAGGTCGCATCGTCTAACTGTGTAAGAAGTCATATTGTGCACACATACACCGGATCGTTGATAGTATATTACGTTTATATGAGCATTTTTGGTTTTCAAAATTGAGTTAGTTGTAAAAAAATTTGACCATGTATTTGAGCCTAGTCTATAGAGAGATTCGCTAGAAATTTGGCAATTTAAGTTTGTTGCATCCGTTTTGCTGCATGAGGAAGACAATAGATTTATAAAGCATACAACAGATGGCATAATCTTGCTAAATAATCTAGCCATACTGTTGAACTGTAATTTTTACAAAACATTTTAAAACATTTGTTAATGGTGGAGCAATTTCTACATGAAATTTTCGGCTGTGAATGCCTAATTCATTCAATTTCCAGTCCATATGTCTATTGATATAAGCCAGCACAAATTTATGGCCTCTTTTTACAAAATATTGGGCTTGTGTTGGTGATCTATTTGCCTGATTAAAAGCTATTTTCAATGCTAATAATTTAATGGAAAGGCTAAATTTCTCCCCTCTAAATGTCTGAATATTACTGTTACATTAAGATGCAAGTAATATCAGTTGTTATTCCACTAGCAAAGTTGAATTGTCTGCTGTTTGTCAATCTAAGTTGTCATGCTTATAAGATAAAATCTTATTAATAAAAAACCTTAGATAGACTTCCAATATCTGCAGACAAAGCATCTTGAAAGCTGCTAACATAACGGAAAATGTTGTCACGTTTGTTACAAAGCTTATGTCTTGTTGTAGGACCCTGTAGGTTTAAAAACTTAATTTAGTTTGGGTTATTCCTATACTTCTTTGGGTAAACATTGCACAGGTGCTTGTCCATTTGCTTGATTGCAATGAATATATTGCTATGTGAAGTCTACATCTTGGGAAAAAATTTAACTTCTGAAGGTTGTAACATAAAGTAGGTGCAAGTTTGCCAATTAATAGACACTAATGAAACTGAAAGCTTTGTGATGAAAGCATGGTTGTAAAAATGGCAAACAAATATCAATGCTGAAATAGATATGCTTGTTCATAGGCATTATACAAGCAGCTATCAAACTGTAACCTAAATATACCTGTATTGATCACATCCTTCACCGATTCCTTAAATTGCTATGGCTGTTAAGCATAGCTGTACACAATCTCATTCAATTTAAAATGAAAGGGTTGACTGCTTTGCATCTGATCAAGATATTAGGCTGGCAAGTGAAGAAATACGTTGTAATAACATTGTGAAATTCATTTTTCTCTGTGTAATGAAAATCCTCAATTTAACACTACATAGCCTTTAAATGTCGTCTAAATTAGTTTTTGTGTATCTCAGCAGCTGGCTTGCAAACAGAGTTTAAACCATTCTACTTTAAACAATGTATTTATAGTGGACATTTTTTAGTCTTGATATTATTACATGATATAGTGTGATTGTATAAATACTTTGTTGCTTGAGGTATATATAGAATTAGACCACTGAATATTAACTAGCTTTATGTGATGAATACACTGATAGAGACTGGGTTAATGGGCCACAAGTCTTAATCATATATTGTTATTCACAATCCAAAATTTCAGGGATATTTAATCCACAATATTTATATCCACAATCTGTTTTGTAAACACTTGAGCTTCTGATTCGATCCTAGCAGTCGTAAAATCAAATGCAGGAGCTGATACAATTCAGGTACTTTTGTACTTTGGTACAATTTTGTCAACTTTGAATACATAATTTCTGACGTTTTTGTGAAATAATACTTAATATGAATCACAGATATCACAGAAGCAATATTGAAAACATTGTATGTAAAATTACAATAATCTATAGGTAATTTTATATACTATATGTACGTACTGGTTTTTACTCATGTCCATCCAGTCATTCATGATTTTCATGATTGCCAAGTCATGATTCAATTTTATTTAACTTTAATTAATAGAATATACTTTCAAAAATCTTCCAATATTCACCACAATATTCAATATTGGAATTTGCCAGTATGGGAAATTGCCCTGAGTAATTTCCACATACCTTGCTAGTAAAGAAATTGCTTTTTCTATCGAGAATGTTAAGTAAATTAATAATTATCATCAATAATTACCATTAATAATAATACCATTAATATTGGCTCTTGATTACTCCAGGCAATGTGACAATTAGGGGATAAGTGCTTTTTTAGTTAAATAGTTAAAGGAATTGAAACATTTCTAATGATTTTACCATTTGTTGAAGGAGGTGTGTAGTATACATTGTAGAAATTTCCCAACAAATTTGAGGCAATTAGTATTAATATATAGATTAAAATCAAATCAAAAACTTACTGTAAACTCTGTAAAATCTATGGTATTAAATATATACACATTCATCAAACATTTAAAGACCAAATCACTGACACTCGAGTACAAATATACATCTACTCTTCTCATGGAACAATTCAGAGTGATCTGGAATAGTGGTAAAGGACTGGGACTAGTTGTCAAATAAAAATCTATTTCTCAGTTGTGAAAACTTGTGTCTTACTGTCTCTTGAAATATACTTTATTTCGATTTCAAATTTATGTCAGGCCTATTGTTCCTATACCTTAACGTAATTACAACATTTCGACTAGTTTTATAAAGAATAACAAAAAATAATTGATTAAATACTGCAGAATGGATTTCTATTTCGACAACCTTTCTATGCGCTGACAAGCTAAAATTTGGTACTCTAAAAATGCACGTGTGTTACAGATTTATAAATATATAATAATATAAAAAAGTATTAGCTATTTACAGACAGTAGACCTTTTAAAATTTATTTTAAATTGACTTTTTACCGATGCCCATATTTTGTTTAGGGTTGGTAAATTTGTATGTAGACGTAATCATGCGATGGCGAGTGCAATTCTAGATTTAATATGATAATAATACGAGTACTATTATAAATTATTAATACAATTGTAAAATTTTAGTAGCGCCTTACCGCAAGCTTTTGGGACATAATTTTCAATGCAAGCATTATAATAATTATTTCTTGTTAAAACACAGTCCTGTCAGACTTTTATCCAATATTTCGTACTTTTGGCAGTAATTTTGTTTTCCTTTCCGGCCTTTTTAGCTCCTCCAGAAATGTTTAGTTTGTATGCAAATATCTTTCCGCCATTTTGTTTATTTCGGGAAAAAAATTGTGCTCTAGCGCAATTAATAAAATAGTTGTACTCGTCTCGACCAATCAGCGTACAGTAATTTTATCATAGTAAGGCCTGTTATTTCGACACAGTATTCTTCCTGCCGCGGTTTAAATGTAATCGCTTGCTTTCAACGGCCAGGCCTGGTAATAATCGTAACTATGTAGCTGGAACTGTGTGAATACTTTTTGTTGTTATTAATCGACTTTTATACTCAACCGTAGTTGGTTCCACGGCAAAATAACAAGAACAAAAAGCGAGGAACTGTTAAAACAGCAAACACTTGATGGAGCATTCCTAGTCAGAGAATCTGAAAGTTCCCAAGCACAAGGTACGGTGCAAGACGATCTTCCGAGCAAAAAACGCGAACCTCATTTTCCCATATTTGGCGTAACGCAACGGTTGTGCCCGCCCCCTTCCGTAAATCAGTCACTTGTGAGTCCCATTTTATTTCACTAAATGTTTACGACTTTTGACTACACAATCGCTATCTTCATATATAGCTATATTTGTCACAGAATAAACTCCATTACATTGCTAAGATTATGCGTCTAAAGAATCGCTGTGAAAACGCTATACAAATTTATTGTAGAAACGTACTAAAAGTTCATAAGCAATCCAGCAACAGGTAGCTGCCCACCTGTTTCTGGTCGTAGCTCTATTCCCCGATGTGCTATCAATACTTTATAGTCACATTTTCTGTTAAGGGCTCTCCCCCCAAACACATTACAGCCATACCCATATTTTATACTCACCCATATTTCACACCCATGCATATTGACGCCCATGACCCTCTCCAGTTAACCAGAGTCTGGTTGTGTGGAATTGACATTGTCAGCATAAAGGACATCTTTTGTCCTTAAAAAACTGAGGTAATAACATATGCTACACATGGGGGAAATCCTCACATTACCTTGTTACTTATCCCACAAAATATACGCATTAGTACCCTACTGAGAGAATTGAGAGAGACTCGCTCAGCTTCACCGAGTCTCGATTTCGAGTTGACCAACCAATGCAATTTTGCCGCCATTATTTCATTATGTTGTGAATCTGTCTAATGCGTTTTTCATTTCGCAGGCGATTTCTCCCTGTCAGTAAGGTAAGTTATAGAATCAACTGGATGGATATGTTTATGCTGATTCTATCACAATCTTGAGGTTTGAAGTTGAAAAAACGTGTTTTTTACGCAGGTTTAACGGAGCGGTGCAGCATTTCAAAGTGCTTCGGGATGGCGAAGGAAAATATTTTCTTTGGGTCGTCAAATTTCTTTCACTCAACGAGCTAGTCGAGTATCACCGAACATCGTCCGTGAGCAGGACACAACAAATATTTTTACGCGACCTTCAGACGCAAACGAATGACCAGGCTAAGGTAAAGCGATTGAGTAACGTGATCTTTTTATTTTTACAAGGATGCGATTATACCTGAGATAAATTCAATTGGCGGCCATTTTGGAAGCTAAAGTGAAATTGACTGTTGATTACCGAGAGCCATTTGATTTCACCCCCTTAAGACCCATTTGCACTATGCGATTTTTCGTAGACGATGCCTACCCTGGCGTATGTGATTATGTGAAACGTGACATTTCAAATCAGTTCCGCCCTGAATAAAATGAGAAAGATTGCGACATGGGCGCTCTTTTGCATTCGTCAGAATGATAATGCCGTTCGTATAGTAATAGTAATCGTACAGTCTTAACGAATCGTTTAGTCTAAACGTTCAACTAATCCTATAGTTTCAACTAATCGTCTAAATACCTTTATAAATAGAGAAAGTTTTGTGGGGGAGGCCACCTGACCCCCAAAGAAGACCCAGCGAAGCCCTTTATTTTAACTGTTCCATCTTCTCTGTCGTAGGCCGTATTCACAGTGAAAGCACTATTTGACTTCAAACCTCAGGAGGAGAACGAACTCGAGTTCAAGAAAGGACAAATTATCCAGGTTGTCGAGAAGGACGACGCGAACTGGTGGAGAGGGAGACTGGAGAACAGGGAAGGACTATTTCCTTCAAACTATGTTGCAGTACAGTAGACCAGCGATAATATATTATTGTAGGCGAATAACTGTAGAATACCCCGGTTATGCAAGTTTGTTGTTTTGCAATGCAAATGAACATTTTTAAATGAAAGCGCATTTAGAAGCAAAAATCTAGTTTGTTTAAGCAAAAAGTTTTTTTAAAGCCCTGTTAAATTTTTTTTACATATCTTCACTAAATCGATGAACCGGCCTTGTTCACCTCTCAAGTGGTGCGAGACATCTCAAAAGTGCAAAAATTACATGCAAAAAATGGCTTCAAGTTGGCGGCGAAATAGCCGTCAGTTATAGTTCCAGTCAAAATACAGTTCACTGCATGTCATTGTAATGAACGAATTTGTGCCAGAGTGCCACATGCAGTACTCATTTCCATTTTTCAGAATCGTATTGTGTAAATGGCCGTAACTGAAAGAAATTGGTTTGAAAAACTAATGAAAAGCAATTCTTTAGTGTGTTGGTGTACATTTCAAAATGTTCGCTCTGTAAAGGTCTTAAACTAGTCAGTAGAATACAACTTGCTGGTGTGGGGTATTCCATAGTTAATACAAATGTAGCTTAGTGAAATAGTGTATGATAGAAGCAGCTGTATTGAATCCAAGCAAACGCAACCAAGATTATTCGTGCTGAAACTGATTGTCAGGAGAAATGACTTGGTGTTTTCCAAAGGAAATCCGAAATTAAGTCATAACAACTTGCATGCACACATTTTCCACACGTGGTGACTTAAAGTCTTTCTAGCAATTACATTGCGTATACTACTTCAAATTGCCATGACCAATATATGACTGGTTACTTTAAATTAACCAGACCTTATATATTACAGTGAGTACCTTTTATGAAGATGTTTTGTGGTTGAATTCGAAAGAAAAATTGGCCTGTGACATAGTCGATGACTCAATGGCGTTCCTTACCGACCGACAATTCTAAAATATTCGAAAGAGTTTTAGAATATGTGAATTCATAATGTACAACTGGTTTAAAAATTTCAAATTTTGAACAAAACAATTCAGTTGAGATTTTCCGTGATTGTTTCATGATACAAGATAAATCTATTCGGTTTAACCTCATATAACCCATACTTAATTGTCTTCTATTGTTAGAGCCAACCAATCACAAAACGTCTTCATATCGAGGTAAGGTACTGATAATTTTATTTTGGTGTTATTTCCTATTGGGTGCACGTGTCACCGTTGGGTCATTAACCTCATATCCAAGGTGATGGGGGATGCCATCACAGATCCTCCAAATTCGGTGAATCCCGGTGTTTCTATCCCCCTTTCTCCCTTCCTCCCCGCCGCTGAATTCCCAGTCAGGTGTATTAACTTCTGGTGATTAGCCAAATGAAATAAGCACCATGAAATACGGTTTGTCACTACGATATCCGAAGAAATAATCTAGAAATATTTTTCAAATGGCCTGTGTGTATTAAAATAATTTAAAAATTCGTTGTTTTGGCAAAATTCGTCATAACTTAGCCCCGGTTTACACTCATCAAATTTTCTGTGATCAACGTTGAAATTTTTAAACAACAAATCCTAAGTTTTAAAAGATTTATTGAAAATACTGGAAGGAACTGTAACACTAATCCATACTAGGTTATTTTATCCTAATATTCAGTTAATAATATTTAAAACTTTGGATTTAACAATTCCAAATTGCAACTGTGATCACAGAAACTTTGACAGTCTAAACCGGGCCTTAGGCTTAGTCGCATGCAAGCAGGCCGGAGTGAATACCTATATGTGCCGTGCAAGAGCGCTTCTAGTTTTGGTAGAATTTAAAAGTATATACCCATTGCTCAATTGTACTATACCTAAACTGGTAATATATATAATATATTAGGTAGTACGCATCTGTAGACATATTAAAATGAAATTTTCATACGTTGTAATGGCTGTAAAATGTATCCTATAAATAAATAAACGGCTCTATGAAATAGAGTAATATGTCTAGTGTAATAATTTGGCCCTTAAAATCAGAGATTGTCTTTCATTGTTAATCAAACATCAATTTTTCAACAAAGACTGTTTTAAAAAAATTACGCGCTTTATAGTTACGCAAATCTTGTAAACCATTCTGCTGAAGATGAATCGATCTTGATTCGAAATGTACAGAATAAAATTCGTATTATTCTTTCATTTTTCGGAATTACTTTAATTTTAAAAAAATAGCTTGTAGAGTAATCTGTTTAGTGTAATAATTTAGCCCTTATAAAAACTTAGATTGTCTTTCAATTGATGTTAATCAAGCCTCAATTCTTCAACAAAGACTGTTTTAAATAAATTAAGGTGCACCGCATAAGTATTTAATACTGCAAAGCTTTCGGTCCGTTAACCCGGACCTTCATCAGCGGAATGCTATTGCACTGATGAAGCTAGGTCCGCGAAAGCTTTGCAGTAATAAATACTTATGTGGTGTACCTACAAGGTAATTTATTTATTGTGATATCACCATGCAAAATTACAAGAATATTAAGACTATTTTATAGTTTTTCAAACCATTCAACTCTACTATAATATGAACACTGGAACGATGACTGACTATTATTTTTGCCGGCATTTTTTTAAAGTCAATTTTAATCCTCGTTGAGTACCAGTGCCAGTCTTTTCTATTCTTTCAATTTTTATTCTCTTATGCCACCCAAATTGGCTTCAAAGTTTGCGACCGAGTTATCGTTCTTGTTCACATGGATGCATATTTGGCTTATAGTTCAAGTTCTATACCACGTTGTTGAAACACTTGCGTTGCCTTCCGGTTATACGTTTTTCTCACGCATGTACAGACACGGAAAATTTCTATACCTAAATGGGATTATTTTTATCTGTTGTGCTTGTATGGTTTCTTTCCAGGGTAACTATAACAAATATGTTTATATTTTACGTGCATGGTCTATAAGAACCTTCTCGTTAATTGAACAAATAAAGTGTTAATCCCGGTGCCTAAATCCTTGACGTAATACGGCTGATTTCAATTGCAACCTAGGGGTTTGACAGGTTGGAAAACACTGCACTTATGGAAAACTATAAATTTTTTCGATACTATATATGTTAGTTATTTCAGGATGGAAATAACTGAATGAAATTTCGACTTTTCCGTGAGACATCTTATTTACCTCTTACGTTATCCGTAAAAAGGGGAATCAATTTACGTCGTTACTGAATAGACATACGACAACAAACAACTATATCTCTGCTTGAAAAGATTAGAAGTGCAGTATGTAAACAATCCCTAATTAATACCATTCAATTCAATTCAGCGACATTGTTTAACAATGCACCTTACTCCTTAGTGTTTGTTCATTTCGGCCAAATCTATATCATATGCATAAATTATCGCATTTAAGGAGGTTTTTTCTCATTTATACTGTAGATCACACCAGGCTAATCCAGTTATAAGCGGAGAGAGAAATTGAAATTAGGATAGTTTTAAATCAACACTCGATGCATGCATTGATACAATTTTTAATGCGTATATAAAATGTTTCCAAACAAACGGATTCATTTGCATTTTTGCCATTAAATTGTCTTCTCGCAACCATACAACCATGCATACAGTTCGTTTTAAGGCTACTTTCCACTCAGGAAAATTCTCCTTTGGATCGGAACGGACAGGAAAATTTCCTTTGAATAAACGCCGCCTGAGAACTCACCGACAAAGAAAATTTTCCTGCCCGTTCCGATCCAAAGGAGAATTTTCCCTTAGTGGAAACTAGCTTTTAGATAGACAATGTTGCTTACGAACAATTCTTCTACTTTATATACGTATAGTCATGCGTTAGGTTCACGCGCCGGTCGCCAAGACTAGTATCGTCAGCAAACTGTTTTAAACCAGTAGGGAGCCTTTCGATACAAATTAGAAACCTCGGTTTGTTTACGTGTTGAAAACATAACAAACTATAAAGCGTAAAAACAACACACATGGCATTTATAATATGCTCGCCATAAAACAATAACCAAGCCAAGACTTAAGTGTATTCAATACTGTAGTGTGTAAAAAAAGTTAATCCAATTTTGTAAATGACTTGATTTATGAGCGTGCTTTTTTTTAAAAAGCTGATATAGATCAGGCTTCTAACTGTTGTTGCAGTACTCGCGTTTTTCGAGAAAGAATTTCGCGAGTTCGTTCAAGGTGAAATTCCAGCGACGCAATTTACAACACGGTTTTTGGAATTGGTGTTTTTATGTCCAAATATGGTACAAAGAACGTTTCCTTCACAGCTAAAGTTCGATTTATCTTAAAATCTTTAAAAATTACGCTCGTTGACCAAAGTAATTCGGGCACTACACTGCTAAAGTTGGATTAACTCTTCGATTGACTTTTTTTATACACCCTGTATTCAGTGTATTGATGAAGATTTATTTGATCACTTCAACCACGTGCTTCAACTTGACCGTGTTTCATGAATCAAGTGAACGACCATGCAAATTTTAGTGGCGCTGAGACGCTGAGTTGGACGAGGACTTTGTCTTTGTCTTTGTCGTCCATGTTGCAATCGGCACAAGCTTTGTGATTGTTTATTTATAGCTCAGAAGCAAACAGGGGCCACTTTAGCAGATCTATAGCTTCTAAGTGAAAAGGGAGATTTTTACTGGGGCGTAGGAACATTAAATGTTGTTGGGGGCAATTTGCTTAGCCACAATTCTTAATACTTAGACTTCAAACTTGGGGAGAAAAAAGATTTATAAATATTCAAGAAATATATGTACTGCACAAAAGATTTGAAGCTTGCACACGGTAAAAACGAATCGTTTGAATTAACAACCTTGATTCCTTTCAATTAACAAAAATTCTGAGAATATTTCCGCTCTAGATATGTCTCCTGCAAAGCATATTAACTTTTAGCCTTATAGTGAAATATTTAGGTGCTTAATATCCCTGTTTAAAATGTGCATCTAAAAATTTCGAAAAATTGTATCGAGCCACCTTAGGATATTTAAAAGGTTTCTCTTTGATAGCGGTACAGAAATGCACAATGCATGGTGAACCAGCGATTAGATTTTCGGGTTGAAACGTCTTAAACACCAATTTCTGCAGTGTCGGATACTCTGAGATAGTCATTTCAGAGTTTTATCATGTACGTGATGTAGATCTTTTTTTACGAACGTTTACTTTCGACAACAGGTACATGTGTTACTATACAACCTATGACCTATGCTATATATTAAACAATTTTATATACCCATTCAGTTACTGAATACTGAATTTCAAAGCCTTTTGGGGGGCAAAGATATTCCGGCCTCACACATATATTCCACGCCCCCGAATTTTTATTACACCAGCCGTAGGATTGTTTTCTTTTAAAAATTTAAATTGGTTGCTTGGGAGTTGGGCATAAAAAACAAAGCGAACCAAAAAGAACACACCTCGAATGTTGGCGGTCGTACCGACAGTTACCTCCCACGATCCCCGAGTGGGTGGTGGGAATTACTAGCCACAAGCAACTGTGCGCCATGTTTTTGGTCAACAAATATAATTGAAAGAATTTTACTCTATAAAAACCGCACTATTGTCAAATATAACTGCTCCTTGTGGGACAGGAATAAATCTATAGTGATAAGAAATATTCCGAATAGTACTTGACTCGTCACTTAAATTGTCGATTTGTCATAAGCCATTTCATAAATATGATAAATATAAGCTTATATGTCTGCCTAGATTAGGAAATTATTTTCTTGCTTTGAAATGGCGAGGGGTTGCTGCAAGCATGCATTCTGTATATTTCGAATGACAAACTGCTGCTTTTAGGTTTCTAATTTTCGTCTGTCCCGTAATTTTCTTGTAATATTGCATAATATATCCCGTAATTTTCTTATAATATTCAAAAAGGAAGTTAATTAACCTAATTTTCCTTTCTCAAGTTTTAACCCTTATAGGTATATAGGTAAATTTGGAGTGTCCTTTCTGTCTCGTTTCGTTAGTATGTTTTGCGTGGTTGGGTACAAATGCTAATAATTTGCGTGCCACCAAAAACCACCATAGCTGTATAAATAATAATCATATGAGTTCTCAGTTATACTCTTTGGTTCCATGTTGAACGGATCTGCGGGGACAGATGCTTTAGTATTGTGTTTCAGCATATGGCTGCGTACGAACACTTAAGAAATAAAAAACATTTTCCGTGTTTCTATACAGTTATGGCAGAAACACGCGTGGGAGTTTGAGAGAACGAGAAATAATCAGCGGGAAAACGAGCCCGTAGGGCAATTTTTCCACGTTATTTCGAGTTCTCTCAAACTCCCACAAGTGTTTTTATACTGACTGTATAGAAACACAGGAAAAATGTTTTCTATTTCTTTTATAATATAATTCAATAAAAAGATTTTGTACAAATATTAAAACTCGATTCAATTACAAATTATCATTACATCGCTTCGCTTGTTAAGTTCGGCGGGAAAATTCCCGTGTGTTTAGGCTACGAAAACAAAGGTCCAGAACAGATGAAATGGGCAAGACTGTACCCATATTAGCCGTGCCGTGCCAATAAATCGAGTGTAGTGTAAACGGGCCTTTAGTCTTAGGGAACTCTTACACTATATGCAACTTTCCTTGCAACTTGCAATGCAATTCTACTCCTGAGGCATCTGAGGTTGACAAATGCCAACATTTGTTACGATCTGCTAACGTTTTCTTAGCAATTAGCTATCGAACAGTATTTACCAAATAGCATGCCGCAAAAATATAATTGCACTGCATGTTGCAAGGAAAGTGGCATAGTGTAACAGCGCCTTTAAGGTTGAGGGATACAGATTTACGTGCAGAATTAACGAATAACGTTACATTACATCATACCGTAGAAATGCAAAACAACAGCTATTAGACATATTAGAAATTTAGTTCCCGCCTGCCAAATCTGATAAAAGACAACGTCAAGTGCTTAATGATAAAGAGTTCCGCAAACACACGAAGAGGATGGCTTGTTATCACGTAGTAATTTAAAGAAAGACTATTAAACGTGATAAATTCTAAAGCGATTATTAGCGTTATGTTCATCTTTGCCTTAGATTTAATCAGCTGCTCGTAACGTTCATGATAGTAAACAATCATTTGCACGACAATCCCTGCATGCATGCATAATTCACGTGGCGTGTACGTGCAGAAAACGACGAGGCCAATTGGAAACATTTTATATCGTTTTTTTAGTATTTTTTATGTTGCTATCATTGATGCCGGAAAACAGCGCTGCCCAACGGGATGATTTTTGACGTCGCGAATTCACTTCATATTTACCAATAGTGAGCTACCTTGAATCTAGCCGCGTTTTGAATAGATTATATTTAAATTCGCTTTTTAAAAGCCGCTAATGTGATATTATTAACATAAACACCTTCTTGACGTAGTCTAAAGAAGAATAAATTTATCGAAGTTGTATCGAAGTCAATTCTATGCGCACTAGATATTGCATTTCTACCTTTCTTTATTTTTTACTCCTGACAAACTGATTGGAAAATCAAAGTCCAAAATTCAGTGTCGGTTGTTTCAAAGCAAGGGGATGTTTTTGCTTATACCGCTCTTCAAATTAAATTTAAGATTAATTCAAGATGGCGTCGCTTTGTGCGAGTAAGTGAATTATGCTGGAAACCCAAAACCAATTAACAAAAATATCAGTTGTCAATTTTTATTGCTAATATAAGCAAGTTCGTCATTGAGTAACGCGTATGTACATAATTTCAGCCAAGTTAGTTAACATAAAAGGATAGACCTTTTGCTTACATTTTCACCGTTATTTTCAAGGTAACGTAATGTAAAAGTCATATTTGTCCATTGCAAGAACGAAAAAATAAACATCGCGTCTTTTTAACACAACTATTTCAATATCAAAATACCCAATAATGACTTCCGTAGGATCGCTTATTATGGATAGCAGACGAGACATGATAAAGCCATGCAGTTATTATTTTTTTCCCAATCAAATATTTTTTCCCATTATCCATTAGTTTAGTTCCCAGGCTCTTGGTCTGACCACACATCCTGTGCGATCGACCATAAGGTAATGAAATGGGCTCTGCTGGTAACCGTATGGTGATTCACAGCACGATAAACCGGGTAGCATACTTGTTGGATGAGATACACTGTAAATGCCATCGGATAAACCAGCGGTAGGCGACGTTTTGTCATAGGGGACATAATAGAGGGGGTACCACGGTGTAATTAAAGGTGATTTCCACAGGAAATTGCCCGATGATGTGACCGGACTGATGGGACTTGCATCACTGTCGAAAAAGACACCCGAATCTCGGCTTGGACTTTGCTTTATCGACTCTTGGTTTTCATCGAAGCTCGATGTTGAGCTTGCAGAGCAACTGTGATATTTCCTGTTTTTTGCGAATTTCTCGCCGTCCTTCGTGCTCGTTTCAAACACTCCAGATGTCGTATCGGTCTTAAGATCCTCGGGTCGTTTTCGTTTGAGCAAGGTCGAGGTTACATTCGCTTCGTCATTGCACTTGTCAGCATTAAAATTTGCCCGCTCATCATTTTTCTTGAGAATCGCGTCGATTGTGAAGCACGTCAGCGCTTTTTGCTCGCTCGCCGTCGTTTTGTTTATCGAGTTTGTAAGCTTGTTTTCAATTTCCACTGTTTTGCATTCGACAGGCGTTCCTGTCCCATTGTCTGATCCATATCTTCTTTCACGAAGCAAATCCGTGTCGGCTTTAACAAAGCGTTCGTGATTTGGGTTAAGTACGTCTTGATTGCCCCGACGTGGTGTAAGACACTCGCCTACATCATTTCTATACCCACTGCGTACTTCTGGGGTAATCACTTCCTCAAAACAACGTTTAGGGTCATGAAATTTCGCTTCTCCCCCGAACTTGTGTTCCTAAAATGGTACGAAGGAAAAATGAAGCGCTGATCGTCTGATATACGATGACAGCCGTACGCATAAGTAATTTTTACAAGCCAAAGGTCAAATGATAAGCATTGAAACAGGTCAGTTAGATGTTATTGGCAAAACAAGCTGTGATGTTGACATAACTAGATATAAAATCGCAGCGTAATGCTCAGATCTTACGAGTGGGATAAATTATCATAGCGTCAACAATATAAATGTTCATTAACGCGTTGCGTGCAGTCTTATATTATAGGGATATGTTGCAAGCCTTATCATTGTCAATGAGCTTAAATGTTCCCCGAAGGCTGAAACGTTGAAAACAGTTTTAAAGGTTTGTTTCAAATGTAAGATTGATGAGCATGATTTAAAAAAATATAAAGTGATGATCGTGCAATATAAGACAAAATCTTTTACTTAGCGCTAGAACTATAGTAGATGCTCATTCATTTTGTGTCGTTAGAAACGCAGAGTTAAATTGAATATGCCAATTACCTTGTCCTTGGGGTCTACATCTGTGAGCATTCTCGTCGTTTGGCCATCATTGAAATTGCTGGCCCGTACAGAATCGCTAGAAGATGTTTTGGTTCTTTGTCTGAAAAGGCAAAGTTTTGACAAATAAGATTCGGAAATTGCTGCGATACACTCATTGTTTTCATGATGAAATCTTCCAGAATTATCGGTCATTTACGACCACCCGCGGCAACGGACACAACACGAGTTCAATTTTGTGTTTACGTCGCCAGATATGAAACATTGCCCTTCGCAACAACGTTTATAAAGCGACTAAAATATGTCCTTACCGCAGCTGAAATTGCTGGAACAGTCGCTCATCCAATATATTATTTTCCGGCTCCCATGTATTATATCTAAAACGAAACGATAACAAAACAATCCAATAACAAATTCTCACAAAATGCATGCGTATTTATATCGGGACTATATGTATATTTACATTATGCGTATTCATGTATATATCAGTACAAAAGTACTCAAGTTTTAATACATACTTGCTTGAATATCCCAGCCATTTAACTAAGTACTCACGACGTCCCTGAAGGAAGATAAACAATTTAAGCGTTTAGGGCGATGTAAAGATGTAATATTCTCGCTAAATATCGTCTTACCTTTCTGATACGTTTCTTAAGCAGCCGTTCCGCAGCGAATATGCCTTGGTCGTCTCTCTCCTCCATTGCACAAGCAAGTCTGGCTTAATTTAAGTCGCAAACAGACGTGAGCGGGCTAATATAACAAAGGCACAAGGATATGACGTCATTAAGCGTTTAGGTGTTTTATGAGTGGGTAGGTAAGCGTTTACGTTATTAAAACAGAAGGCAAACTAAAACGAACGAAATTCCACGTAGGCACGTCAATTGTGTCCACAATAGCCACAAATATGACACATAATTTTCTATATTCTCTACCTACACTTCGCCCTTCGGCAAGCAATTATTTCATACGCTATATATATATTGACCACAGTATTGTAAAAGCATATATTTAGCTTTAATGTAGTCATTACTTACTTCCTTGCCCTTTAATGCGGGAATTTTTTTCCTAATACAGTTCCTTGTAGCATACTATAATTACACTTACAGCATACCCTATATCTGTCGTCTTTTGTAGGTTTTTATTTATGTGCTCAGTGTCTTCAGTCTGAAATGTTACGTGCATGTATATTATATGATTTTTCACAAGAGCAATATGGCAGCGCTGAGGGCCCACACGTAATTTATGACATCTTTTCGTCTTAGAAATGAACTTAGATTAAAGTTGCATGAGCAACTTGAGTCGACTCGTAGGCGGCCGAGAGTGAAATCGTAAGCGGACAAGAAAAAGCTGTTTTATATTATGAGCTATTAGCGACTATATGAAACTCACTTCTGAACTATACAAGTAGACTGCCATGTACAATATTTCGTGTATGACAATAATAAACTATATTTGTACAAAATACCATATATAGTTACACCGGTATATAACTTTTGATCTATATTTATAGTTCATCAAAAATTTCTAAATTGATCAATGGCTTTTACGGCTATATATGCACGCTGTAAGTCTTGTTGGCTTGGATTTCATAGCAACGATCGATGTACCAAAACAACTCTTGATTTATCAAAAGATCAACGGGCAAAGATATATACGGATGAAATCTTCAATACCTTATTAGATTGCAATCGCTGCCTATATTCATTTGACTAGCATGCATTCTGCTGTATATACAATAATACAAACAGTACAAACTTCTAGTTCGATCGCTTAAACGCGCTATTTTAGAAGTTTGTAACAATTTCCACTTTTATACTTGATTATACACATGATTATACACAATTGATACTTTGTAGAGGATTCTTTAGAATGATTTTTTCACTGTTCTTAAACCTGCCAATTTGTTCCTAACTCATTATCATAATGGCCACACATGGCGGCTTTGCGATATCCTATATTCAGGTTTAAAGATGCTCCGAATTGCTTAAAATTAGCGATCATGCGATAAAAAACTTAGACACTTGACAGCATTAATATATATATACTTGTATATATAATACATCATACAAGCAGTATTCTGAATGGGAACTGAATTTGAATCCGCGCATGGAGGCTTGAATGATGAGATCATTGTTCATTCTTGACCGATTTGATTTTCTGAAGTTCTCTAATCTCTATATAGGTTCTCTCTAGTGTGCTCTCTTACTCTCTATACGTGCGAGGTTCGAGACAAGGTTTCGAAAATCCGGTTTCCCTTTCTCGATCTATAATTATAGTATAACTATCGATTTATTAATCGCTATATCATGTTTATAGATATGATGTCATTCCCTATAGCTGCGTGTAAACCTATATATATATAAGAGTTGTATTCTAGTGTTGCATAATTGTTACTCTGCGAGCGATGCATGAACCGTTTCATCATTTGAACCATTTTAAAGTTTCAATAAAAGACAATCGTTTGAACCAAAGTCTCAATAAAACTAAAAGCAAGAACCAAATTTTTGAATGACTGCGTTTTTATATACTTCGAATTCAGTTCGCGGAGAAGTGAGAGCACACATTATGTGAGCAACTGCCGCTATACTTGTGCTTCGAATGCGGTTCAGGCTGCACGATTGCGTCATATTTCTTTGTATATACCGGACTAACTATATATTCTATAATGACCGCACATGTCAATGGCTGTGGGCGAAACAATCATTTATAAAAAAATAAAGTGAAGCTTAAGATCAACATGACATGCATCGTCACGTAGTATTCGCACTTTTTAAAATCTTTTTATAGTTCACGATATATATATCGTATAATCGCACAATATTGTATAGAATATATATAGATATAAATAGATAGATATAGATATGTTTCATAGGTTGTAGTATATCACATGCGTATATATACCTTGCTGTATGAAATGGCCAAGCGGATCTGGAGCAATCGAAAAAACTACATCTTACTAGAACTTATAAGGCTCTCCATTAAAAAGCTTTCCAGCATGCCATGAATGATAGCAATGCATGATATTTTGAATAACTTTGAAAGGCAAATTATCACCGCAAATTGTCGTCTTGTTTTACAACTCATATTAATATATATCTTCGCGGTTTACAAGATGCTGTTTTTCGGAGCAAGTTTAATTCTTCCCCATACCATAATGAACATCACCTAATTCAGAAAATCTAGAACCGAGAGAAAAATGCTTTCTTACCGAACCTTATTCAAGCTGGACCGTTAAACTATACATATACGTAGTTCCTCAGAAAGACCCAATGGCTTAGTATCGCGTGATCTCTTGGTTTTTTCGATTCGGTCTCCGGAAGTTGGCTACGTTTTTAATATTTTCTGTTGTTAAAAGAGCTTGTGCATTATCAGATCAGCGCAACACATTTATATAGTGATTAAAATAAAGGATTTGGTTGGATATTTTACTTTTCTTTAATTGGTATGACAGGAAGATAATCGCTATATAATCGCCTTGAAGTTGCCCATCCTATGGGAAAAGAAATGGAGTGCCAACAAATAACAGGGGCTGTTTGCAAGCTTAAGCTGAAGGCTAGAAGCGCGTCCAAGTGCTTGAAAAATGATAAAATTGTAGATGTTGACCAAACAGTGAATAGAAAGAAACATCACTTCAAGTAGAAAGGACTTTTGCTAAAAGACTGGAAGCGCTATCCGATTTAGTGATTTGCAAACTGAATGCCTTGAAAAGTGATAAAATTGTATATGTTGACCTATAACAATTAATGAATAGAAAGAAACACACTTCAAGACTAGAAAGGTCAGTTCAAATTGCATCAAACTATACGAAATGTTTTGGATTGAAAAACCCACTATCCGGTGAAGCGCTCTCTGGTCTTCGTACAACCGCCTCTTGGATTTCGGTTTCTCATATACATGCATGCATGCATGAGTTACTCGTAGAATTCATTACATGCATATATACATGTGTATCAGTAACGAATTAAGACAAGTATAGCGGCTACAACCTCGTACCCATGCAGGACCTGTAGAAGTCTAACAGTGAAATTATATTTTAACCATAAAGGCTGGTTTCCATTCAGGAAAATTATCCTTCTGGCCGGATCGGACAGTATGGTTTCTTTTCAATCTTTTGTGCATAAGACAAAGTTTTAGTTGATAAAGCATAATGCTTGGATAAAGGAATCTATTCTGTCCGATACTGTCCGGAGGATAATTTCCCTGACTGGCAACCAGCCTTATATAATTGTTATAATTTAAATATAATCTGTCGGTTTAAAATAATGAATATGACTAATTTGAATTTCATGACTATATTTTTAGCACAATGTATATAGACTCATGACTCATCATGTTCAGTAAAACTGCTAGTTCTATTCTGTCATGGCCATTCAATGTCGTGCTTACTGCTTCGCCTTAGTCGTTGTTTACATCGGTATTCGACCTGAGAAATCGGCTTAGATTCTTCAGAAGATCGGCTCAACGGCAGCCAAGCAGTTCGAAAAGTCAATAAATTGCGAAAGCATTACAAAATCAAATTCGAGAAATTCACATGACCGGGTTGTACAATCATGTGAGGGACGTGTCATTGATCACATGTGAAACACATGCGACTTCTGCCATTCACTATGCCTGCACAAATGAGTGCATAGCCGTCTTTATAAATTGAGAGAATTCCTCGAAGTTTAAAGCCTCCAAACCTCCAAATTTTAAAGCCATGCATTGCCATATAATTTAATTCAGCCATTGGCGTTGGCGCGGCATAATGTAAAAACTGTATCATTATTGAGAGCTTGAGACCGACTTTACATGCAATTTGAAAGCATAAATTTGTATACTCGAGTTACAAGCATTTTCACTGATTTATGAATCAAACATTTGATGTCTAAATTTTGTGGCTTGATGAAATTTACTGATTGCGGGTTGAAAACATGCTGTATTTTTTTACTTAGCTATATAAACATCACCTTTAGCTTTGATAAGGAATAATTTCGTAATAGTCTAATAGATAGAACAATCAAAAGCGTATAGCCAACCTGATAATGTAATAAGCCCCGCGATTAACTACACTCACTTGATTTATTGGCACGACACGGCGAAAATGGGTACCCGTAACCATTTCATGTGTGCTTGGTCTTTGTTTTGGTAGCCTGAACACTTATAAAACTGGGCACGGGTACCAATTTTGGCCGTGCTGTGCCTATAAATTGAGTGTAGACTGCATGTGTAGTGTAAACGGAGCTTTAGTCCCGCTATGCAAATTTTCGGTCATGCATTTTATTTATTCATTCTTTTGTTAGAAATTCATTGTTTTTATATTAAATTCATGGAGACCAAAATATTAGCTGTATATATACAGCGGCACCAATTAAATCGTCCGGCTGACTATGCTATACCGCTATAAGAACAATGTTTTCATGAAACACACTCCCTGAGACAGGATTCGAATTTCTCGATCAACAATCTTCATCATCTTAGAAATTCTTTGATGATATCTAGAAGACACTGTTTATAACAACTTCAGTTGCTTCTGGACGCGGAAGTGCGGAGGAGGCCAGCCTATCATGTTTAACAATTAGGGAGAGTAAGTTGCTGCATGACAACAAACCAATTTCGGTTAAATAATGGTTTTTATTTGTTTATACTGTTTATAAGTACTAAGTGCCTGTCATCTCAAATAATTCTGGATAATTCAGTATACCCAAAAGCCTTGACGTTTAACACTTCTAACATTGTAGTTAATTTCGTGGTTGTTATTCGGTTTATTTTGTGGTAGATTTGAAATAGTCCGGTTGTGAAATTGTCTTTGCTTTCTGTACTCAAGTCGGTCGTTGCTGACTACACAAACCCATAATTCTACAAGTATATATATACATCATCCACCTTTACATTTGCGAATAATTCATGGCACGACCATTACGAATGAATGGGAACCAGGTATATTTTTACAACAGAAAACGCGGCTATAGCGCTATTATATATCGCAGTCAAGTATAAAGCCCTGTTTTCATATGTGGTGATTTATCGGCCGATATTGTGTATACTGTCGGTACTCGGTAGTCATAAATGCCATGTCTAATGGAAGAAAATCAACTTTATTGATCACCGATGATGGATAATGTAAAATATCGATGAATTACGAAATATGAAACATGTAGTCTTAAGCACTGTATAAACGGTATATAAAAACACTAAATATGAAAATCAAATTTGTTTATTCTTCCGCGGTTTATCTTATAGTTTAAACACTTTAAATACAAAGATTTAACGGATTTAAACCATAGTCTCTATACACCATTTTACCATTGGGTCGCCTGGCTAAACTCCCTATATTCTGGTCGGGTGGCGGTAAGTTGGGCGAAAATCCCCACATAAATATGGATTAACTAACTAATCATGCATACGCTTTATTTATCCAAACAATATATAGAAGCTTCGATCTTCGCCTACTCACACAAACAATTTTGTTTCCTAGTCATGAAAGGTAAGGGCACTGTTCCGGGCTCGTTGGGGGGCATGGTTTCGATTCCTGCATTGCAACAGATCTGAATTGTTTTTCGCTTCGGTCCCATGCTGTCATCCATGTTTGTAAACATTCTATAATCTTTCGATCTTTTAACGAGACAAACTTAGTTTAACTGGATTGTATTATTATTATTGTTTCTCTATAAAACTTACTATATTCAATATAAATGTTCATATATATACGGATAATTTTATCGAGAGCCATTGTTAAACCGGGACAAATTTCAAGAGCAAAATACCAGAAGTTCATGTCTGCGAGTCAACTTTCGCTTCCCGTTTCTTTGACTGAGAATTTCCTGTACATTTATTCCGGTTCGTGGATTTGGATAAATTTATCCGCAAATATATCTTTAGTAATCTATTCTTGTTGTCAGTTTCATATTTGTTTGCGGAAAGTTTTGGTTTGACAGAATTTTATTAAAATGAATAGACTAAATAGGATTCCGTTCATCGAAGTACTTAATTCTAACGCGGTAAAAGGTACTTAGCGAGTAAAATTTTCCTAAAATAACGGACATTACTTGAAAGCAACGGCCAATATAGTTCTAATACGAAACAAAAATGGTCGTGTACCACCTTTTGGGGATTATCATTAGCTTTATTTATTTTTTTGTATTTTGGTTTTGAATAATAGTGCCTAAAGTTTTTCTTCGTGCCTGCCTATTAAAAATAAATGGAAATTTGCTGCGCTGATTCGTAAAACATTGCTTTTTAACTGACACTTATATGAAAAAGTGTGGGAAATTGAAGTTCTAATTTAGGCCTCAACTGACTGTAAATAATAAATGTAATAAAACCTGGAACGCTAAATCCGATAGTTAAGCGCTATACTTGCATGGTTGAAACAAAAACCATGTTTTTTTAAACATTAGCAAATGATTGTATTTTAAATGGTCAGTTACTAACTCCAAGATAATTAGTACGTATTAATTACTTGAGTTCACTGGCAGATTGTCGTCCCTGGGACTCCGAAATAGGACGCGGTTCTCGCGTCGTGAATAATTCCCGCGCAGTGTTCCCGCGTCGAGAATAAATCCTGAATTGTAGTGATTATAGCCATTCGTTGGTGAATTTTTGCTCAACGCCGCATAAAATCTTCCATCGTTTTACAGTGTAAAATCATGTCGGGTAAAAGAAGTATCATTCAAAGGAAACACTCTCACGAATGTGGAGTTCCTGAAAAGAGATCAAAGCGGCAAACTGACAAACTTGCTGGAAAGAAACCTTATGAATGTGATGTTTGTAAGAAGATATTTACACGATCTACGGGGCTTGTAATCCATAGTAGAATACACACTGGCGAAAAACCTTATGAATGTGATGTTTGTTACAAGGCATTTAGACATGCTAAAACCCTTAAAGTTCATAAGAGGACACATACTGGAGAGAAACCTTATGAATGCGATGTTTGTAAGAAGATATTTGCACGATCTGCGGGGCTTGTAGTTCACAAGAGAATACACACTGGCGAGAAACCTTATGAATGTGATGTTTGTAACAAGAGATTTAGACAAAGTGGGGGGCTTGTACTGCATAGTAGAATACACACTGGCGAGAAACCTTATGAATGTGATGTTTGTAACAAGAGATTTAGACAAAGTGGGGGGCTTGTACTGCATAGTAGAATACACACTGGCGAGAAACCTTATGAATGTGATGTTTGTTACAAGAGATTTAGACATACTAGAACCCTTAAAGTTCATAAGAGGACACATACTGGAGAGAAAACGTATGAATGCGATGTTTGTAAGAAGATATTTACACGATCTACGGGGCTTGTAGCTCACAAGAGAATACACACTGGCGAGAAACCATATGAATGTGATGTTTGTAACAAGAGATTTAGATACACTACAAACCTTATAGTTCATAAGAGGACACACACTAGAGAGAAGCACAGAAAGGGTCATTTGTTGTGCAAAAGTTGCAATAAAGAGATTGACCAGCCACAAGATTTGCTGGATTATTTTGTTAAAGACGAAAACATTGGATACTGTACTTGTAGTATTTGCAAAAAGCAGCATTCAGATTTCATGCAATTAGTGCAACATATAGCGAAGGAACATGGCAAGGATGGAAAATATCAATGTGCTCTTTGTCAAGAACTTGAATCAACAACACCAACTGGTGTCGGATATATATGTTGTATCTGTGATGTTGTGTTTGATGTTCCCAGAGAACTTGAAGACCACATGATTGCTCACAATAATGAGGGCTGACTATGTTTTATTGCTGCTTTTAGTTATTCATGTTATATGAGCAAGCTAAAACATTAGATTTATACAATAATACAGGGTTAGAGACAGACTTTCCTTTGCTTGTACACATATCGAAAATGCTGCCAATGTTTGCAGCAAACTCTGTTTCAGATTTTGTTGGGTGTTTTTCACAAGCCTTCAATTATTTGCATGGCCAAATTACATTATTATTATCAACAAACATTAATTTGTTCTATTTACCCAAATTTGCAATTCATAATAGTTAAAGGCTTGTTATTTGTTAAAATAAATGGCTACATTTGTTATGTTAATAATGACATTGCTAAGTTTTTTTGAACTTTGAAAATGACCATAAATCAATCTGATGAACTTAGTTGTCAAAGCATACATTAATAGACAAAAAAATATTTGTTAATTATCACAAGAATTTATAGGGAATTAATAAAAATCTTGGCAAGTTTTTGGCGTCTGATTGGCTAATTTATACTTCATATATCTGCGTTAATGAGTTAGAACTTAGAAAAGCTCATTTGACATTTGTTCCAAAATATTCTTTAAGTGGAAGCTGTAGCTAATTTTCCTCATTGTTGACTTAGGTTGTAATGCCATGCAGGGCAGAATTTAGTACTCAATTTGGATTAAGGTTATTTTATCTTATTTTGTGTTTCTCTCGTGTTAATAACCACTACAATTAACTGCTACATCAAGATTTTGCTGAACTCCTATTAGTTTTTATATACAACTTTTGTTGAGAATGAGTGACATTGATCTGGTAGAAACTGGCAGTGGGTCAGATGATGATAAAGATGTGCCCACATTGCCGGCTGATACGTTGGCCATTTTAGAAGACTTTTATAGAGAACAAAATAAGAAACATCAAAACGAAGAGCAAGGTGATATAGGAGAAGACTGGGTAAGAGCATTAATATGTCATATTTTTTCATCAGAAAACTATTACAGTAGCTCTTAATTGTCCTCATATAATTCCCACCCATGTTACCCATGGGCCCATTATAGCCCAATACCTATAACAGGGTTAGTAAGTTACTGAATAAATAAGCCAAACATTGTTATTGGTTGCCCTTTGATTTAAATGAAAAAAACAAATGTTATGTTAGTAATATTTGGCTTATCCAAAGAATCTACCAACCCTGACCTGTATATAACCCAGGTTTGGGAGCTGGCCAGTGTGCCCCTCAGTGTACATGACCATATATTGATATTTCAAAAGCAAAGCTGCTCAAATCTAGTTTTTTTTTACAAAGATTCAACAAAAATAATTATGTAAAGTCAGTACCGCTTCATTATAGGTTTTGACTTTCACAATTCCTAAATACTAATGCTACAATATACCATGCACACTATAATTTACATTAATTTCTTGATTTCAAACAACAAGCACATATAATAATTCAACAATTATTGTTAATTCATTTATCATCAGCAACTCAGTCAATTCTGGTATGATGATCATACAGCCACAACTTTAGCAGAAGAGGTCCTGAAAGCTAGTAACAATGGAAGGTATGCCATTGAGGGCCCGCAGAGCTTATTAGAGAGGGAGGGAGCCCTTCAATGCATGGCAAAGGAATATTATAATTGCCCTTACCAACCAGTCTTGAGGGTTGGAGGCCCAGCTCAAATTATGACTGGAATTCCCTGAGAAGAATTTCAATTTTTCCATATTCTCCTAAATGCTCAGTCCCAATTCTCTGGGACCTGTCTTGGAGGTAAAATATTTGTCCACAGTGCAGCACAATTTCCTTGACAGTTGTTCTCAAAATATTTTTGTTCCTGAACATTGATAGTAAGAACAATCAATTTCTGATAGAATTAATAATTATAATAACTTTGCATAGTGGAACGTACTAAATGGTCACCAGACTGACTGCTTCACTGGTTGTGCATGTATTTTTGTTAAAAACTACCTCCCCCCGTCCAATGAAGAAACCAAGCTTGTAGACTTTGGGTACGAATGTGCTAAAGTCTGAAGTTTTTTTATTTTCCTTGCAGAATCTGCTGTTTGTGCGCGCCGACTCTTTACAAAAAACTTCGTCAACTTAGGCCAGACAGCTGTGAAATATTCCTCTTCGAATTTGACAAACGTTTCGCTGTTTTTGGACAAGACTTCGTGTATTATGACTATAATGATCCTTTGGGCATCCCTTTTCGTATTTCCAAGAATTCGTTCGATTTTGTCTTCGCCGATCCGCCATTTTTAACCGAAGAATGTTTTACTAAAGTTGCGAAAACGGTGGAATATTTAATGAAAGAAAAACTTATGTTTTGCACAGGTTAGTTATTAATGTTATCTCTTATTTACTACAGCGTAAAACTAAGAATTTTTCTCCTCTGACTTGAAAAAAGTGTCTAGTAGAATATATTTATAGGTGTATAACCCAGCTAGCGCTATACTCACTGCGATTGGCCCATTCCCAGTCACGTGTCTTTAGATAATTGCGATATTTCATGTTTCCCGCCCTAGCAACACGTGAGAAGTTGTTGCCCGCTTAGAAAAACAAAATGGCGACGAAAATTTGTAAACAATACATTTCAAAAATTAATAAAAAATCCGTAATCGGTAAAAAAACTGCTGTAATCGATCCAAGCAACATTTTTTCAATTGTGTAACCAACAATTTGTATTTCCCGCCCATGCCGCGCATCAGCGAATTACGTAACGCTGCCGGGCCAGCCCGCGCCATGTGAAAATAAACTGACCCGGTAAAGTGAGCTAGCCAGGCTCATATAAACAGGGCCTGATTGAGAGAAGAATACACCAAAAAGACTGAAATGCGATTCTCGCAGAGATAAAAAAGTCAGGTTTCTGAATTACAAGTTGAATTTACTGCCGTGTGAATATTCATTTGTCTATTTTTCTGTTGTGTTCCTCATTGCTTTTTGCTTATAACAAATCTTCTAATGAATAATATTTTTCCTTGGAAAATAGGGGCTTTTGTTTTTCGTTAAATCTCAATTTTTTTGTACTGCTTCATACGGACTGCTCTCGTAGCCAATCAGATTGCAGAAAAAATCTAAAATAAATCTAAAATATGATTTCCGACCGCAAGAAAAATAAATATGTTGTTTTCCTGCTAATCGTCGATAGTAAAACCATTATACTTGAACCAAAATATAGGACCATTATGTACATTCGTTTATCTTCGGCCATCGTATTGTCATGCATGTATTTACCTTTTATAGGTTTACGGATGCAAGATACGGTGGAAAAAATGTTTGATGCAAAACCATGCCAGTTCATTCCTCAACATAAAAACAATTTGATGAATGCTTTCAGATGTTATACAAACTATGACTGTAAACTAAACTAAATAAATAAACTGACTAAAAATATAAACTGAACTAAATATTTTAGTATTCTATACGCGAAACACAAAGTAATTTTTAGTTTCCGTAAGTTCAAATCATAGGCGTGCGAGAAGGCGCGAATGATTTCAGGAAAATCCGAATTTCCGGACTCATTATCATTACTAATTCTAACCAATACTAATTCCAAACAATATTCCGCATCGATTGACGGTTTTCGATTACTTTTGATTTTGGAAGCATGTTACAAGCAATTTTTGACTGTATTTGCAGCAAATAATATATAATTACATAACATTAATATTCAACAAATGTAACAGTAAACGCACACAATTAGAAGACATTGTCTTCTCTATTGGTAGGTTTCACGTATTGTTTTCATAGTGATTTGAGTGGGGGTCAACCGTAATTGTTCGACCCTTATGCTGAACAGGAGTGGGCAAATGATACGAAATTGCGTATATTTGCACAAAGCCAACACATACAGTGAACAATTAACTCACTGGCCGTCACTCCAATTTACTCTGTCTTGTTTTCGACGTCATTATGACGTCACATGAAACCCAAGAATTGTTGTAAATACAATCACAATTTATTTGAAGCTTCTGAAAAATCTGAACGACCAATTTTTTTTGTTTATGAAGTCATAATCTTGAAAACCTTGAGCGTTTAACGATTTGCACAAGATCGGAACTCGGTCACGCAGTTCCCTGGGAAAAAATTGGAAGAGCATTAATTGCCTTTACTGATGGATCATTTCAGAAGGACCATGTCATGCTTGTTCGGGATCATGTTAAAGGTCCACGAAATATTGCTTTTTTTAGAGAAATGTCTTTTTACATGAGACTCACACAGAATTGCTTCGAAAAAGTCCGAAAAATTCCACTCAGCCTCTGCACTCACAATTTACCCTAGGGGGGAATAGCAGCCTTTCGAGACTTCTTACATATGACAAAACTGACTGGGATTTGAACTAAACCATGCAGGTCAAATGGGCGGGCACAGTTGCGCAATCCTATAACAGGACTTTTGTTTTATTTAGGTCGGTAGTGGAGCAAGCATTAATGATTTGCTTTTTTTCTTGGGTTTTTCACTTGACAAAGGACAAAATGTCTTGGGTACTTCATCGATGGTTCGTTTTATTTGGAATTTCATTTCTGGTTCTGAAAGGTGAGATTTAAAGCCCGATTTACACAGGCAAATTCTTTCTTGCAAATTTAATAAGACAAATATATATTCAACCGTCAGTGAGAAATTCGTGATAAATTTGTTAAGAGAAAAGCATACATTCAGACAAAGTTCCATGCAAATTTTTCATGTCAAAGAAGATTTTGCTTGTGTGAAAATAGCTAATATCGTTTTGCGCAAAAAGCTAGGTTGCATTGAAAATATTATAAACTATATAAAGCTCATAAAAGCATTGAAATTCAATCTACCATTGTCTGAGACATAACATGTAGATTTGGTTTCAATATGCAAACATAAGATTGTATTGTTCAAAATATGTTGTTAAAACAGTTATGTGATTTACGGCTCGTTTTTAATTGAATGTCTTTTTATGTTCGCAGATTGTCGCTGTTTTTTTATCAGACATACTACTTCTGGAAAGTGTATCGCAGCTGGAAACCCAGTTTGGAACGATAGTCATGCAACTCGATATTGGGCTGAGCTGTTTATTAATTGCTTAAACGTTACTGCACAATTCCGATATTTTTGGGATACAGAAGTGGTGCATAACATTGCGAGGAATGGGACGGTTATGTTTCTCAGCGGTGGGAATTACCAACATCGCATGCTCGTTTATGACTCCGCAGAGATTACAGGTTTTGAAAGCGATCCCAGACATCGTATGAAACAAAAATCGGCTGGTTCACTTTATTTTTACGATAACAACGTAAACTCGTGCGCTCAGCCTGATGCCAATGACAGATACATTATGCAGAAGAAGAATGGTTGCAACGATACAGAAGAACAACAAAAGTTCACTTTCGGTAAGAAAAGAAAGATCAAACCATTTTCTCTTGCACAGATCCCGCACGCATACATTTATAAAATGTATCTGCCTTTAATGCAAAAATTTTGAACTTTAATTATTTGATTGATTTAAAAGGCTACTATGGCAAATAGCTTGTTTTTGTTAAAAAATACAGGAATTTTATGGCGTTAGTAATCATCACCGGCTTCCAGCACCCTATATGTTATCAAAATGGACTGTTCTTACAGTTATTTTATCACACACCTTTATATGACGGAAATCAGAAATGTAATAATTAATTGTTAAAATAAAGACGGCGACCCTATACATAGTTAATCTCCATTGTTAGGTTCAGTGACACAGTTCGGCGACAAAATGAAAGATGTTCATTGTTCTCCAATACAACGTATGGTGATCCACAAAGCTCATTATGGTGATTTTAACAATGGCGGAACATTCAATTTCAGTGCAACTATTGATAAGAATTGTAGTCGACTGGCAAGTTGTCGAGTGAAATCTCTTTGTGGTGGAAACAGATCTTGTGAACTGACTATTGACAATAATTTACTGTCATCACAATATTGTCCTGATACAACAAAAGAACTTTACATCGAGTACACTTGTGTGGATAACTATATCAACCCCATAACAACAGGTATTATAAATTCATAGATGGATAAATCTCCCGCGCGCCATTTTTTATGTTCGCGCGCTTCCTGGTCCGAGTACTTGGCGCGAGACAAAGCCAGGACACAGCAGAGTCCAAAAATTGCTTTTTGTAATTTGGATATGAATTTAATAAAAAAAAACTCCCAACAATGTTTAATAGATTAGTACCAATATATTTTGATAAGTGTAAACTTGTTACGTTAAATTTTTCAGTTCCCAATATAAGATTATCAAAGTCACCTAACGAAGGGTTCATTGAAATAAAGAATGGTTCAATATGGAGAAAAGTTAAAGATGAAATATGGGACAAAACTCGTGAAAAATCGCTTTGTCAGCGCTTGGGATTTAATGGGGCAGTGGGGAACGTTGTTAAAACTAAAGGAATCGAAAAAGATCAGGAAATTGCTAGTGGTGACCTTTGTTATGATGCATCACTGAACAATGCATGCTGTGTCCATCTTTATCCTTCTACGACAACGTCGACCGTTGATGCGCCATATGTGACATGTGAGTAGGATTTTGCGAACCATATTTCGTCCATTTCAACCGAACGAACACGATATGACGATTAATAATATTAATAAACATAACATTTTGGTCTTGTTCAACGTGCCAACTTTCATAGAAGTTCTCTTTATTTAAGGTAAGTTATGGGCGGATGAATTATTACAAAACAAAACTAAATTTCCGGACACGATATTTTCTGGAAGTGGTTCAACTGACAACACCAAGTACAAAGAAGCGAGGTTTTCTAACGATGGTTGGTGTCCAACAGAGTCTGGAGACAAATATCTTCAAATCGATTTTCAAAACGAATATCACATAACACGAGTTATGGTTATGGGTGATAAAAATCAAACAAAGTGGAGTAGGTCATATTCTCTGAAATACAGTTATAATGAAAGTTTGGTAGAACGTAGTGGTGAAATACGGGTAAGTAGACACGAATACTTTCAAGAAAAGATTCTTGAAAGCCTTTATAATAAGTCTATATTGAAGATATAAATTGAAAATCTATATTGAATATATTATAATTATTTAGTGTGTAGTAAATAAAACCTAAGCGGCGATTCATTTTGTAGATAAAAGGGAACTTGAACGGCTACCAACTATCAACTACTGACGTTGATTTATACTACGTAAGATATGTTAAGATTCAATCAATTGGAATTAATACAGATTTCTGTCTAAGAATAGAAATATGTGGGGAAGGTGAGGTTTTACTAACTATCATGTGCTGCACCCCAGCAACATAATTTTCATTAGGTTGTAGCAACTTGTAAAAGCTGCTATTTTTGACTGATAAGGCCCCGCGAATCCATGGTCCACATTTATTTCATTATTTTCCAGGTCAGATGCCAGCTCCGGTACGAAAGATTGTCGCTAAGCCATCGTTTCATTCGGTGCATCTTTCCTGGACCACACCAGCGCCCAACGTTTCTTCTCATATTACACATTTCATCATTTATTTAAACGGCACACAAGTGGATAGAATATCTCGCTCGCGTCATGCAAATAAGTACACTCTCCGAGGTCTGAAACCTAATACTTATTATCAAGTCGGCATAAAAACACTGGATGAATATTCTAAAGAGTCCAGGACAGTTCACAAAAGCGTTAGAACTAAAAGAGCCGGTAAGAATACCAAATTCTGATTTCTGTAAAGAGGACACCAGCCTTGTAGGAATACTCAATTCAAATACCTCAATTCAATTCAATTCAATTCAGTTCAAATGCAAATACACATGCAACGCAATTTAGATTAGCCTTAGGCGATAGCAAATGTTTGCACGGAATTCATGTGACTGTGGATATTTTTTAAACTCTGACCCTGTTTAAGAGGGATTCCTCTGATGAGGTCTGAGCCTGTGGTTTAACAGCATCAAGTAATGTTGTACTACCGAAATTGTTCACACTTGTCAATTGAACAATACTGTTCAAAATAAATTGGTGTTACAAAATTGTTAAATGTTGAGAACAACTCTAAACATTGTGGGCCGCATCATGACAATGTTTAATTGTGATCAATCTTTGCATAAACTTGATCGTTATTAGCTAGTCGTGCAGTTGCTCTGACTCTGGGGCTGGTGGACCAGCTGTAATTTTCTTTCTCGCGTTCTTCAGGGTTTTTTCTAAGGCATACTCAATCAGGAAAGTGTGTTGCAGCTGAAACTCCCGCCTTTGGAGTAAATGAATACGCGAGCCGTTATTATGCTGAAATGGTCATCAACTGTTTGAGTGATACTGCGCTATTCCGTTACCTCGACAACAAATTGTTGCATAACATCCAGACGGAAGGGAACGTCATATATATATATGGTCATTACAGCGATCGCTTGATTTTATATGACGCCAAAAATCAGGTTGGGAGTGACTTGGCAAACGATAAGAAACATCGTATAAAACAAACAACTGGAGGATCTTTATTACTGTACGAGGTAAATGATTGTGTTCAACCTGGTGTGCACTATATTGACGTGAAAAATACCCCATGCGACGACACAGCAAAACAAAAGTTTACTTTTGGTAAGTATACATATAGATTTCTTGCCCTTTTTAGTAAAACGTTTCCATGTACATATGCCTGCAGTTGAAGATATTCAAGTTTTTAGGTTTTCTAAATCAGTAATACCCGACCTAATTATAATCTATCTATTTTTAATACCCCCACTTTTTTGACCCAGTTCTTATCTCTCGCTAAAGATCGAGTTTAAATTTAAGGATAAACATAGAGAATAAGATATGTGGTAGAGTAGTGACGATATTGGTACCATGCTGCATGCAAAATATTAGGTTCAGTGACACAGTACGGCGACAAAATGAAAGATGTTCATTGTTCTCCAATACAACGTATGGTGATCCACAAAGCTCATTATGGTGATTTTAATAATGGCGGGACATTCAATGTCAGTGCAACTATTGATAAGAATTGTAGTCGACTGACAAGTTGTCAGGTGAAAACTCTTTGTGGTGGAAACAGATCTTGTGAACTGACCATTGACAATAATTTACTGTCATCACAATATTGTCCTGATACTACAAAAGAACTTTACATCGAGTACACTTGTGTGGATAAATATACGTATACCCAATAACAACAGGTATTAATGGTTATTAAATCGTTTTCTTCTTGTGTTTGGAAATATATTGTTGGAAATGAAGCTTCTGGCTATCGATCATTTCAGTATACAACCATGCTCAATACTTGTCCTATTTCAGCTTTGAATATAAGGTTATCGATGACACCCAACGAAGGTTTCATTGAGATAAAGAATGGTTCAATATGGAGAAAAGTAAAAGAAGAAATCTGGGACACAACCCGCGAAAAGTCTCTGTGTCAGCACTTGGGATTTATTGGGAGAGAAGGAAGCGTCGTTAAGACAAAAGGAATCGAAAAAGATCAGGAAATTGCAAGTGGCGACGTTTTTTTTTATGATGCATCTCTGAACGATAGATGCAGTGTCCATCTTTATCCTTCTACGACAACGTCGACCATTGATGCGCCATATGTGACATGTGAGTAGGATTTTTGTGAATCCATTTAGTCCATTTCAACGAACACGATATGGCAAATCGCATATAACATGACATTTTGGTCTAGTTCAGGATGTCAACTTTGAATAAAGCTCTTCTTTGCTTTAGGTAAGATATGTAAGAATGCGTTATTACAAAACCAAACTAAATTTCCAGACACAGTATTTTCTGGAGGTGGTTCCACTAACAAGACCATGTACAAAGAAGCGAGGTTTTCTAGCGATGGTTGGTGTCCAACAGAGTCTGGAGACAAATATCTTCAGATCGACCTTCAAAACGAATATCACATAACGCAAGTTCTGGTTATGGGTGATAAAAATCAGACAAAATGGAGTAGGTCATATTCTCTGAAATATAGTTATAATGAGAGTTTGGTGGAGGATAACAGTTCAGTATGGGTATGTACAGAAATACTTCCAAAATAAAATTCGTCAAAGCTTCTTGATTGAATGTATTGATTATACGTATTTGAATATATTATGATTATTTAGTGTGCAGTTAAAAGGAGATCTGAAACAGGATTCGCTTTTTAGATAAAAGGAAACCTGAACGGCTACCAACTATTAACTACAGCCGTTGATATGTACAATGTAAGATATGTTAAGATTCAATCAACTGAAAACACAGCCTTTTGTTTTAGGATTGAAATATGTGGAGAAGGTGAGGCTTTACTAACTAGCATAGTAGCATATCATTATTTAGTTTGATTTAATATCAGCATCACGCTCGTACAAAAAAACTGAATAACACGGAACAATAAAGTATTCACTCTTTTGTACAAGTGAATAAAAATTTATGACTGATATGTCTCCATGCATACGTGCTTTAAATTTCTTTTTCAGGTCAGATGCCAGCTCCGGTACGAAAGATTGTCGCTAAGCCATCGTTTCATTCGGTGCATCTTTCCTGGACCACACCAGCGCCCAACGTTTCTTCTCATATTACGCATTTCATCATTTATTTAAACGGCACACAAGTGGATAGAATATCTCGCTCGCGTCATGCAAATAAGTACACTCTTCGAGGTCTGAAACCTAATACTTATTATCAAGTTGCCATAAAAACACTGGATGGATACTCGAGAGAGTCCAAAACAGTTCACAGAAGCGTTAAAACTAAAAGAGCCGGTAAGAATTACAAAGTAAAGAGGACGTTTATCGCTAGGGCGATTTTTTTGCTGAAATGATTCCCTTTGTTGAAAATGCATCAGTCTTGTGGGAATGCACAAATATGAAATATCAATCATTAACATAGCCAGCCTGATGCTAAAATTTTGATGACAGCCAGGCAGGCTGTCAGTTTATGCTAAAATGTTGATGTTCATTGACTGTAAAAACAATTATACATTTTTCAGTAAAGCGCGATTATAATAACTTAGAATTGCATAGATAGCTTAATTGCCAAGTACTTTGCCAGACTTACTACGCTAGTGGATAGAATTCTTACTCTAAAGTAGCTGTAGCCGAGAAAAACTACTTGTAAAAATTTGGTATGGTTTTGTTCGTGGTTAGTGTGGTTCATTAGACTGAAGGAGAATTCCTAGAAATCTCCACGACTAGCATTTCAATGCCATGGTCATTGGCTAGTAGATTCAATCATTGCATCATCACTCCCTTCTATGCACAAGGACGTCTATATCCAGCGCTAATTGTGTCTTTTCGCGTTTTCAAGGTTTTTTTCTCAGGCATACTCAATCAGGAAAATGTATTGCAGCCGAAACACGTACACTTTGCGATGATGGAAACGGGACCTGGTATTGGGTCGAAATGGTCACCAACTGCTTGAGTGATACTGCGCTGTTCCGTTATAACGATAACAAACTGTTGCATAATATTGAGACGGAAGGGAACGTCGTGTCTGATTATGGTCATAACAGTGATCGTTTGTTTATATATCACGGCAAAAATCAGGTTTGGAGAGATTGGGCGAACAGAACTAGATATTGTATAAAGCAAACAACTGGAAGATCTTTATTACTGTACGAAGTGAATGACTGTGTCCAGCCTGGCGTGCACTATGTTGACGTGAAAAATACCTCATGCGACGACACATTAGAACAAAAGTTTACATTTGGTAAGATGTTTTACAACAGTGGTTGTGTATATAGGTTTCCACGCTCAGATTTTCACCGTGAAGGATAAACGAGCATTCACAGGTTATCTATCTTTCTCACTAACAAATCGTAATTATGACCATTTTTGCAGATCTAATGTTCCCTTTTTTGGTCGACCTTTGCTCCATATTCTTGCACAATAGTGCTAAAAATCGAATTAAGTTAACAATAAGCATATGCATGTCTATATGGTAGTGTTTACGTATTGCTACGATTCGATGCTGTCTTGGCGATCTTAGGTTCAGTGACACAGTACGGCGACAAAATGAAAGATGTTCATTGTTCTCCAATACAACGTATGGTGATCCACAAAGCTCATTATGGTGATTTTAACAATGGCGGAACATTCAATTTCAGTGCAACTATTGATAAGAATTGTAGTCGACTGGCAAGTTGTCTGGTGAAATCTCTTTGTGGTGGAAACAGATCTTGTGAACTGACCATTGACAATAATTTACTGTCATCACAATATTGTCCAGATACTACAAAAGAACTTTACATCGAGTACACTTGTGTGGATAACTATACCAACCCTATTAAAGCAGGTGTGGTGTATTTTATAAATTTATTTTCAGCGATAAAGTGAACTGGAGCTTATAACAATGTTTTGTGGCTTCATACCAAAGTTTTTTAAAAAATACGTGTTTCATTTTCAGCTCCTAATATAAGATTATCAAAGTCACCGAGCGAAGGTTTCGTTGAAATAAAAGATGGCTCAATATGGAGAAAAGTTAAAGAAGAAATATGGGACAAATCCCGTGAAACTTCGCTGTGTCTGCATTTGGGATTTAATGGGGCAGTAGGGAACGTTGCTAACAACAAAGGAATTGAGAAAGATCAGGAAATTGCTAGCGGTGATCTTTGTTATGATACTTCTGAGAACGATAGATGCTGTGTCCATCTTTATCCTTCTACGACAAAGTCAACCATTGATGCTCCCTATGTAACATGTGAGTTGGATTTTATTGAAGTTCCAGATAGAATTGATAATATTGATCATGATTGATCAGATAATAATTACTGTTTTCACTTAAGGTAAGTTATGGGCGGATGGATTGTTACAAAACAAAACTAAATTTCCAGACACGATATTTTCTGGAAGTGGTTCAACTGATAAGACCATGTACAAAGAAGCGAGGTTTTCTAGCGATGGTTGGTGTCCAACAGAGTCTGGAGACAAATATCTTCAGATCGACCTTCAAAACGAATATCACATAACACGAGTTGTGGTTATAGGTGATAAAAATCAAACAAAGTGGAGCGGGTCATACTCACTTAAATACAGTCATAATGAAAGTATGTTGGATGGTAGTACTAAAATACAGGTAAACGCAGAGGATTTAATCCGAGAACGCATTCTGAAAACCTTGTTTTCCCATATGTTCTGGAAAACACATCTTATAAACTCGAAATCTGAGTTGGTGTCATTTCAAACCAATGTGATTCTCTACCATTTGGTTGTCTTGTATTTACAAGATGTTGTTTTTGGGAGCATTTTTTCATAGCAAGTCCATTCTCTTCCATTCAATTAGACTAAATCCATTAGACTAAACGTTTCGATTAATTACCGTGGTTTTTCATAAATATATAGTTTTAGTGCTTGTTGATTAGAAAAGCAATACTTCAAAACCCCTCTCTTTTCAGATAAAAGGAAACCTTAAAAGCTATCAACCATCGACTACGGAAGTTGATATTTACAACGTGGGATATGTTAGGGTAGAATCCGTTGGAAAGACTGACTTTTGTCTGAGATTAGAGCTCTGTGGAGAAGGTAAGGCATGATTACCATTGCTTGCTGACATTTTTTGAACAAAAAAGGTCAATTCAACAAAACGAACTCCTTCTTTCAGTTCAATCCTTGGCACCTGTGCAAAATGTTGTTGCAAAACCATCTAATTTCTCTGTTTATCTGTCGTGGACAATACCACCACCTGCGGCATCCACTTACATCACACATTTTATCATTTATCTGAACGGCACAGAGCTCAATAGAATATCGCGTGCAGATTACGGAAATCAATACGTTCTTCGAGGCCTCAAACCCTACACAAATTATGTTGTTGGCATAAAGACACAGGATGGTTATTCAATGACTACTCAGCCAATAATTTATCAAAATTTCAAGACCAAGGAAGCTGGTATTCATAACGGCAAAAAATACTGGTGTTTTATTTTGAATTTTTCAACCGAGGACCCTAACTCTGTTTTTATTCTTTACCGTACTAGTTCCAAGTGGACCTCCACGCAGTGTTGTGATTGAATCTCGCAGCATCAATTCGCTCGAAATTTCTTGGAAAGCTCCTGATAAAGTTGTTTGTAACGGTGAGCTGACGGGATATCAGATTTGCTATTCCACCAACGAGAATGATAAAAGTCCGACCTGCTCAAATGTGGAATTTTTTTCTGACTTATCATACGCTATTTTGAATCTTCTGCCCTCAACGAAGTATTTCGTGGCAGTTTCAGCTTGCACAAAAGTTGGTTTTGGAATCAAGAGCTTAGAAATCAGTGAAATAACAAATGGAGGTAAAGGGAATTTAAAAGGAGAAATATTTAGCACAGCAGAAGAACTGCTTTTTGCATAATTTGATCAATTGTGAAACACGTTACCTATCTCCTGCAGAAACTAGTAAAATGTTTTGTTTTATGTGATGTCATTTATAGAGTCTATTAACCCAGTTGTAATATCTCACTCGAGTCTCAGATTAACGATACCTAAGACAGCGGGGTATATAAGGTATGTGTATTTTGACTGTCATGTAGTGAATGTAAGCACGTCTGCAGGTATAATACCAATTATATTTCATTCCCATTCAGAGAGGTAATGATTATTGTGCAAAGAACCACAAATCGTCCAGCACCAAGAGAAGACGACGATACCAACAAACTCAAACTTTGCCAGGAAAACAATCAAGATCGCTACGTTGCTGCGTATTTGAGAGCAGAACTTCTACCTTTATCGTTCGTGATTGGCGATGACAAGGAATATAACTCTGAAAACGTGACATACGTTAACCACTACCTTCAGGGTAACACAAGTTACAGGGTGTTCGTGAGATTTTTTGAAAGTGAGGTACTGAACTGAATGTATTCTACATGTTAATAAATGATAAAACTAGACCCAGTTATAATTCCACAATTCATAGGGTCTGCGGTAGATCCTTAATTGGGAAGGGGGTATACACATAGCTATATTCGTATTAACAGACCGTAAAAACAATCAATTTGAAAAGAAACTAACAATACAAAACACGAATGTATGAATATTAGCAACCACCCAAATTAAGATTCTTCCGTAGTCCCTGATTTATCATATTATTCGTCTAGAAATCTTACTACTCTACAGAATGGAGCAACAGTGTAAGGACAATGGTTACACCAGGTTAGAAATCATGAATATAATGTAACAATAGATCGTTGGTTAGCACTATGCATACGTATGGACTGTGGATGAAGTTGTTTCAATTGTTACTATACAAATTTCATTACTTCTAATCATATTGGATTTGGAGCATTTAAAGTGGAAGTCAATTCCGTATGTAAACAAACGGTTTGTTTGCAAATTTCAAGCCAAGCAGATAAATTTTAAATCTGTTTTTAGCCGTTTTTTTGAACCATACTGTTTTTGCCCAATCCAGCAAGAAAGAGGCTCCTATGGCTATGGATCTTCTTATACCGGTTGTTATTTTGGCTGTATGTTTCGTGCTTTCACTGGGTGTAAACTTCTACCAACATCGTCTTCTTCGAAAAAAAAATAGAGTGAGCAATAGGTATCAAACCTCAAGACATACGAATATAAACGATGTTATTGACGAAATTGAGCACAACGAGGCAGCTGCACTGGAGACAGGCGAAGGACCGGAATCATCATTGACTTACACGTCTTTGAAAAAGACAGAGAACCTGGAAACGTTTATCAGGCACTGCAACCTCCTTGCACCATTGATGATCGAAGGCGTTTTCATTCAGTGGAATTTCAAAATCCTGTCTTCAATTCAGATTTTAGTTGAGATTGATTCATTTTATATGGAATTTCTTGAGATATCGTAGCCATTTTTATTGATATAGTCGTTCATGTACATATATAGTACGTGGAAATTTCCACAACCAAGTTTTTTTTTGACACAAGGCCTTCACTCCAGAGCCGAAGGCTCGATAGTTCTTTGTCCTTTATTTTTTGTAATTCCGATCCCTGAAGGCAACTATATGTGAATAAATTGTGGAAAGTCTGATTTCACCGTGTTTTTAGTAGATTGACTTTTAATCTGTGATCTTTATCAGGACTAGAAAAAAAACCTGATGGTTATTTTGCCGCCATCTATAAAACCAATGTGATTTAAGTGATTTGGAAAATGCCCTAATTGTGCGTAATAGTCAGTTGGTGCGTGAGTTCCAATAGCTCATTTGTTCTAAAGTATTCTTTAAGTGGAAGCTGTAGGCTAATTTTCCCCTTCGTCATTTTTGACTTGTGTAGCTGTGCCATGCAGGGCAGAATTAATAGTCAGTTTGGAGTAAGGTTACTTTACTTACTTTATTTCATTCTGTGTTTCTCTCGTGTTAAATAATAACCACTACAATTAACTGCTATATCGAGATTTTGCTGAACTCCTATTGGCTTTGATATACAACTTTTGTTGAGAATGAGTGATATTGATCTGGTAGAAACTGGCAGTGGGTCAGATGATGATAAAGATGTGCCCACATTGCCAGCAGATACGTTGGCCATTTTAGAAGACTTTTATAAAGAACAAAATAAAAAACATCAAAACGAAGAACAGGGTGATATAGGAGAGGACTGGGTAAGAGCATAAATATGTCATATTGTTTCATCAGAAAACTATTAAAGTAGCTCTAATAATTGTCCTCATATAACTCCCACCCATGTTACCCATGGGCCCATTAGCCCTATACCTATAACAGGGTTAGTAAGTTACTGAATAAATAAGCCAAACATTGTTATTGGTCGCCCTTTGATTTAAACGAAGAAAGCAAATGTTATGTTAATAATATTTGGCTTATTCATAAAATCTACCAACCCTGACCTGTATATAACCCAGGTTTGGGAGCTGGCCAGTGTGCCCCTCAGTGTACATGACCATATATTAATATTTCAAAAGCAAAGCTGCTCAAATCTAGTTTTTTTTACAAAGATTCAACATAAATAATTACGTAAAGTCAGTATACCGCTTCATTATAGGTTTTGACTAGCTTTCACAATTCCTAATTACTAATGCTACAATATACCATGCACACTGTAATTTCCATTAATTTCCTGATTTCAAACAACAAGCACATATAATAATTCAACAATCATTAATAATTCATTTATCATCAGCAACTCAGTCAATTCTGGTATGATGATCATACAGCCACAACTTTAGCAGAAGAGGTCCTGAAAGCTAGTAGCAATGGAAGGTATGCCATTGAGTTTAAACTGGCAAAAGGGCCTGCAGAGCTTATTAAAGAGGGAGGGAGCCATTCAATGCATGGTGAAGGAATATTAGAATTCCCTTACCAACCAATCTTGAGGGTTGGAGGCCCAGCTCAAATTATGACTGGAATTCCCTAAGAAGAATTTCAATTTTTCCATATTCTCCTAAATGCTCAGTCCAACTTCTCTGTGACCTGTCTTGGAGGTAAAATATTTGTCCACAGTGCAGCAAAATTTCCTTGACAGTTGTTCTCAAAATATTTTTCTGCCTGAACATTGATAGTAAGAACAAATAGTGGAACGTACTAAATGGTCACCAGACTGGCTGCTTCACTGGTTGTGCATGTAGTTTTTTTAAAAACTACCTCCCCCTGTCCAATGAAGAAACCAAGCTTGTAGACTTTGGTACGAATCTGCTTTATTTTCCTTGCAGAATCTGCTGTTTGTGCGCGCCGACTCTTTACAAAAAACTTTGTCAACTCAGGCCAGACAGCTGTGAAATTTTCCTCTTCGAATTTGACAAACGTTTTGCTGTTTTTGGACAAGACTTCGTGTATTATGACTATAATGATCCTTTGGGCATCCCTTCTCGTATTTCCAAGAATTCGTTCGATTTTGTCTTCGCCGATCCGCCATTTTTAACCGAAGAATGTTTTACTAAAGTTGCGAAAACGGTGGAATATTTAATGAAAGAAAAACTCATGTTTTGCACAGGTTATCTCTTATTTACTACAGCGTAAAACTAATAATTTTTCTCCTCTGACTTAAAAAAAGTGTCTAGTAGAATATATTTATAGTGCTGTATGTCAGTATGTGTATAACCCAGCTAGCGCTATACTCACTGCGATTGGCCGATTTCTAGTCACGTGTCTTTAGGTAATTGCGATATTTGATGTTGCCCGCTCAGAAAAACAAAATGGCGCCGAAAATTTGAAAGCAATGTGAATGTTTTTTCAGTTTATTAAAAGAATTGAGATTGAGAGAAAGATACACAAATTCTCTTCTTTTTGTTTCTGAACAGCAAATTTGAATTAACACTGCCGTGTGGACATTGTTTTTTTTTCTGTTGTATTCCTCATTGCTATTGCCTTATAAAATTTTGCTAATGTATTTTCTTCGGGGAAATAGTGGCTTTTATTTTCCCTTAAATCTCAATTTTTTGTACCGCTTCATACGGCCGCCCTCGTAGCCAATCAGATTGCAGAAAAGGCTGAAAAGCGTGAAATATGAATTCGGACCGCAAGAAAAAATATAGATGTTGTTTTCCTCTATGGTAAAACCATTACTTGAAACAAAATATGACCATTAATAGGCATTATGTAGTATGTACATTTTTTTCATTTCCGTGGCTCCGCCATCGTATTGTCATGCATGTGTTTACCTTTTGTAGGTTTACGGATGCAAGATACGGTGGAAAAAATGTTTGATGCAAAACCATGCCAGTTCATTCCTCAACATAAAAACAATTTGATGAATGCTTTCAGATGTTATACAAACTATGACTGTAAACTGAACTAAATAAATAAACTGAACTACATATTTTAGTATTCTACAATCTCAAAGCACACAAAGTACTTAAATCTGCAAAACTGATGATTTACCGATTTATAAGTTTGGGTAATCCTGCAATGGATATCTTAATTACATATGCAAATAAAGTCAGCAAACAAATTCACACCTAAATTAAATTGCTGTTAAATTACTTTAATTATAATCACTCCCTGTCGCCTATTCAACTCTGATTCGGACACAAAAACGGTTTTCAGTCATACATATAGTTTGATATCCTGATGAAAAACACTTTCTCTTCTTTAGTTATTATTGGAACGACCAGCCTTTTCACATGATTTATAATAGACTTGAGTGTGTTCACTGTGTTGACATGTTTATTTTCTCTAAGGGTATTATTAGCTTTGTTCCAAACATTAACAACCAAGTATTTTGCCTAAATACAAGTCAGCAACCAGTAGAAATCAGCGACTGATTTTGTTTATGCTTAGGTTTCTATAATAATTACCTATAAGTTCCGCTTTCGTCGTTTGATGCAGGTCGACTACTCCAGGCATATGTACTCCAGGCACACTCCAGGAATGTAAACAGAACACTCGATCCGGAAGTGGACGGAAGTAGATGCATTAATTGCTGGAAGTATAGATACAAGAATTAAAGCAAATTCTATGATTTGCTTTTCGTGTTAAGTTTGTTCGCCTGGTAGAGGACCGAAGATGTTTTGGTTATGGCATCGCTGGATAGTTTCATGTGGTATATCATTACTGGTTGTTAAAGGTGAGGTTTAAAACCAAGTTTGCACGGGACAAATTCCATGCATCTGATATCATTACCGGTTAATGTGAAATTTGTAATAAATCTGTCACGTCAGATGGGTTAAGACAGAGAATCCCAAACAGTGCTAATTTTCTATATCAAGGATAATTTGTATATCAAGAAGAAAAGTATTATGCGTTATACTCAGCAAGAGCTCGTGCTAGGCTGTTTTTAGGATATTGGAACCCTCAGTTTGGCGTTTATATTACGACGCATCCCTTACCGCGAATTCATTTGCAATTTTTAAAACAAATACTAGGTGTCCGAAGACGTGAAGTCTAGAAAATTGGCGCATTATGTTCATGAGAAAGTGTCAAAATCTACCTTTAAAATTAATGTGACCGTATGCCGTTCGCTGTTTCGTTTTGGATGAGCTTAAGGTCTCGATACAATTCATGCTTGCAATGAAATCCAATCTACCATAAAACAAATACGGGATATAGGGACAAACTTCATGCATGCAATAAAATCCAATCTCCTATAAAATAAATACGGCATAGGAGCAAACTACGAAGAATTCGTCATTCAAACGGCTCTTGTGTACTCTTTTTACCACATAAATAATTTCCCACTTCCTGTACACTTTCTAAATACCGTCTGATTCTGTTTCGTCTCACGTGTGATTCCGAGTATTTGTCCACATAGACTAGTTCATCTAGATAGTTTGTCAGTCTTGAGAACAAGGAGCTAGGAGAGCTATTCCATCATAGTATTAATTTGCACCGGGCAGCGAAGTGATATGACATTATTTCCATTTTTTCACCAAAAATTCGTAAAAATCAGGCGATTCGAATGATAATTATGATATGTATCATTCCCCGGTCGAAATCGACTAGTGTGGGCTCTGGTTTCGAGATTGATGACAGGATATTCAGGTGCGGGTTCGCGGAAATCGAAATGGAAATCGAAAAATTTAAAAAGACCATTTTTCTTTGTTATATTTTTAAGAACATGGCCGTAAATGAGAGTTTTTTTCATTTAGTTTGATCGCAATACACGCGTAAAAACGCTTAGGTTGATGCAAGTTGATATAAACAGGATGGAGCAATGTTGTGCTGCCGACATTGTTCAGAGTTGTTATCAATATTGAACAATATTGTTACACCCGATTCAGTTTCAACAATATTGTTCAATATTGATAACAAATCAGAACAATTTGGGCAGCACAACATTGCTCCATCCTGTTTATATCAACTTAGCTCCGTGGGGTTTGCTATTTTTTGCGAAAAGTTGACTAGTCAGCGGCACGGGCGACCGCCAGGCTTTATAAAAGTTTATAAAAGTTTTTATACCCTATTGTATTACTTGTAATAAACGTAATCTGACACCAACTCCGGTTAACTCGAACCCTTCGGAAACTCGAACAATATTTCTTTTCCTTTCTTGGAAGTTGGAGTTAGCGAGAGCGTACTGTAACGCGCGTTAACTAATCACTTAATACAATATTATTATTGTTAGCCATCATTCGAATGCTTTACGCTAAAAATATATTTTCTTCTTGTACTACACGGCGCAAACCGCATCGCTAAACGATGGCACTAAAAACGGCTCAAGTTCTCAAACGGCTACAAATATGTCAAGTAAGCTGAACATCACTCGGATTGTTTCGCAGATTTCGTCGCTGTTTTGACTTCATATAAAATTCAAAGAGATGGCCATTTAAGATTCATATTCATACTCCTATATTATAAAAGAATAAAAGCCTTTGGATTAACGTGCAGCGACGACACCTCATGAGAACCCAAACTGTTGACAAAAATATCCTAAGCGATGTTATATAATCACGTTGTTTTGATCTCTGGGAAACTCCTATATAATATGGGGGCTATGGTTTAACAGCCTTGTCCGCTAAAGCGTGAACTTGCTTTAAACACGGTGGTTGTGTCCACCGGGTTGTAAGGTTATTGATGTTGGGTAGTGACAGAATTCTGACGGCTTGTACTCTCAGGAGTTGTGCTCACTGGATACGAATCCTAAAACCTCAAATCTTTGTGGTTTAAGAGTATGAATGTAAATCTCAAATGGCCAACTTTTAGAATTTTATTTAAAGTCAAATCAGCAAAAAAATTAGCGAAAAAATCTTAAATGGCCGTTCGTCAATTTGAGCCACTTTGTGTACACTTGTTTGCCGGTGTTGTTTCCGTGGCATATTACGGATAGAAGAGATATTTTTTGCTTAGAGAATTCGAATAATTGTTAACATTGATGATATGAAATTTACAGTTCAATAAACCTAAAACGAAAATTTGCAGAAACCGGGTTAGTTGCCTTCGCAAAGGGATTAAATTTATGCCACGGGTACGTGCAGGAAATCTGACGGCTAGACTTTACAGAAGTTTTCTGTCGGTTTCGCAAGCTGGAAGAAGGTTAAATGTATAAGAATATTCTCATAAGCTTTCTCTCGAATGGCTATCTTTCAGTTTTTACAAAAACCCGTCGTAAAACTAGTAAATCGAACTTTCAGTATAAAGCCTGGCGGTCGCCCGTGCCGCTGACCAGTCAACTTTTCGCAAAAAATAGCCAACTTTACGGAGCTATTGCGAGCAACTAAATAAAATAAAACTCTCATTTACGGCCATGTTCTTAACAATATAACAAAGAAAAATGGCCTTTTTAATTTTTTCGATTTCCATTAAAAGCGAAGCGGCTACATCCGGAGCCAGTTCCGTTTTCGCTAACCCGGAGCTACAAACACGGAGCTGAGTATCCTGTCATCGTCTCAAAATGCCGGCTAGATGTATCGTATGCGGTTGTTCCAACACACCAGATGCTTAAAATCAAACGTACAATGGAGATTTGCGCCCAGAGGAAGTAAGGAGACGAAAGAAATGGATATAGACGTCGTTAAATTCAAGCGCGCTGGATGGAAGCCATCACGTGAAAGTCATGTTTGCTCCAAACATTTTAAGTCTGATGACTTTTTGGAAATTCGCCTGGTTTAGAACGACACACATTCCCTCGACTGAAGAGAGACGAAATTGGGGGTTTCATGGGTTCTTAACATTCCTTGTAACGTAGTTTTGCTCTTTGCGCCAGTGTCTTAATCTGTTACAACAGATGGTTGTGATTCCTGACTATAGGATGCGCTTTCTCTCATAACCTAAAATGGCATTTAGAATGTTCAACTCTAATGAATTACCGACATAATTTCTCGACAAATAAGTCTAAAACATGAGTAACTGTAACATTCTCACCTTGCATCGAATCACCCTTGCAGATCTCGCAGATAAGTCCATCTGTTTTTCCCGTGACCGCAATTTGTATCGTTGGATACGGGGTAACCCCAATTTCATCGCTCTTCAGTCGAGGGAACGTGTGTTGTTCTAAACCAGGCAAATTCCCAAAAACTCATCTGACTTAAAATGTTTGGAGCAAACATGACTTTCACGTGATGGCTTCCATCCTGCGCGCTTGAATTTAACGAAGTCTTATCCATATCTGTCGTCTCCTTACTGCCTCTGGGCGCAAATCTCCATTATACATTTGATTTTAAGCATCTGGTGTGTTGGAACAACTGTATACGACACATCTAGCCGCCGGCATTTTGCAACGCAAAATATACAAATATTGATGCATACGACATATATTTATTGTAATGTGAAACTAGTCGATTTTTTCCGTGCCCGGTATGACGTCATAACCCTAATTAGTTCTCAGACTAATTTCTCCCGGCCAACTATTGAAAAAACCTATATTTTGGCATGTTTCATCCAAAATATCTTCAGAAATATTTATCCGACCGGGGAATGATACATATCATTCGAATCGCCTGATTTGCGAATTTTTAGTGAAGAAATGGTAATAATGTCATATGCACTTAACATAATCAGTTATAATTTAGCTCTAAAATTTGCTCGATTTGCTTGGCAAAATTCCCTGGGTACGAGGTTGTTTGAGTTGTCCTTCCCATTACATCTGCCTTTCAAGCAAATCAACGTCACTGAAAACAACCAATAAGTTCATCAATTATCAATTATATATAGTTGTGCTTCCCGGTTCCTTTTTCTCTGAGGCTGAGGAACGAAAGTTAATTGTCTCTTCCGTTTTTAAGGTTTTTTCCTTAGGCATCCTCAATCAAGGAAGTGTATTGCAGCAAAAACACCCACCTTCCGAAGTGATAATTACGGGAGCCGTTATTGGATCGAAATGGTCACCAACTGCTTGAGTGATACCGCGCTGTTCCGTTATGACGATAACAAACTGTTGCATAATATTGAGACGGAGGGGAACGTCGTGTCTGATTATGGTTCTTACAATAATCGTTTGTTTATATATGACGGCAATAATAAGGCTGGAAGAGATTGGGCGAACAGTACGAAACATAGTATAAAACAAACAGTTGGTAGATCTTTATTTTTATACAAAGAGCGTCTTTGTGTTCAGCCTAGTGTGAAGTATGTTGACGTGAAAAATGCCTCGTGTAGAGGCACAGATATGGAAAGGTTTACATATGGTAAGATATTTTACATTTTTTGGTAAAGCTTCTTACAGACAAGCAAGTTTTCTGTGACAAGTTTTTATGTGACAAGTTTTAATTGTTCGTCTTTACGCCCAAGAAAAAATATAGTTGTCAAAGTTGGGCGTACAGACGAACAATTAAAACTTGTCACATAAAAACTTGTCATAGAAAACTTGCTCGCTTGCCTAAAAGTTAACTCCATGTGCATTTCTTTAGTGAGGTATATCGTGCATGTATTCAGAGTTTTCGACAACTCCTTTTTTATTTGGCAGATCATTTTAAAACAATAATGCTATCATACTTTAGGGGTTAAAACGTGCTTTGACATTGCTGTTTTTTTGCGTTGTGACTATGCGAATACAATATACTTAAAACAGGGCCTGCCAGCTGACGTTCAACCACTGCTGTGGCCAGACTGGGCAGCTTAATAATCTTGCTGTAGAAATTCATTGGTTTTACTGTCAATGAACACCAAAATATTAGTATAGTAGAACTAAATTGCCGCGCTGGTTACGCCACTCGTCGACGGCCTTTTTTTTATGGAGCAAGTAATCCCGGTTAAGCCTTTGATGTGATGCGCTTTTTACCTGGCCTAGCCTGGATAACTCGCTCCATGTAAACAGGCCCTGAATAACCATGATAAACATGATAAACATGATAAACATAATAAACATGATAAACATGATAACCATGATAAACATGATAAACATGATAAACATGATAAACATGATAAACATGATAAACATGATAAACATGATAAACATGATAAACATGATAAACATGATAAACATGATAAACATGATAAACATGATAAACATGATAAACATGATAAACATGATAAACATGATAAACATGATAAACATGATAAACATGATAAACATGATAAATATGATAAATATGATAAACATGATAAACATGATAAACATGATAAACATGATAAACATGGATGTCTGTGATGGTAGCGTATGGAGATAACGATATGCTGATGTATAATGCATGGCTATCAAACTGCCACAATATAACTTTTTTGGTTTCGTGATTTTAGGTTCGGTGACACAGTACGGGGGCAGAATGAAAGATGTTCATTGTTCTCCAATACAACGTATGATGATCCACAAAGCTCATTATGGTGATTTCAATAATGGCGGGACATTTTATGTCAATGCGACTATTGATAAGTATTCTAGTCTACTGACAAGTTGTAGGGTGAAATCTCTTTGTGGTGGAAACAGATCTTGTGAACTGACCATTGACAATAATTTACTGTTATCACAATATTGTCCTGATACTACAAAAGAACTTTACATCGAGTATACTTGTGTGGATAACTACATCAACCGCATAAGGACAGGTAATAGTGGATTTTCACTTCTGGAGAATGGTTCGCTAGAGGAATTTTCTCTTTAATTTTTACAGCATAATGAATTAGTTCAATTCGACTGATCTCAATTCAAAGAGAATATTGCAAACTGTATTTCGCTAGCGAACCATTTCATTGCAAGTGGAAACCCGAGCATAATGCACGCTACTTCAACTGTTATCAATTTAAATAGTCTTAGGCCTTGGTTATGAGATGATAAACCTCATTAAGCTTCATCATCACCTCATTATCTAAAAATCTATTGTTTAAATTGCATTTGAGGCGACCCAAGTGCGTCGTTTAACCTAGCTAAGACTATTTTTGCCGACGTGAAAATGTATCAAATCTAAATATTTAATTAACTTTAAAAAATTTAGCGTCCAATCTAAGACTGTCAAAGTCAGCTAACGAAGGTTTCCTTGAAGTGCAAAATGGCAGAACCTGGAGAAAGGTTAATGAGGAGAATTGGGATAAAAATCATCAAAGAATGCTATGTAAACACTTGGGTTTTGGCGAAACAGGCGTCAATGCTGTAAAAAAAGTGGAAATAGGTGCAAATGAGAAGATTGGAACTGGCGACTTGGTGTGTTATAGTAACACAAGATCAAGTGAAACATCCTGCTGTGCTCACCTTGTTCCCTCTACAACTACTTCTAATATGAATATATCGTATGTTGAGTGTAAGTATAGCACCCAAACTTCGGGCTTCCAGGGATTGTGGGTACTTACTTGCAGAAAGTTTCTTCCATGTATTTTGGTCAAAATACCTTCAGTTGGCTCGGTATGTTGGGAAATAAGGAAAAAAATATATTGTTTCAAGATAGCTTATGATGTTTCCATGGAGTACCTTCACCGTTTATGACCTTGACCAACAACCATGACACCGACGACGACATTACAATAACCGGCCACTACTACCACCACCAACATTACCACCACCTTCAACCCTGCTTGATTGCAGCATTAGCAGTTTGCAAGATATTACAGATGAAAAGTCTTTCTTTGCCCTCACTTTATTTTCAGTAAACATTTTCTTCTATATTACTTTCACTTTAGGTAAGTTTTGTAATAAAACTGCGTTATTCCAAGACCAAACTGCTTTCCCAGACTCCGTCTTTTCTGGCAACGGCTCTACTCGTTACAGTAATGCAAGATTTACCAAAGATGGTTGGTGTACTCAGGCATCACAAACCAAGTGTCTTTTGATTGATCTTCAAAGAGAGTATCACATTACACAAGTTGTGACAATGGGTAACAAAGATCAGACAAAATGGATTGAGCGATATACAATGGCATACAGTCACGATGAAAGTTATACTAATGAAATACAGGTATTTGTTGCGCCAATTATAATACAACTAAAACAAATAATCAAGTGTGTATAATTCCACTCGAAATTAAGACCCTTTAAACCTCTAAGTTTGCAACTATGCAAAATTTAACGGCTTAGGAGACATGCTTATGTCAACTTTAGTCATGTTTATTAAGGTTCTTTTACTGGCTTCCATCAATGCAATAGCAATACAAATTTTAAATGTATTTCTAACTTTTAGATGACAGGAAACAAGAATGGCTACCAAGCATCGAGAACGCGTCTTGATATTTACAACGTGAAACATATCAAGATACAATCAACAGGGAAAAATGATTTCTGTCTGAGGATAGAACTTTGTGGAGAAGGTAAGGTTTTTTGTGTCGCTTAGGGTCATCAGTAATCGATCTCTCGTCGATATTTTGATTATGCTCTTTGTAGTTTTGCATGGTGTTGTTAAATAGTTGTAGTAAATATTTGTGATATACACCATGTAATTTATCAAATTTCTATAAGCTTTCGGCCCGTGAGCTCGGGCCATCATCCGGATAGTTTTAATTTGCAAACAAACTATGTGCGCAAGCACATCACGCTACAAAGTCACGCAATTATAAACATAGGTTACCCGAAGATGTGTTTATTGATTCGTTATAATTTGCATTACATGAAATAGCGCACGGAATTATTTAAAAATGTTTTTATTTATGATTGCGCTCATTACTTCATGTAATGCAAATTATAACGGATCAACATGTTATAAACCGTTAAATTAAGGTAAAAAACTGCATGAAAAACCATATACTATATATGAAAATTTAATATAGACATCAGAGAATATAAAAAACAAGATTTTAGTGTAAAAGTTATACTCAATCAAACAGGTTAACTTTTTTTGCGCCACCCGGTATGTATATCACTTAACAGATATTTTGATTATTTTTCTTTTAGTCCAATCGCCTGCTCCTGTTTACGATTTTCAAGTTGTGTCAACATACAACTCGGCTGAGTTGACTTGGAAGATACGCACTGAACCAAAGGACTCCAGTTATATTACACACTACAATATTTCCATCGACCAAAAACATTCACAAAGAATATCGCGGGAGACATATGGTACTAAATTTACCATCTCTTTTCTTCAACCGAGCACTACCTATAGTGTTCAGATTAATACAGAAGATAGTTCTGGACAGAAAAGTGAAAAGGTTTATAAAAATTTCACGACCAAAGAGCCAGGTATGTCTGATCACATGTCCTTATGTATGGAGTAACAAGTGTTGCAGTTCAATTCTCCTTAATTCCATCAGTTGTTGAATCAATTTGATGTTTCCATTCTTGTATCTGACGGATATTTTGGTAATTTTCCCGTTTTATTTAGAACCAGCTAATCCAATCGCGTCCTCTCATTATACTATGACTTTGCACATTCCAAAACCAGACGAGAGTATTAAGTAAGTAATTTTGCCCATGGTATACTCAATTTGGCGCGTGGACCTTGTACGTGTCTTTTCATCATATGAACGCTGAGATATAATTCATAATCTAACCTCAGATTCTATATAATCCCTGATTCTAAAAATTGATGCAAGGCAACTTTTATCAATCACCAAGCTTTTAGTTAAAATAGGTATGGGCTGAAACAGCCTATCTTCTTTTGTTTTTTCATGCATGTTTATGTGAACTTGTTCCCCTGGGAACAATACATTGCCTGCATGTTTGAATTACGTGAGCATATAAAATTATGCTGATGAGATATCACTGGATAAGCCGGTGAATTTGTATACGGCCGGTGAAGCTGTCCTTATATCAAATTTTAGCTCATTTTGATGTGATTCTATGACCAACTCTAGAAAAAGACAGTAGTTGAACCAATTGGTCTGCTGTTGTTTGAAGAAGGTACAAAGCTTTTAGCAACTTGCCTTGTCATTAATTAACCTTTCAGAGAAGTCATGATCATCGTCCAAAACTCCAAGAGCGGTCCAGTCTCAAGCAAAATCATTAAAACAAGTGATCTAACAAAATATCGGTCCAACACACAAGACCCTTACATCACTGGTTATTTGAAAGCTGACGTTTTACCTTTGACGTTCGTAATCGGAGATGGAAAGATTTATGGTTCTGAAAATGAAAACTATCCGAACAAACCTTTAACGGCAAATTCAAATTATTTCGTGTTCTTGAGGTTTTTCAAAAGTCAGGTAAATCACTTATAAATATTGAAGGATTGAAACTGCTCACTTTTAGTACAATTTTAATTAATATGTGGAAATGGTTATATGTTTTTCCCAGAATTCATACTATTCGACTGAATGGAGTGATAGTATTTCCACTATGGCAAAACCTTCAGGTATAAATGATCTGAAATTGAAATATTTTTACTTCTTGTTTAAATCGTTCACTGGTATTCCTTGATATCTTCACGAGAATGTACGATTATGTAACAGCCGCATTTTTTCCCAGATGAAAATGTGATTAATAGAAGACAGTCAGAAACGTCTAGAGAAGACAAGTTCCGTATGGATCTTCTCATACCACTCTTTGCATTGGCATTTTGTCTTCTGGTCGCACTTGGAGTAATCGTATATCAACGTCGTCTTCTTCAAAAGCAGAAAAAATTGGCAGACCGTGATCGTCCTCGTTCCGAAGGTGCTGGTCAAGAAATAGAGCTTGGTAAGGATATTTATTTTACGTAAACTATATGGTTTTTTGTTTATAGTAACAAAAATTAAACTAGAATTAACACATACTAATAAGAAAGATGGATATCTTCTTCTCTAAGCAGATTTCGTTCGCATATACGCCTACTTTTAACTTTTTTGTTATAAATCAATGCGTCCGGCATAATTTGATTGATGTGATCAGAAAACCAAAATTACTTAAACTATTATTAGCATGAATAAACTACTGGATGCTGATTGGTCGAGAGGAGTACAGTAATTTGATTAATTGTACTGAAGTACAATTAATGATTTTACCAAAATAAACAAAATGGCGGAAAGATATTTGCATAAAAACTAAACAGCCCTGGAACTAAAAAGGTAAAAGGTAAACAAAATAGTGGATGAAAATTAATTCTCGCAGAACTGGATTATTACAAGAGACCTTCATGCATGTATAAAAATCATGTCCTAAAAGATTTCGACAAAGTGCTTTAAAAATGTTATAATTTTCTAACAAAAAAGCTCACCCAATTTTGGAAAATTTTTTCAACATAACTCGTACTGATGATCCCAAATCACCATTGTATGATTGATCTATACAAAGTTATAACCAAAATTTTGTTTTCTTTTCAAAATCATTCACAATCAAAAAGGTTGCATCTGATAAAACTTTTAGATTATGTTGATAAGTCTGCCAAATGCAACGAATTTGCAAATGACGAAGGCAGCTTTGACGACGAAGGTTCGTACGTAATAGAGGAAGATGTGACGGTACACGAGACAGCCACAGAGCAGGAATACACGACTTTGAGGGACAACCAAGATCTGGCAAGCGTTTATCAAGCACTGGACGATCCCGAAGCCGACGATGGTCAATACTATACAGAGATGGACAATGAATCGGTGGAATATGTAAATGCTGTCTTCAATTAAGATTTCAGTGGTGAATGATTAATGCATGGTATCAGAGATTTTATCAGATATCGTAAATATTTTTGCTAATATAGTTTCTTTTAAATGATCACTGTGGGCTTGAATTTTGATTTCGTTTAGGCCTACAGGGGGTCGATGGGTTAATTCGGGTTGCGCGAGGTCTGAGAAGTTTCGAACTTCGCGGATTTCAAATAGACAAGTCTCTAAATCACGTAGCAATAATCGCCAATCGTGCGAGTTTGAACTAAAGAAGAACAAAATTTAATAAACTACACTAAACCTACGGTGAAACGTGGTGAAACTTAACAATAAAATTAATTAACATACATGGTGATACTGTCGTCTGTTCAATATTTATGTATGAAATAATCACGTTCATGGAAAAAACAAATTGTTTATTATTTTTCTTTGGTTTCCCCATTTTCTCTTTGCGTTGCTTGTAGCCAAAATACAATATAAGGTCGGAAATATGAGTTGTACCTTTCTTTCTTAGTAGGTTCAGTCTGTCTTTAACAAGATTTAACCACTAACCTTCCTTGCTCGAGATGCATGCCTCAGGCTACAGTGGAACTTTATCAAATTTCTGATTACTTATTAGCCGTTTCGAACTAACAATTATGAATCGATTATTGCAATCAATTATTGATTACAATATGCTTGACAGTACTATTTTTGGTAATTCATTTAGATAATGTTATAGCAATATCTGCGTAAATATTTCTCTAATCTTCCTTGAAGGCAGTGTTACAGTATGCAACTTGTAGACATGCAGAATTTGGGCAAATTTTTTATTTAAGGACGTCATATTGTTTTGAGCAGAACGGGTGCGCAGAACGGACTTGACTTCACTTCAAACAGTCCAATGAGTAATGACTCAAAACTGAAAAACTCAAAGATGCACAAAATATCGACCATGCGATTGTTCCTATGGTATGCCTAACATGTGTGATAGGAATTAGGCCCAGTTTACACAAACCGGATTTGCTTGGCTCACGACGTCAAACTTGGCCACGTGAAAGTGAGATTTATCCGTGATTACGATACCAAATGCATGTATAGCGACTATCGAGATTGATTAACAGATTAAAATGAGCGAGAGAGGGATTAAAATAAGTCATGACAAATATTATTAATTTTTGTAAATTTTTCCCAATTTTTTGATTCGGTAATATAAAAGAGCCATCCTAAAAATTTTAACTTTTCCAATGACGCCATCTTGTTTTCAACAATCCGCGCATGCGCAGAAATTGCTCCTTGGTTTGTGTGTCAGTATGACTCTGTAATTTCTTGCTCTTTGAAATGCGGATGTGAAGCAACAAGCGTCTCTCTTACCTTTATTCGCTTCCTTTAGGGTAAGATGTCTTGGTTATTTTATCGATGGTTGATTTTATCCGGTATATCGTTACTGGTGATTAAAGGTGAGGTTTAACACGTAGTTTTGGTAAATTTGGCAAACTAATAAAATAAGCGACTAATCGTAAGATTTAACATTGCTTTAGTTTGAAATATGATATTAATTATTAAAGTACGGGTTATTAAAGAATCAAAATTAATCCTGCTTGCAGTTAAAATATAAGCCATCACAATATTGTCCTCATACAATAAAAGAACTTTACATCGAGTACACTTGTGCGGATAACTACACTCACCCAAGTAATGCCCGCTAATTTTAGGTATTAAAACATCAACTTCGATCCAGTTTGTTATAAAGCCAGATTTTAGCCAGTAGCCACGCACGCTGCCTTGTTAGTATTCCTTGTATGGTAAGTATACTAAGAGGAGCTTTATCAGCGATGCAAACGGTTGATATATACTGTCTATATTTAAAGGGATGTTTACATGAGGCTAGGATTCAATGAAGCATGAGGTGATTGACGGTCAAATTATGCCCACAGTATTTATCAAAATTGCAAAGGCTGTTATATCAATATCTCGCCAGGCTGAGAAAATTTGTTTCGTTGATGCACGGCTTATTCGCTAGAAGTACAGTTTCAGGTCACCCCTAGGCCTTGGTGCAAATGTTGTTGTGCAAAATGTTTAATCGTGAGATAAATGCAGATTATTATTAGGGTCGTTTGTGCCGTACTTATTTTGTACTGAATGTCAATTTACAATTATTTTGTGATCAGCTCACCATGGGTATGCGGAATACCACGATGAAGTTGGATGAACCGAACTTAAATTGCTTGCATAGTATACCGTATCATATCATATGTGCATGTGCAGGGTGTATAAAAAATGGCAACCAATTAATATTCTAAAATTCATATTGTTCTTAAGTACAATATATTTTAAGCCTCTGGGACCCGGATAACAATGCCTTTGTCAGCCTTGTCTTTTGTGTTAAAAAAATATAAGTGGTTGTCTTTTTTTATACACCCTCTTTATAGATTTATGCCACAGTACAGGGTGAGTAAAAAAACCCTGATACCGTTGAAATTCAAATTAGCCGCAAACTTATGGCTGGGATTTGACAATTCCCATGACTGACCCATGTGTTATGTACAATCAACAGGACCTGGTTATTTAATGCGAAAGTGTTTAAACCAATTGAACTAATTCAACGTTCTTTTTTATTACAGAGCTTAGAATGCATTTTAACTCCCAAAGGGTACAGACTTTATGTTCAAGGTTAATTAATTATTTGATATGCTTCGTATACCCGTGAGATACAGGGTGTCCCAAAAAAAAGCAACCACTTAAATATGCAAGAACATTAATACAGCTCTGAAGCGCAATAGATAAGCACCTCTGGGAATTGAAAATGGATTTTAATGCTTTATTTAAAATGCTAAAAGCATTTTAGCTGAACTATGGTGCAAACCCGAACAATATTAATATGCTTGCATATTTAAGTGGTTGCGTTTTTTTTTAAGTGGTTGCGTTTTTTTTGAGACACCCTGTATTTTAGGCAACTTCTGTCACATTACAGCCGATTACAGACGCATTGCAGCTAATTTGAATTTCAAAGGTATCAGTTTTTTTTACTCACCCTGTAGAGTGATGAAATGAAAATCGTATTTCACTGGGTAAATTAATTTCATGCAATTTGATTGGACGAACGATGTTTTTCACGTGTGAAAAAATGCCTTACAGGGCTTGACAGGGCTTTTGATTGGACGTACGATATTCTTCACGCGTGAAAATTGTCGTATGACGTATGTTATTTTGGCGGCAATTTGTTTACATTTTTTTCAAGATGGCGTCGAAATACGGGAGTGACATTCATAGCTAATTCTCAAATTCAAGACATTTTCACATTCAGCACGTTATAAAATCTTTCGGAAAGAATATCTAACTGGTATTGAACAAAATTACAAAGAAACTGAACGGTAATAAATATGTTTTAGGCATAAAATTTCGATTTTTGCTGCTCTTTGTTGGCTCGTTTGTACGATTTTCATTATGCACTCGTTGTGCCTGTGGAGAGTCACGGCAAACTCACTCGTTCGCTACTCTCGATCTCTCGTTCGTTTTGCGAACTCTGTAGATACTAGTTATCGCTGTCAACTATTGTGATATTATTGTATAACATTTTAAAAACATAACCCCATTCTCAGGATTTCCCCTGTAAATATGGTTGAAATCACTGATGCTCGCTTCAAACTCTGGTACTTTAAATTATCAGTGCATTTGAGATTTCATCAATCTTTCTGTTTCAGTCTACAAATAAGACTATCAAAGTCACCTGGAGAAGGTTTCATTGAAGTACAGAATGGCATGAAGAAAGGCTCACGAGGAATATTGGGATGAAGACCGTCAAAGTCAAAGAAAGCTGTGTAAACACTTGGGATTTAACGAAACGAGCACCTATGGTACCAGATCTATAGAAATAGGAGTAACTTGCAACTGGTGATCTGGTGTGTTATAACACAGGTTCAAATGAAATATTCTGCTGTATCTACCTTCTACTTCAAACGTTAACATACCATATGCTAAGTGTAAGTATATACCTCGAACTTCCGGTACATTCAAGGATTGATTTCGTTAAAAAGTTCGATAAAATGTGACAAAGTTTGGATAAAATACCTTGATTTTGATAGTATAGTGTCCTCTTGATCAATCGAACTCTTGAACCCGTTTTGACTGCAGCTTTTGTTTACATTTTGTTCCGTGTTACCTTCACTCTAGGTAAAATTTGCGAAAAGCCTTTATTACTACAAAACGAAACTGCTTTCCCAGACTCCGTCTTTTCTGGAAATGGTTCTTCTGGTTACAACAATATGTGATTTACCAAAGCTGGTTGGTGTACCAAGGCATCAAAAAGCAAATATATTTTGATTGATCTTCAAAGAGAGCATCGCATCACACAAGTAATGACAATGGGTGACAAAAATCAGGCAAAGTGGATTGAACGATGTAGAATGACATGCATTCAGTCACGTCTCACGATGACAGTTATAATCATAAAAGACAGGTATTTGTAGTCGTAATACAGAATTTGTAGTGAATCTCAAATCTTTCATACTTTTGAAATTTTTATGTATTTTTCTATAACGATTTTCTATTCATTCTCAGATAACTGGAAACATCATTCTAAAACACAATGGTCTGGAAAAAAATATTTTCGCCTGGGGATAGAACCGTGTGGACAAGGTAAGTTTACATGCCATGCGAATTCTTCAAATGAATTGCCAGTGTAGTTCGTTTTCTAAGCGAAAGGACGGCTGCATGCTATAGGTTCTGCAGAGAATTTTCCGTTCACAACCTATACTGTGGAGATTGAGACAGATGATGGTTCAGGACAGAAAGCAGCAAACTTTCTAAAGTTTACAAAACCGAAGGAGCAGGTATACATATATTTTACAGCAGAGTCTGTTATTTGTGAACATTTAAACATTTTACGCGTTGATATAAAGTTATATCAACACAAGTGAAAGTTGAAAGACTTCAAAATACAAAAAAATGATGTGCGTGGAAACACGACGCCAGAAGGACGATTTTCCACGAGTGTTTACAACAAAAATTCTCGCGATTTTCTTTTCAATTGTGACAGATGAAGGGAATCCGCTACGGTCGAATTCTCATAATTGAAAAAAATATTAGACGAAAAACTCCGGCTAGTGGAAAACCGCCTAACGCAACCGATGTGGTTGAATGGCGTTTAAAAGTAAAACGCGATGCTTTAACAGTGATTTCAAAAGTACGCGTAAAAGGTGCCTTTTACGCGAGCTTAGAATGTATACGTTTTGTGCAATCAATTTGAGTAAACTTGTACTCAACTATAGATTGCGTAAAGACATCGACATTTCGTGCAAATAATGCAATGGAAATGGAAGTTTTAATGACTCGCGCAGCGCGAAAACAGCCGAAATGGTGAGAGAATAAATGTTACACAAAGCGTACAAGGATTTATATCTATTTGCAGTTGAGATTATACCGGGCTGCAATGCATTTGCAAACGTAATCACGCATCGACATTTAAACTTTTTGTGCATGTATCAAATAAACTAGACACTCTTTTGCCATTAAGATAAAACATTGCTTATTAATTAGAGCAGGATATTTACGTATTTATATAAATACGTAAATATCACTGACGTTGAAAACAAGGTCATTCTTGCATTTATGACCATGCATTCACTTCAAGTACGACTTGCCAGGAAACTTGTACATTACTTCCAAGTCAACTTTATTAAGAAGAACTTTACATGAAGTTTACTCTAGTGTTGAAATTTTCTACATCTTCATTCCCGTGCACGATGTTAAAAAGAAAACAGTTCTCTTCACTGGGTAGGTAAATGCTTTATAATGCTCTGCAGTTTTAAGGAAGTAGCAGCCTTGAATGAATTTTTCTAAAAGGTTTGTCTTCAGGCCATTCCTGCGCAAAGGTACATTTGCTTAATTATAAGAACCTCTGAACATCTGAAATGGTTAATTTGCATGCAAGCTGAAAAGGTCTATTCATTTCACATCGCATGTGCAGTTTTGAGATATCAAGAACATTTATTTCTGTCATAAATTACAATATACACACAACCTCATGGCTTTCCAAAAACATACAGAACATTCGGCCAATCAGTTAGATTTTACAGGCTAAGAATTCTCCTACTAGCCAATTATTTAAAAGGGGGTAACAGTCGCTTCTGCGCATCAGTTCTGCTCATAATGATGGGCAGTCCACTTTTTCAAAATTGCTCAAATTTTGCATGTTTCGTATATCTCTGAACACAAACTCTCTCTCTCTCTCATATTTATTTAAAACTATATGCGCGTCAAATATTCTGAAAGTTCTTGATATTTTCAAGCATGTATTCATTATTTCAAATAAATCGTGTCAAACTCCTTTTAGATCGAAAGACCCTTTTATTTAATTGTCATACACGCTTTAGTTTTTAGTAGATTATTTTACTGTTCCTCTATATGGAGCAATACTTCTAAAGAGAATGTAAATAAGTTACAAATTGTACAAAACTTTGCTGCTCGTAATGACGGTATAGTTGTTGGTTTACGGAAATATGATCAAGTTTCCCCTGTCCTAAAAGGACTTAATTGGCTGAATATATTACAGACCAATTCTATTTTCGAGATGCAGTGTGTGTTTTTAAATCATTACAAAAACTGACTCCACACTATATTTCAGAAAAATTCAAAAGAAACTCCGAGGTTCATTCTACAGTTACGAGGAACATTAATGATTTGTGACTTTAACTTGTCCCTTGTAAAGAGACAGCGATCGTTCAGCTTTATAGAGGGGCTAAATTATGGGATTCGTTGCCGCCGGAGATCAAATCCGAACGGTCATTAAAGTCTTTTAAACATAAACTTTACAAACACCTCTTGACTTCTTAAATTACATTTTCTTGATTTTATAGATTGTAAATATATTTCAAGAATATCTATAAAACATATATGTTTTATTTAAATAACTTGCATGTTGTATTGTATCACTGAAAAACTCCTGATATGTAATAAAGTTTATGAGTTTATTATTTTGGGAAGTACATAGATTCAAAATGTAAGCAAAACATTTGTTTACATTACGGACTGTACCCCACCTTTAAGTTTCAACAGTTTCCTTGTGTTGTACAATACGATGCTATATATACTATATGCATGTGTGTATATGATGTTCAACTTATATTAAGCATATTTTGTTCATCATTTTGACGGCTTCCTTTCTCAGCATAGCCTTCATCCAAAAGAAGATCACCGAATCCACACTGGAAATACACAGCGAAAGGGTGACAGCCCATACTGAAATTTCCAGTTCCTCGAATTGATCAGGGGTTTGAAGGACTGCACGTGTAATCGGGGTCGGTATAACGCCAAGAACAAAAAAACAAATGACCACAATGAAACAAGATTTTGCTTGCTTTATTTCTTGGAGAAACGACTTCCGTTTTGTTAGGTTTTCCTGTGAGAAGGAATCATGCATTCTGTTTTTCGAACGAGACAGCTTTCTAACGACCAGGTATATTCTGGTGTAGACAATCGCAATGAAGAAAAAGGAAAGTACTACTTTAATTGACGAATAGCTATGAAGGAGTCCGTGAACAGACAAGGATAGAACATGAACTGGGAACTCTAACGCGCCACCGCAAAGAACAATGATCATAACCTTTCTTTTTGTCATTAGGCTGATGTAGGAATAGGGATGTAGGATTGCAATGTATCGTTCGACGGTCATTGCAATCAACGCGATTGTGGACAGTCCAATTGGCACGATTGTCAATCTGTACGCCAAAGTCGCAACGAAACAGTTCGACATGTTCCCCATTGCGCTCAGCAAAAAGACCACAAATAGAGGAATTCCAAACACACCAACTGCCAGGTCAATCGCGGACTGAACCACGACGACAAAGTAACAAGGCTTGCTGTTCATTTGGGATGAATTCCAAATGGTAATTATTGCAACTGCGTTGAGCATTATCGTAGGGATTATCAAAACGACGTTAAGAACAATTACGGCAGCATGATTAACTCGTATCTCATCAGACGGAAGTTTTGTTACCACAAAATGCGTGGTTCCAAAAATCTTACACGATGTTCCAAAGACATCCTGTTCTACTGACAAATTCATACTGTTGCGCGCTGTTCGCTCTTGCTTTCATATTCTCATGAAAGCAACACGGTTTATATATGTATGCATGCCACTTCAATTACTTCTTATGTTCCCGAATATCAGTCCGATATATTTTTTTTTTGAATGGACTTGAATTCAATATTGAAATAGTTCAACGAAATTGCCAAATTGAATGGCTTTTAGGAGTTGCAGATGCACTCAAACGTTATACCTCAACGAATATATATATTAATCAACGAATAAGCCACGACTGACATTACAATAATTAAGATTTGCGCTTTAGACTAATTTCTTACCTCGGCGATAAAAAGGACATTTTCTAAAAGAGCTTACTAAAATTAGTAAAACTGCCAAGTGTGCTGTGAATTGTCGGAAGATACGGAAAATATACTCATGCGAAGTTCACGAATTCTGTGCAGGTGCTTTTGTATTACGGCCAGAAGCGTGTAACTAAATTATAGAGGTTCAAAGGGTCTTAATTTCGAATGGAATTATATACACCTCAAATTCAAGCCAGAAACAGACATTTCCGCATGTAAAAGTATACAAAATTTGCCAACTTCGCATAGCTATATTTTTCGTATTTTACAAAATTTCGCAGCCAAACTTTGCATTTGCACTAATTTAAGGAAGATCGTTCTAGCTGTGATGATTTATTTCCTTCTAGTTACTTCGATCAAAAATTAGTCTAATATAATATATAACTGAATGGATGGATAAATTATCAGCGACTGCATGTGTCGTCTGTGTGACAAGCTTATTCAGTCTTGACAAAAATACTTCGTGCAGATATCAGTATATATCAATCACTCTTGCTCAAATGACGGCTGGTCATTAGCTCAAATTCATCGAGGAAAAAAATAGTCGATCGATCAAATTGAAAAGGCATTTGCATGAAAATGAATGAAAATTATTAATCGATTCACTTTCAAACAATAAAATCGATGTTGCTCATGCAGATGAGATAATAGAGTACATGCCGAATACAAACGAGCTACATGATGAAATTGAATATATTCACATACAAATTAGACATTGAACTAAACTTTTCCTTGCGATTTCCTTCTGTCCAAGAAGGAAGCAGTTGATTTCAGTTTTAATATCTCTATATAGAACGATTCAAATTGGAATAACTGGTTATTCATTTTAGGCAGCTTTTGCCGAAACAGTTGCAACAGCTGTGCGGCATGTTTGCATAATTATTATAATGATGCATGTCAATGATATTTTTCACACACACTATAGCTGTATTTATTAAACTTCTGGGGCCGGTTGTTCGAAAGGCGTTTAGCTTAAACGGTGGATAAGCCAGAGTTTAAAAATACTCTAATACATCTTGTGAATGACTGAACCTACACCTTATTCATTTAATATGCACTTTCTTTGAAAATTAAACTATTTACACCAAAATATTTCACCTCAGTTTTTCAATAAATATATAATTTTGTTTTCCATTTTGAACTTATCCACCGTAAATAAAACGCCTTTCGAACAACCGGCCCCGGGGGGAGGTTATATGAAAATCGGATAGTGCTATCTACCGGATAGTGTTTTTTTCAATCTTTGTTGGGTATAACTTTGATTAAATCTTAGTATCACTAAAGGTGCTCTGCAATAACTTCTGAAGCTGATAACTTTCCAAAGCTGAGATCAAGCATTTTTAGAACGGTTGAAAAACCACTATTCGGTGGATAGCCCTATCCCGCCTGCGTACAACTGGCCCCAGATAGGTGTTAAAATGAGTTTGTAGTTTGTAGTTTGTAGTTTGTAGTTTGTACATCGCAAATTATATCGAGCATCTCAAATGGAAAATATATATATGGATCCCAACAATTACCGATTCTTCACTGCACGTCTAGAATACAGCCTATTTGGATTATAACACTGGTATAATATCCTGAATGCAGGCAAAAAATCCAAAATTTATGCAAGAAGAATAATTAGTGTTTGTATGAGATGTTATTGTGAATGATATGTAGACAATTGATATGGTAGTAATAGTCAGTAATACTGCTATAATATTTTGCTTGCTAATATTTTGCCTCACTCGAGTTCAACCAAATTATGAAATATGTAAAACCTTTAAATCGATACTTGTCATGCATATAAGTAAACTCCTGGCAATTTAGAAAGGTGTGACTCAGATCGCATCGGATGGATCAAATTTCACGCAGGAATCAGGCAGGAATCGTTAACTTAAAATAAATATCCAAGCCAGGTGAGCAAATGAGACATTGCAAAATTACATTTAAAACATTTAATATAATATAAGCTAACGTCTCTTTTGTATAACTTTACAGCAATCGATAAACAATGGTAGCTATATATGAATAATTACAACTATACTTACTACCACATATTCTAACTCTCTCTATATATATACATATAGGAGTGTGGACGAAGTCAATGGAGTAAAGATTATTGTCAATCTCAAAGCAGGAATACTGCTTTTTTGGCTAAAGGGGAAAAACGTCCTGCAGCCAGTTGCTCAAAGCTAGGTTAGCGCTAACCCTGGGTTAAATTTTCATCCACTGTTTCGGTGTAAATGCTTCTGGACCGTTGTTTATTTTAATACCTTAACAAAATATGGCTTTTTGTCTGTCAAGAAAGTTTTTATGGAAAAATATATTCAACTCTGTAAACAAAATATTAAAAATTGATGTAAAGATTTGCTTTGTTTAATTAACCCTGGGTTTAGCTAACCGGTTTTTGAACAATCGGTCCCTGGTGTTCAGATGCTCGTTTATGACTCTTTGCCCTAATACGATGCAGAACAGCAACAAAATTTGAAGGAATGTGCAACACAACGTCTTAAAGCTTTGGGAATTTTGTCCTTAACGGTGAATACTTTAGCACAGTTGATATATATAATGTTCATATATAAGCATATTATGCACGCTAAACAATTACTATTGTTACAGTAAAATCTAAACCGTAGATCATGCATAAATATTACACGCACAATGTTAAACTTTATCGCATTGTTTTCAGCTTCTTCACTGCCTCCTTTCTCAACATGGTCTTGGTCCAAAAAAATATCACAGAGTCGACAATGGAGACGCTGTATCCAAGCGTTACAATCCAAATAAAGATTGTTACATCCTTCAATTTGCTCTGATAATAAAGCCGAAAAGCAATTGACGGAAATAACACTATGGTGAAAGAGCACATAACAACTTTGAAACACGATTTTGCTCGCTTGATTTCTTGCAGAAACGCTTTTCTTCTTGTCCTGTTTTCTACTGAAGCAAGATCTTGTGGTCGGTTCACCGACCGAGCCAGCTTTCTGACAACCAAGCATATTCTCGTGTATGCAAACGTGATGGAGCCGATGGTGAGTAACCTTTCTAAGGCCGAGTATATTATCACAAGAATGTCGTCGAAAGTGGCAGAAAAAGCAGTGAAGATAATATGAATTGCAGAAGTGGAACACACGAATATCAGCAGCCTCTTCTTCGTCACTAGAGTAGTGTATTTGTAGGGATGTAAGATGGCAATGTATCTTTCCGCCGTCATTGCAATAAACGTGAATCTTGATAATCCAAATAGTGATGATGCTATTTTAAACGCTAAGGATGAAAGAAAGCAGTTCGATCCACCATTTAGTACACTTACTATCAAAACGGCGACGAAAAGAGGAATTCCCAACACACCAACTGCCAAGTCAATCACGGACAGGATCAAAACGATGAAATAGCAAGGCTTGCTTCTCAGTTGAGACGACTTCCAAATCGTGATGATTGGAACAGCGTTGAATATTATCGCAGGAATAATGAAAATGATGTTAATAACTATGACGGCATTATAATTTTCTGGGATTTCATCAGACGGAAGATTTTGAAATTCGGATGACGTGGTCCCAAGAAGAAAGCATTTGGTTTCAAAACTATCTGGTTTTCCCGACAGGTTCATGGTTTTTTCTTTTGAACTGGCTTGGCGAAGACGAAGATGAAAGTGAGCAATGAAGCTAAAGGCATCTGCGCTTATTAAGTCAATGATACCTATAATTGCATGTTGAGGTTGTTTTGCACGTTGTTGTATTTTGCTTGTTGTTGTATATTATTAATTGCATGTTGACGTGAATTTCAGATTGGATTCTGACTACCGTGAAATTTTAGCCGACATGAATCGTTCAATAGTGATATTAATGTCGTATTTTGAATGTGGTCAGGCAACATTCGTTAATTGTAGCTGAATGTTAACGTTCTTTTAATCTTTAGAAAGATAAATTTTTAGACCCTGCATACCGGTATAATCTTATAATCAAGCTTAATTAAAAGGTGACAGCGTTAATTGTTAATTTACCCGTTTCTAAATTCTTTATTCAGAACGACTTTCATGTGCATACACTGGTCTGTGAGAAAGATGTGTAAGTTCGTGAAAATTCTATTTCATATAAAAATCTTCGTACACTTTTTGGTCGCGATTCAAACAATAGATAATGACATAAAAACAATGCCCAATGAGATGCGACGTATAAACTATGCCTTTTGCGCTGAATTTCACTATGTCAATTTCTGCTAAAGTTTTAAAGCTGCCACAAAGGCACAAATATAGGTGTTACACCAATGAATAAAGTTAATGCCGAATGTCTGCCGCTTCGAAGTTAACTTGTATCAATGCAAAAAAATTAAGCGCCTTGTTTTTGACTGAATAACTCTTCGGTAATTGTTCACTGCAATTAGATCGCTTTTGCCGGCAAGAAAGATAGGAGCTGGCGGGAATTAAATTGTAGGGCAAATCTGACATGCAAATAGGCATGCAGTTATACATGCACCTGGCCTATATATCAATATTATTTTCAAAAACATCGGAAATACAGTACGGTCTTCTCACATGCCCCGAAGTATATACGAACTTTGAACGCATATAAATTCTAGTCGAATATTGTCAATTATAAAAACAAATATTATTTGTACGTTGAAGATTCTTTGAAGGTCACAATTTTAAATAATGCACTTATAGAGCTATAGTTTTTATAAAGAAAGAGAAGCCACATCGCGGTTGTGATATGTCGCTGGATAATAGATTTCTATATATATTAACACCTTTTTCAATTTGCTCATTTTCACTTCTAGGTTTTTAAATGACAGATCTAGCATGGACCTTCAAGAACGATCATTAATCATTAGTTTTCCCATGTTTGAGACGGGTGTTTGTGTTGCTTGTGATATATTTAAAACGTTAAAAATCATCAATGAAAGCATGTCTAATGTAATCGTGTGATTATCCGTTGTTTTGCGTTTCAAACTAAACGTTGAGGCAGAACAATTTGTCGGACTGCATGGATGGGTTGAAAATAGGAATTAGGGAATCCAAAAGTTAGTAAAATTAAAAAGTTTGGCTGTTAAATATTGAAGAATGTGAAAAATATCGCAGGTTTTAAACAATTTTTTGCATTTTTCATCACGATTTACTGGCTACATGTTCACGCGTGAGCCCAGTTATCCGAGATTCGACGATTTTATAAATTTCCTTTTCCGCCAACACATTCCTATTGCTTTTGCCCTTGCTTAATGGAAAGGTTGCCGATACGTTTTGAAGAAAAACGAAGCAATATCGTTTAAATTGCCCTAATGAAGTCAACAATTACGATCGCATGCGGTCACTGTTAAAAATTTGTTGTTAAAGTAACAAAAAAAAATTGGTTAAAAGTGGATCTGAGGTAAATAATTTTTTTTTGGTTAAGAGTACCAATTGTATTTGGTTAAAATTTATTGGTAGAAACTACCAATTTTGCTAATGTTCATTCCAACCAATAATATATTGCAATTTTCACCTATTAATAATACGTTATTTTAACGAATTTAATATGTCATTTTAACCAAATGAAAATAGTTTATGTGTTAATTGGTTGTTTCTACCAATAAATTACAATGCTAATTCAACCAATTATAAATTGTACCTTGGATGGATCTGAGGTAACGTATTTCTTTTTGTTAAAATGGCCAATTTTAACCTTTTCTAAATTGTTTAAAATAACGTATTGGTCAAAATGACCAATATATTATACGGATAGCGATTTTTTGCCCAGAATTTGGGCAAAGCGATATTTACTTTGAATAAAAGGCATTCAAGATGCCCTTTAAAAGAACTTAGAGTAGCTGATGGCTTTGCATTTGTAGAAAGCGCATTCCAGGATTGGACATTGTTTTTTCCAAGACAGACCCCGGAGGATATCAGGGAAACGAAGGAATCAGGGAAAGATTCCTATAAGATATATGCAATTTATTTAATTCGCATCAACTTTATTCTCAAAACAGACTTTTAAAAAGAATTTTAAACGCAAAACAGACTTTTAAAAAGAATTTTAAACACATGCAGCAGTAGGCCATAACAAATGTCACAAAATGTCTTAATTAATTTCTGACATAAAATTGTCAACCGCAATAGGCAATGAGCTATGTGTTGTATTTAGTTCTAGCACATGCTCCAGGAATGTGAAAATATTCTTGGGTAATCCACCTGGATAGCTGGCATTAAAAACATAGAAACTTGCAAGTAACGTAACAACCGCGTTCAGAATTGCATTCACCGGACCAAATTTGCACACGACCATGCCTTCAGCAGCTAAACACAGCGACTCCACATTTAAAACTGTTCCAGCGGACACCAACCTGGGTGTAGAGCTTTGCTCGATAACTTTCGTAATATTTGTTGCGCCTTCTGTTATCTATAAAATGTATTTAATAATAAATGTCATATATGTATAAAGAGTGTATTGAATATAATTACTTGAAAGCAAAACCTTGCCTAGAGAGTATGCCTCAGTCTTTAATGAATTCCTTTACATGTTACTGGGGTGTGTTGTTAAACAACCAAATAAGACACAAACTTACGTCAACAATTTTCCAAAACAATTCACCTATAGCTATGGACTTCGACTTTTTCTCGCCCAATACATGCGGTAGGGACGCGAATATACAACGGTTTTCCATCTCTAAAATATGATTTAGGAACTGTTAATATGAATGCGACTGAAAACCTCTTTCCAATTTTGTGATTGAACTGACCAAGGGGATGGTAAATTAGCCTTCCTCATGATTACGAATATGCTGAAAATCGAAATTTCCCCAAAAATGGCGGATATTCGTCATCGTGAGAATCGCTAAATGGTCTGAAATTATACACCTGCATGATTATAAAACGACCGCAAAGTGTGACTTTGTAGTCACAAGTTTGACGTCGAATGTTGCCGAGAAGGTGATTATAATTATTAATGTTTAAAAGTGTCGCTATGAAATTATTCACTCATTTTATGTCCGCTGCAATGATTGTACAGGCTCAGGCGATTACGGTCGGAGCAAGTGTTCCTACAACAAGAAGTACAACGAAAAATAATTGTTAATTATTTTATATGTACCTTCTACGTTAGTTGAATCACATTCGTCTAATTCCATGAAAAGAGACTGCATGTCTTTCTTCTTATTATGCTTTAAAGCAGCCAACAACCGAGGGCGAATCATTGAAAAAGCCTCCTTCATTTCCTGGGCCACGCGTTCACGCTTTAAAATTCTTCCCAATTCTGCTTTTATCTAAAGAAAGTTAAAAAAAAATATAGCTAATAACAATTAAAGCAACTACGACACTACACTTCCTGTCATTTTGCCACTTATATTTCGAGTATACCTATGCGTACGTGATTTGTTGTTATATTGCTGTTTTCCTACCTCACTGCCATTTCCCCTGGTCAAGGGTGGATAATTCTTCAGAGTTTTCCAGACCCTCTCGTTGTCCTCCAGAATAGTTTTTCTCCTTTTAGGAAACGTGCCATCCATCAGTTGTCGAACAAGCATCACATCCTGTTTGTTAGTCTTGCAAAAGGCTTTGAGCTGCGAATGCTGCTCATTGACAGTTTCCTCTGTTTCACCTGCTGGGATCAGTGGAATCTCGGACGATTCCAAAAGCTTTCGTTTTCGACCTGGCTTTCTCTTCTCATAAACTTTCCCAGAAGCTTCAACGTTTCTTTTATGCTGTACCAAAAGTTAATACGTGTACATTATCTGGTGACCAGAAGGATCGTGCAAGGGATTTCCTTTGATGGAGTTAGTGGGCATGTTCTTCCGTTCTATGAATATACTTGTATTTCTTTGCATGCAGATTATTTTTATATGTCCAGTATATTATAGCAGGAGTAGAGAAATGGAACCATGGGAAATTATCAGACCTTATACAGTAGTTTTTTACCTCTCGAGCATCCCTTCGCCCCACATTTAAAAGTCTATCCCTTATTTTCTTTGCCCAGAATTGCTACAAACATAAATTAGACACAGTAATAGAACAAGTATTGTAGCACTATATATATATAGATATGACACTTAATAATAAATTTATGCCTAAAAGGGTTCAAAATTGAACTTTTTTGTCTGTATCCAACCTTAGTATGTATGGAATCTAGGATTCATTGCATGCATTTTTGAATTATAGTATTCTAGATTTGTATACTATAGATATTAATTGCACAAGTCCCATAATTCATTTTTTTAAAAAGCAAGTGCAACATAATAAACTCCACTTTTTCAATAATGAGTTATTATGGATGGTATGGTTCTAATTAATATGCTACGTACCAAGCCTGCAAACTATAAACATTCAACTGACTGCACTTTGAATGCATGCAAGAACATTTCTAAACCACATTGCATTTGTTCAGGTTTATCTAGATATGTGCAGTACATATTAACAGATGGGGCTATAATGTGAACCAACTATACCTAGCAAAATATAGCAATTCATGGCAATAACATAGAATCAAAAAGCAAGGTTGTTTACCATCATTGCACATTTTCCACAAATTGATATACCAGTCATATTGCCCGGGCAAAATTCATCCATATTCATATTATCAAAACCATGTATTATGTTATACTTACATGACCAGTTCCAAAGGATCCACTCAAACAAGGGTATTTTTGAATAAGCATTATAGCAACTTGGTTCCTCTCAGCTGCAGTTAATTGACCTGAATGCTGTGCCATAATAGACATACACAATTGTCGATTCAGTGCACTTTTCTGTTCAGGTGTAAGCTGGCCAGCTTTCAGTGCATTTTCCACATTTGGTTCCCACTGCAGTATTTCAAAAAAATTCATTTCATTAGCCTACAATTTAGTTGGATGATTAGCCTAATAACTAATTTAAAATATGGCTCATCTGTCTATATACAATATACATGCATGCACCTCATCCATATAAGACCCGTGTGTACACATACAATACTGCATACAATGATTGCATTAATTAGCAGGTATAACTATTATAGGCCTTGATTGCATTAATTAGCAGGTATAACTATTATAGGCCTTGAAAAAACTAATTATATGATAACATATTTCATGCCATGCACACATTTCAAGTTTACTACAACATATTTTGAGCAAATATACATGCAAAATATGATCAGTCACTAAATGATCAATAATTAATTGGCCTAGCTAATAACAAATTTTAGTGCTCACAATTAATCTAACTGACTGATCAACATTTTAGTGTGCTTTATATGGAAAAAAATATTATCCTGATGTCATATTAAAAACATATAATTTAGCCACATGCACAATTACCCTGGAAGGAATTTTGAAATTCTTGATCCATGAATGAGGGGAAAGCAAACTTTTTGAGGAATTTGAAGTGGTCTACAATCAGAGTTGAATTAATGCTTATCAGTTATCAGTATTGCATCATGCATGCAGTCAAAAATAAAACACAAATAACCTATTAATTACAATTAAGCATTTACACAAATTTCAATGCAGCCACTGAATTAATTGATGATCATTGATCTGTAAAATGCACTAAAGGTGCATTCAAAAGCATTTATTAACACAGATTATCTCTTAATTGTATATTAGAAACACACATTGGAAAATCACCTTATTGCATGGACTGGTTTCAGTGACCTCTTTACTCGCTTGTATTAGCGTTGCAGGCTGGAAAACATCATAATACTTCAGAAACATTATCAGGTCCCCAGCAATAGACCCATAGTTTCTGTGATGGTGGTGCATGTATATTAATTATACTTTAGTTTTATCAAATTACTAACCTCAACTGGCTTGTCACAATGAACTGAGTCGAAGATAGACCCAGTTTCTTTCGCAGGTGTAGCCTTATAATGTAAATGTTCAAAATTTATGCAGTTATGGCAATAAAATCATGCAGCATATCACTGATCATTAGTTACAAAATGCAGCATATTCATGTATGTGTAGCATGAAAATGAGTCAGAGTCTCAGTTAAAAAGCAGGCACAAAAATACCACCCAGAATCACATAGATTTCTATAATTTTAAATGTTAAAACCAACTCATACCATTGTGGTAAAAAGGTACCACACTTGTTGCTCAGCAACCTTAGCTCCAGAAATAAACATATATAAAAGTATAGTCCTCACTACTCACTAGGTTTTAGAATTTAGCGTTTTAGGTGATGTTGTGGCAATTTATCGTCTTAGCTAGGTGATGTTGTTGTTTTGCCCGATTCATGTTCATTTTAACACAAATAAAATAATACGACATTAAAAGAATGTATCTATAGCGTACGTACATTAGACTCACTGGAATACCCTGGAAAAGCTGTGCTCCTATCAACTTTTGCACCATTGGAGTCAAATTCCTAGAATTAAAAAAGAATTATTTGTTAAAAGAGACATGTGTGTGTTGTACATAATATATTATCATTCACTGCATACGGCTTCGGGAGATAACGCCATAATAATTCTCAATATCACGCTCAACCTCTTTCAGTAATTATTTACTATATAGCAAACATAATAATAAACAATAGATAGTATTAAAGACAGATATATAGTAAAAAAATAATATAGAAATATTCCAGCATCATTGAGGTCCAGCTCCCAGTTTGTACTAGTCTTTACTCTTGTAATATCAGTTGCACAAAAAATTAAATATTATATGTATATGTACAACAACAAATACATTTTTAAAAACAGACGAGCTTGGGGTGGTCATGTGACAACTGTCAATCACAATGTAAAAAATAATTCATCTCATTTCAAGCCATTCAAACAGACCCGATCGAGCAAGAATATAAAAATTGTTTTTAGGTTAAAAATGTTTTTAGGTTTTTTATAATCAGTATCACTTACCATGCCGGTAATCGACGTCCACAAGGCTATGAACTTTTTTCGCGTTTTAAAAGTTGGAATGAACTGTTTTATGTCTCTCAGTTCGAGAGCAAAAAAGTCTTCGCCGTCAATTTTGTTATCTGAATAAAATGATAAAATTAGTGAAAGACGTATATACTGTACATATACATCAATTTGCAACGGCGCATAGCAAACCATAGGCAGTAGACACTGCAACTCTCAATGGAGACGAGTATATAAATTGTAAAACAGCAAACAAAATTCAATTCAAAAAAATGCAAAATGCAATATATTTACCAACAAATTCGTCCACCAAATCTGAAAAACCATTCCGTTCTAAAAACAAAACAACGTCTTCCGCACTAGAAGTCTTTTCTAACGACAAAGACATGTTTTTTTCAAGTAAAAAGCTACGAAGAATCAAGCATGAAACAGCTGTCGCGAAGCGCCGAGAAACAGAGAAAGCAAGACTTCACTTTTAGCGCGAATATCCCATGATGACCCGCGTAAAACCATATAAGGAGTCCGCGCAATTTTACAAGGAGTATTGGCTGGACAATTTGAAAGAGAAGCAAGTTATAGTTTTTTTGAATATTTTTCGAAAAAAATGTAGCGGAAAAATCACTAATAACCGCATAGTTTTATCAAACAGAATATTCGGGAAAGCAATGAATCGTATTCAATGCCAAGTGTGTGGAGATTTTTTCACTGCAGCTATATCTGATATGGTTAGTCATTTAGTTTTGGTCCACCAGAATGACCCAGGTATTCACATTACCTGTGAAGTACCTGGATGTCAATCTACATTTGGCCGTGTTTTTTCCTATAAAAGTCATCTTCGTCGTAGTCATAACACCATTGATCTCAAGAAGCCGATAACACAACTGGTAGATGCTCATGACGATGCAGAAGGATTTGACAATTTTGAGGGAAATGTTGGGGTAAACCCTCAAAATGGAGTTGCAGATGAATCAGCGGAAACGAAACGTATTAACGCCCTCTACCTATTAAAACTCAAGGAAACCAACTTTCTCACACAAACATCGCTAGATACCGTTGTGCAAGGAACAACTGGGATCGTAAAAAGGACAGTCCAAATGTTAAAAAAGGAAGTGGAAAAGAAACTTGAAGCAGGCGGAGTAGATGTTGCTGAAATCGAAGGATTAAGTGACCTATTTGACGAAGATCATCCTTTTTCGAACCCTATGGCCCACGTCGAAACGAAACATCAGCAAACAGCATTTCACAAAACTAATTTTTCATTAGTGGTGAGTGAAAGGTTTTGTGGGAAAGGCGGGTGCATTCCCTCCCTTTGATAGAAAACGGAGCTGTCCTCCCCTGAGTGTCGGCCCCAGAGGCAAAGTAGATAAAACATGCTTTTGTACGTATTCATTTTCTCACCTAAGGAACCAACTCGAATATTACTTGGTCATGTTTCAAAGAGAAGGAGAGTTGGAACGGGGTACAATGAAGTTTTGGCTAATGAGGAATTTGCTTATGTCCCCTTATTGGAATCTTTAGAACAGTTGCTAAACCAACCATCTGTTCTTATACAGGTAAGTCCTTAACCACAGTCCATACTGTATATGTAATACTATATTTTCATAGTCTATAGTTCATAAAAATTACCCCTAATCCGGGGCGCCGGAACAACGGGGGCAGTCACCCCCACTGCCCTTCAATTTGCCTACCAGGGAGAGAGGGGCAAGCCTTGAGCCTTTTGCTTAATCACCATTTAATCATGATGCCTACTTTCGCATTGAAACTAACCGATGATATTATTCATCTTCGTGCGGTTGCTATAGTGACATGAATGTGCCCTTTTCTAAAACTCCGCCTCCGCCGCCCTAAACTGCTTCAGGAGCCTCTGTTCCTAATACTAATTAAATAATCTATTTTTCCATGAATTTTCACTACTAGGTTTTAAACGGACATGCAAGCACCGATGGCTACATGAGAGATTTCTGCGATGGCCAGTTATATAGATGCCACCCCTTACTATTAAGAAATCCACAAGCAATTCAAATAATTTTATATTATGATGAATTAGAAATTGTTAATCCACTCGGAAGTAAGACTGGAAAGCACAAACTTGGTAATTACACTCATACAATATTTTCAATTTCCAGTAAACATTCTACACATTAGCATACTGTATAAGAATATTTTGCGAGCATTAGCTGTATCTTTCCCCGCACTTAGTGCCGACTGCTCAATTTGCGTTACTTGTAGGTGCTTTCTACTACACATTGGCCAACATACACCCTGAACACAGGTCCCAGCTTCAGGCAATCCAACTGGTTGCACTTGTTACTGTGCCCCTTGTTAAAAAGTATGGAATAGATGCCATATTGGAGCCGTTTATGAATGATCTGAAGGAACTTGAGAAGGTAACATGCGTTCCAGCAGATAAATTGAATACAAAATACAATTAGACCTCAAGCTGAAAAATCTCCCGTAGGATGAGGGGCATGGATTTAAAATTGATGGCAGAATACAACGACTACAAGGGACAATCGTTTACTGCTGTGGCGATAATCTTGGCTCACAACTTCTAGGTGGGTTTAAAGAAGGGCCTGGCTCATATCGAAAGTGCAGAGAGTGCATGGGAACCCTCGAGTTAATAACTTCACAGGTACGAAAAAACAAACCATTTCTTTAATTACTGTAGCCAGAGATTAGCCACGCGGAAAACGAATTCTTATTATAAATATGAGAGCCCGATGGTGAATGCCAAATTATCAATGTTATATGTTTGGCTCTTATATTTATAATAAGAATTATTTCATTACATTAATTTTGGATGCTTGTACTTGTAAAATTAACTAAAAAGTGTCTATGCCATCTGGATCATCCTAAAAAATTACTCGCTGTATACCAATTGTACGCCATGGTTCTGTTTGTAATAACGTCTTAGGGTTAATATTTTCTGATTATTCAGTTCCTAGAGAAGTACTTTGAGTTACGTTCTAAGGAAGGTCACAACCATCAGTGCGATCAAATAGAGCTTAATCCCGACCTCTCTGTCACATATGGCGTCAAGCGAAAGTCCAAGTTGTGTGACTCGAAATACTACCATGTCATTTGTGGCCTGCCTGGTGATGCTATGCACGACATATTGGAAGGGGTATTGCAGTATAGTGCAAGGAGATGTTAAAGCACCTGATAAATGGTGAAAAATGTTTCACATTAGAGCAGTTGAATAGTCGAATACAGCTGTTCGACTATGGTTACATGTATGACCGTGACAAGCCCTCACCGATACAGCCACGCACCCTTGCCAGTGACAACAATAGCCTCAAACAAAAAGGTATTGCTCAATCTTTAAAAACAGTTTATATTCTATACAACATGACAAAATAAATGATATCAATAGTATTAAGTGCTTAAGGCAAAACATTGCCAATCAATAAAAAGATTCATTAATGTGTACAGTAATTGATTGAGGCAGACATCTACTGTAACTTTTAACTACTTGAAATAATTAATAAATGAGTGCAGAGAACTGTTATTTCTGCTAAGTTTGTATTGATTAAACCAAATAATTTGCCTATTAATTTTCTGATTGCTTTGATCGAGATTTAATTTGAGTGCTAATTTTTGTCCATATTTATGTTTAGCGAGCCAAATGTATTGCTTGTCCAAATTCTTACCATTGATGGTTGGTGCACTTGTCCCTGATGATAATGAGCACTGGAAGCTTTTCTGCCTGCTCCTAGATATCGTTGATATTGTTTTTGCAAATATCACTTCTGTGAACGCCATTGGTGTATTGGAGGGGCTAATTGAAGAGCATCATTCTACATTTCTTCGAATTTATCCAGGAAGATCAATCATCCCTAAGATGCACTACATGGTTCACTATCCATCCCATATGATGAGGTATATGTACTTTTGTTATATGCTGCAGTTTAAACCTGAAAACAAAGATTAATAATTAATTTCATGAATACTCAATCAAACTACACATGGCAGCAGAAGACACAAACTAGAGGGAGGGTCTCATATTCATACATTCAATGATAGGCAGGAGTGTAAAAACAATCTATTTCTAAGGCAATTAAAAAGACAGAAAATGGATTTAGCATTATAATCATCCCCAATCAATTATGCTCTTCTGCCACCCTCGATAGGAATTTAATAATCAAGTCCAGCAAATTTACACATAAGTTTATAGTTGTAATACTAACAATTTATATAGTCTGTTATCTTTCACATGTTAGAAAATGAAATTGGCCTTTATTACAAAAATTCTAATTATTATAATTCAGCACTTCTATACACTGTAACTAATAAATTCAAAAAAAAAAAATATACATATATATATATATATATATATATATATATATATATATATATATATATATATATATATATGTATATATATATTCAAAAATACATCATCAAAATACATGTCACATTGCTGTAGATTTGGACCAATGAAAAGAACATGGTGCATGCGATTCGAAGCTAAACATCGGTATTTTAAACGGTTGGCTTCCTTTATTGGAAATTATAAGAATGTGGCGTACACAATGGCAACCCGTCATCAAGGGCAGCAGTGCTACTATTCAAATGTTAATAAAGAAGGAAGTTCATCATTCCTCCAGCGACCAACTTCAATAGGTAATTATACAATCCAATTCATATAGGTGTATAGAAAATGGTTAATTCACTTACATAAATTTTTGCACTTTTATAGGAAGTGGACAAACAGTTGTAGCTCAGAGAACTGATTACTATGCTGATTTGCAAGCTAAAGAGGGAAACATATTGACTGTTGATACTTTTTATGAGTAAGTAAACTGTATTATTATACTAAATAATGAAAGATCTAACCCTTGGCATAATATTTTGCACACATACATAGTATTAATTTTTTCACAGTACTGGGAGAAAAATACATAATGAATATTACTTTTTAACACCCAGCTTTTATATACATACAATACCGCGATAATGATTGAATAATATTTCATTTACCACATGTTTTATAGGTCTCAAAAAGTTACTATCAATGGTACTGATTACATGGTTGGAGCAATTGTAGTCACTGGTTACTTACGTGAGCAGGAGGCACCAGAATTTGGTCTTATTACCAAGATTATATCTCTGCCAAACAAATCCTATTTTCAGTTGAAGAAGTATGTTGCTGTACAGTTCAGTTATCATTTCCATGCCTTTGAAGTAATTGCTGGTGAGGAGCCTCCAACCTTAGTCACCAGTGAAGATCTTTTTATTCACACCCCAATGCATCTAGTTCATCCTATCAGTGCAGAGGGAAGAAATGCTGCTTTTTATGTTGTGATACCTTACAGCATGTCCATTCACACATAACTGATACATATTATATATATGTATATATCTATGTATATATAACCATGTAGATTAAATGGTTATTAAATGGTGTTAGCAAGAACATGCCAAAAGGATTTCTGTGTTGCAAGCTGGACTGTTACAAAATATTCTCCTGCTATATAGTAATGGTATTATATATATATATATATATATATATATATATATATATATATATATATATATATATATATATATATATATACTAGTTATAATAGTTGTGCATGAAGTTATATGTCTTAAAGTTATGTCAAAACATACAGTCATGAAGGTCTGTTCAGTGTTCAGACAGGTACACATTCCAAATTTCTGATCCAATGCTGTTTCTCATTATATACTTTTAGGACATAGTTATAAATTTGATACCATCAAAACCATTATTTACCAGGAATGCATTATGGTGCATGTCTTGATTATATAATATCCTCGTTCGAATACACTCAGTCAAATAGGGAAATGCGTGTCTGCGGCAACAATGTTTCTACAGTACTCAATTAGACTCATGACAAATATTTGGTTCTGTATAGAACACTTCATGGAATAAACATTTGCTAATTTAGTAATTATTGAATCTACACGCACACGTTTTGAAATGTCATTGACACACATTTAACATATGTCCTTCAACCATATTTATAGTTTAAGCGAGTATACAATAAAGTATTAAACAGCTTACTATAAAAGAATAACAAATTCAAAACCACTTACGTTTTAGTTTTTACCCGATGACAATGTCAAAACATGACGATATGAGTCAATGACTTTTCTCCGTATGTCTTGTGTATTTCATATTTCACCTTTATATAACTTTTCGTCGACAAAAATAAACCATTGCGGATTTTTGTGAACATTGATTAATAATTTGGATCGGCAGAGGTTGCTGGAGGTGTGTCTTGTGATATTAAAAATATCACAGAAGTTTGGAAAGTTAAATTCATTTAATCATGAGTTAACTGATAACTGCACTCCTACGCGAATCCGCCATTTTGAATTTTCAACTAACCAATTGTTAATTGGTCACATTTGTGCCGTCAAATTTATAACTATTTATTAAATAGTTATAAATTGTTAACCAATAAATAATCCTTTGTAGTAATCAAAAAACAAATGGTTGAATCAACCAATTGCACTTGACCAATAAATTTTAGGTTCGATTAACCAATTTTAATTGGTAGCTAAGAAAAAAATTGGTTATTTTAACAAAAATTTTTAACAGTGGTAGGATTAATATCTCTTTAATGTAAAAATTAATTTATGATATGCATGAGCAGTGAAAAAAAAAATATATATCTTCCATGCACATTTTAATTGATGTTAAAATCAATTTTAATGTATCCGAAAATCTCGTCCATATTGTGCATGTGAAAATTTGCTAGTGGGCAATTAGTTATTGTTTTTCATGTTGTTTTTGACGCTTTTTATCGATTTTTTTATCGCTTTAGAACATTTCAAAATTTACCGTAATTTCTTCTGGGAGAATGCTTTTGCGTTTTTGAACATCAATTTTGATTCATTCATGAAATAGTTTACAAATATATATATTAAAGAGATTTCTATATTGAAAATAAAAAATCTAGGGCGCGCGTGAGCTACAATGATTCGTTACACTGATGGCAGGTGTTTTTGCCCTTTTAACAGTAGATTTACGAATATCAGCGAATGTTTAAAGTAGGAAATAAAAATATCAAATAAAGCTTTTGCATGGATTCTATGAATGATAGTGTTGCATTACAAACTCACAATAGTTAATTTTAGCTATAAATACTAAAAAAACTATATACTTTGAATTTTAAGATCAAGAGCAACGTCGAGGGATTGATTGAACAATTTTATTGCCAAGCCCACCGGCACGGGTTTTTACGGTTCTGACTTATTGTTTGTGACCCACAAATTGCAGCTAAACATGTACATTGAGTTATTCGTATGTCTTCATTGTATTTTTCATCATAATTAAACAGATAAATCAAGTCAGGCAGAATAGATCAAATGAAAATTCCGAATCAAAAATTATTTTCTCGACAAAAAACATCTGGAAATGAATAATTCTATTTAATATGATAAATATAATTTATAGCTGATAACAACATTATGAGATTTTGTTCGGGTGAGATGACTGATTTATTAACATCATCTGTTATAACTTATGTGAATAAAAACTTTACCTAAAGTTTTCCGTAATATTTTTAAACCAAAAATTTGTTTATAAGGTTCGAACTCTAAAAGACATGAATTATACACATGACATATACATGCACTAACTACACATTATAACTTGTAGATTCTGTCTCAACCTACGAGTTTCACAACGTTGTTTAATGTTCAAACACATTGCAGGCTTTGTGCGTACGTTTTGCTGTCCCGTCGCTTTCCGTCTTTCGTTTTGTGCGGTGAGTGCGGACTGAAGGGAATTCACTTTCGACTTTGATAGAAATCGAGGGCAGAACGTTTCTACCGTTAGTTGTAATCTACTATGCATATACTTTAAGAAGGACGACCACCTAACCGAAGAAAATTTAGCAACTATCAGGGCCGCTGCTAGCGCGACAATCCCATGCACCGTGCAACTTTTAATTTATTAGAATAATCATTCATATATTTGAAAATCGTTTGATGTTATTTTCCTATGCAACAGTGATAAACTGCTCTAGTGAACAATTTGGCTGTTAAGTGTTTTGCGTTGAACACATTGCGCTTAGCATCTTTGCAGCTTCCTTTCGTAACATTTTTTTCATCCAAAAGAATATCACAGAGTCGACACTAGACATACTAAAGGCAAGTGTGATAAGCCAAGTGAAGGTTGTCAGGCTGTTAAATTGATTCAAGCTTTGAAAGACCTGAGAAGCAAGCGATGGCAAAAACCCCAAAGTAAAAAAAGAAATGACTACAATGAAGCACGATTTAGCTTGCTTGATTTCCTGAAGGAATATTTTTCATGTTTCTTCCTGAGGTAGCATCATGTGGTCTGTGTACCGAATGAGCCAACCTTCTGACGACCAGATATATTCTCGTGTAAGCAAATGCGATGAATGTGAGAACAGATGATGCTATCACTGCTGGGTATATTCTCACAAAACCGTTGCTAAACTTAGGAGGCAAAGAAGTGATAGTGAAATGCATTGCAGAAGTGGAACACATAAATATCAGCAGCCTCTTCTTCGTCACGAGAGTAGGGTAAGCGTAGGGATGCAAGATAGCAATGTATCTCTCCGTCGTCATCGCAAAACTCGTTAATATTGACAATCCAACTAAAACCATTGTTGCTTTCAATGCCGCTGTTGCGAGTAAGCATGTCGACCCCCCATTCAGCACATTTACTATCATAAAGGTGACAAAAAGAGGTATTCCCAACACACCAACTGCCAAGTCAATCACTGATTGCATCAAAACGATGAAATAGCAAGGCTTGCTTCTCAGTTGAGACGATCTCCAAATCGTTATGATTGGAACAACGTTGAGAATTATCGCAAGAATAATCAAAATAATGTCAACCACTATGACGAGAATGTAATTGACTGTCACTCGATCGGACGCAAGATATGTTATTTCGGAAAACGTAGTTCCAGGTATGTTGCATTGTGTTTCAAAAACCTCGCGTTCGTTCGTCAGGTTCATTTTGCCTTGTTATTCTTCAACCATGATAAGAGGGGGATGAATAATCGACCTAGGAGCATTATTGTTTATTACTTCTAATTACATCATAACTTTGATGGGCGTACGGCAGTGTAACATTTTGAATAAGAATAGCACAGTAGATTACCCGCCCCCCCATATAGCGAGGAAAACACGCAACGCGTGGACCCCACGCGGGACGTCGGAAACTGTCGGATTTTTCTAAAGATTTGCGTGGTCTCCACGCGCGAGTAGAATAATGCGCGGGCGCGAGGAATGGGGTAAACAATGAAGCGTAAAATACGTATAATAGCGTAAATACGCACGATATGTTTGTTTGACAGCAGTTTACTCAAATTACACAAATGCCGGTTTATTTATCACACAGTAAAGGCGGATTTCCACTTACAGCGCAATCGTTCGCTAGCGAAATATTCGCATATTTTCTTTTGAATTTTAACAGCATAAATAAATTCGTTCGAATTGACTGTTCCGAATTCAAAAGAAAATATGCAAATATTTCGCTAGCGAACGATTTCGCTGTAATTGGAAATCCGCCTTAAGAATTTGCGAAGAATGTATTTTATTTTACTATAGGGTTACATATTTGTACGTAGATTTTAAGTATCATTAGAATCTTGTTCATTCTATATAAAGATTCGTTTTCTGTGTATGCTTTCTTTTGTGATACAGTTCAGGTCATACGTTACCTTGCATGATTGTATCGTCCTCATATCATGTCAACATGTCATTGACACACGAATCATTTTCATACATCAATTTTCATATTATCGAGTTACTCAAAGAGTCAAAGTGTACTAACTTGCATGGAATATGAGGTGGAATATCGGCTATAAATTTTGTGGGATGAGCAGATGCTCGTAACTGCTCATGCATGGGCAGATGCTCATTTGCTCAATGAGATATTTCATACCCACTTGAAAATTTTGTTGATAAAATGAAAATATAGCTATGAACTAGCGGCCGGAAAAAAGAAAATTTAAGGCATGGGTTAACGATTTTAACATTCATTTGTCTTGCAATTAGTTACAGCAATAAATAATAATTTCCCCTAAAACGTTTTATTTTTTTATGCTCGTTTGCCATGGTTTCCTTAAGAAAGGTTCGGTAAACCTTTGCATTTGGATTAAATTTACAGTCTAATGATCGTCATCGTCATAATCTTCACTGTTTTTTTTTTCCTCGTCATCTTCAATCTCGTGGTCGCTTATAAGCCTTTTAATAAGAAACTTTCTCTTATCAACTGCAGCTTCTATTGCTTCGTCTGGGTCAAAATCATCATTTTGAATAAACGCATCTTTTGTGTGCAGTATTTTCATATGTACTGGATCTTTCTTTAGTTGTCTTATCCACAAAAGGCGCTCTAAATAGATATTTTCTAATTCTTTCTGGAGTCTAGGCATAATATTCAAGTAAGCTTTCTCTTTAGCAGATTGCTCATCGAAACTTCTGTTTATGAGGCGCTCTTTCATTTCTTCGCCTTCCATCTGCTGTGTTACTTGTTTGTTTTGCTTCTTCTATTAGTGGTATCCAGGGATCCATTTGTTCTCCAGATTCTAGTCAGTCGTCGTTGAGCTTCCAGACTGCTGAGTAGAAGTTGTTGAGACATCGTCACGGAAATCTCTTAAATCATATAATACTTTTTAATGTATTATATTAATGTATTGTATTATATTAGGTATGTATTATTATTTTTTTCTATGTTCGTGGAAATGTGTAAACTTCGGAGGCATCTAAAGTTTGCAAACACGAACATTTCGTACGATCTGCTAACGTTTTCTTAGCATTTTAAACACTCTTTACAAATTAACATCCCTCAAATTATAATTGCACGCATTGCAAGTATAACAGTACCTTTAGTGTGAATTATTGTGTTGAAGATTTAGTGAAATTATCGATAAATGTTTAACTTTTTATACTACCTATAGCTTTTGATTAAAATTCTCTTTGTTGAAAATGATAAATTAATAAAATCCACATAATCAGTTTAGTCGTAATATAACAATGATTTTAGAACGAAGCAGTTCTCAAACAACATGGTGTAATTTCTAATCTACTGCTGTATATTTCACTGTAAATTTTCTTTAAAAGACAGGAACGTTTCCATGTGTATAAAGCGGACGAATGGCTTCGCGCTATTACACAGCTCTTCTTTGAGGGTTTTGTTTGCTCAATCTGTCTGAATGGTGTTTCAAGAAATGCGATGCAACAAATGTTGATGTGAAAACAACAAACATTTTGTTTGGGATGCTTCATCGACAGGGCCGATGCCGTGCAGCCCGTGCAAACCGAAATTGAGTGGATTCACTGTATTGTAAATGGGACTATAGCGTACAATTGGTACAAAAGAAATCAGTTGGACGAGTACATGAATATGCACCACTCTAAGTAGGACTTGCAGCCACGGACCTTAAACAAGGGGGTCTAGACCTCGCACATTTTCCCGTCTGTCAAGATAAACCACCCTTAGAAACGCTGAAAATAGCCACGGGATGTAAGCCCATCCTATCGTTTATAATAACTTCCTCGTGTATAATAATAAGGCTGGCAACTCTCTCGCAAAAAATATAATACATACATTAATACCATCGCTTAAAACAAAAATACTACGCTAGTTTCTTAAAAAAAAACTACATACAAAACACCTTGGATATATTGACTATATTTATCTGTCGTTTTTAGACTTGAAAAAAACTCTAAAATGCTCAAATTTTGCGAATTAAAAGTGTATTTTCGTTGAGATTTTGCGAAACAGAGGCGGGATATAGTTTACTCGACAAACGTCATCATCGGAGAATTCGTCGGCAAATTTCTGATTGGCTGTGGCAAGTTCGGAAAATTACGAAGATCTTTTTTCTTGATTGAGTTGACCTTCGTAATTTTCCGAACTTGCCACAGCCAATCAGAAATTTGCCGACGAATTCTCCGATGATGACGTTTGTCGAGTAAACTATATCCCGCCTCTGTTTCGCAAAATCTCAACGAAAATACACTTTTAATTCGCAAAATTTGAGCATTTTAGAGTTTTTTTCAAGTCTAAAAACGACAGATAAATATAGTCAATATATCCAAGGTGTTTTGTATGTAGTTTTTTTTTAAGAAACTATCGTAGTATTTTTGTTTTAAGCGATGGTATTAATGTATGTATTATATTTTTAGCGAGAGAGTTGCCAGCCTTATTGTAATTGTATACATATATAATAGCATGACGTAACAGCAGTGACCGGGCTGCCTGTGGTATAATGAGGTGTTTAAGACTATAATTATTAGCAAAAGGTCACGACCTCAAATCACAAGACTTGTTTCGCAATTTACATTTTCCTGGATATACAGTTTCGATTCCAAGTAAACATTGATTGCCAAAGCGTAAACTGGACTAGAACAACTTTGTGTTGGTATATATTCTTATCTGTGTTCTTAAAGAAAGCCAACTGCGAAAAAGTTTGTTCAGGTTGATTCACAAAATGTGACTTAGAATTGGCGAGGAAACGTATGGCTTCAGGTTACGACACAGCTCGTTTAAAATCAGTCTTCGACGAAGGTTTTGTCTGCGCGATATGTCTTGGTGTTTTAAAAGATCCGATGCAATGTGAAAGCAACGAACATTATTTTTGTTCGGGATGCATCAAGGAACATCTAGAGAAGACCTCGCACACTTGTCCGGTGTGTCAAGATAAACTGACCGTAGAGACGCTGAGAAAAGCGCCGAGAATTGTCGAAGATTGTGTGTCTCGTTATAAGATTACTTGCGACCACGAAGGAAGAGGCTGTGCTGCAGTTCTCGAGATCGGAGCTCTACAAGCACACATCCGGGACTGCGGCTTCACGCCTGTCTCTTGTTCAAACGATGGTTGTGAGGATGTCGTCAACAATCAAGATGTGGAACAACACCAGACCAAGTTATGTCGTTACAGGACGACAAACTGTGTTGACTGTGGAGAAAGAATGGCTCATCACAAGTATGGCGGACACGGCTGTGTATTACGACGAGATGTCGATGAAATGAAGAAAGATCTGGCGGAAGTTAAAGCTACGCAAAATGAAATGATGAATGAGATGAGAGAAAGCATGAAACGAATGACGACCGTGATTAAAAAGCTGAACAGTGCAGTTCATTCCATGGCTTGTGATATTGTTGTCATCGCTGGTCGAGAACCCAAAACAAACAAGCCCCTTTCTTCCGTCGAGCGATTCAATCTGTTCAACGAAACCTGGACCCCACTACCCGAGTTGAGAATAGCACGATATCTCCATGCAGCTGTTATGTTTGGGAGCCAACTGCTTGTTTGTGGCGGTTTTACCGCTGGAAATCTTAAAGATCCCACAGATAGCATAGAAGTATTAGAATTGAATGGTAATCCTCCAGAATGGAAAAAGTTTGCTGTCAATCTTCCTATTAAAGTTGCTGGTCACAAGTGCGTGGCTCAAGGGAATCGTTTGTTGATTATTGGCGGTGGTAATCGAGAGGTGATTTTGGATACGATCTACGAGTTGCTTCTTGTTCCACCTTATTCATCCAAGCTGCTTTGTCACATGAAGAAGTTTCGGGCTAACCATGGGGTGGAGCTATTTGACGATAAAGTTCTCATTGCTGGTGGACAGAGAGCGGGAACTGGCGTGGAAATATTCGACATAGCAAGAAGTCAATGTACTGAAATGCCGCCATTACCATCTCCTGTCTATTGCATGGAGACAGTTCGTCGTGATGAGACAATGCTGTTGATTGGAGGAATCGGCAAGGATTGGCAATGCAGCAATGAGATTATCCAGTATGATCCCGATTCTGGCCGGAGCAAGGTTTTATTGATCATGGAAAAAGAGCGAGTGTTTTCTTCGGTTGTCTTACTTGAAAATACGCTCGTTGTGATTGGTGGTGTAAAGAGAGATACAAAGGCAGTGGACTGTTTCAACTTTTTATCAAATTCTTGGAGGAAGTTGCCCTCGCTCGCTGGGGCGCGTTTTGAAGCTTCGGCAGTTGTTGTGAATAAGAGTTTTGGATTTTGAGATTTGGTTAACCAGTTAAATGAAAAATGACAAAATAATTACGATTGGTGACATAATTAAGAAAATAAAATGGACGTTAAACGTTAAATCAAGATACATGGTTATGTTTGTACATATTGACGAAATCAATCTCATTTTCCTTAACAGCAGCGAGACCAGGAGCCAGAAGCCGGTTGTTCGAAATGTGGTTTAGGTTATCCATCGGATAGTGAATCTTTTAAAAGTTAAAATTATCCTCACCCCTTGGCATGGCCGAGATTAAACTTCGAAGTTTAAACTAGTTTCTAACGATAATATAAGTAGCTTTATCGTTTTTCAAAGCTATTTTACGACGGTTGAAAAACCCACTATTTAGTGGATAACTTTATCCACCTTTCGAACAACCGGCCCTAGTTGTATAAAAAGACTAGTTAACTTTTAACTGTAGTTAAGGCATAAGTGGCCGATCAGAGTCGCGTATTTCTGAGTTAACTAGGATTTAACTATATGCAACGTGTATGCAACGTTTAACTATATGCAACGTGATTTCTGGCACTTCTCTCGATAGAGGCAAAAATTCTATTAATTCCTGGCTTCAATTTGAAGAGTGCACAGTTCCACTCGAAATTAAGACCCTTTGAACCTCTAGAATTTATGCAACGTGTAGCTAAAGAGTTTTATACAACCGGTCCCAGCCTGATAATTTGTGCTGTTATATATGTTAATATTTTTGTGTTCATTCACCCGCGAAGACAATAAATTTTTAAAGACATCAATTATTGCAGGCTGGATACGTCACTGTTCCTTAACATAATTTTAGCCGCTGATTTTATTTGTTATATAGAGATATAATTATCTAATTGAGATTTTCATGTCAAAACATGCAATGAATTAAATGTCTTAATAAATTTTAATGTCAAACGCACGGATGTGTAAAATTGAAAGCAACGACTTGACTTACACTAATCATGCATTCAAATTCCAGCAGAATAAGGGATAGATTTTTAATTCACCCTCGTGTATAAAATAAAATATGCTCATTTCAACCATTCTTGACCAATTTGCTGCTGATAGCAACTGTTCCCGCCTTGCGTGAGCAGAAATTTCAAGATATGCAAATCCTTAAAATTTTGTTTTATCAGCACAGCATGATAACGTCGCCATGACGCGCCATTCTTGTAAGTTTCTCTGCCATGATTGACGTTCGTCATTAAAATCCCATTATACATATATATAGATGTAAACGAAGCGTTTCTTAGTTTACATTACTTCTGTGACCCACCTCTCTTTCGCTCTTTCTGAACTGAAAGAGGGAAACATAAGCTCACCACAAAGCAAATCTGGGAACAACTGAAGAAGATCTTGCACACTTTTTAGTGTTCAAAATCGTTGAAACCACACAGGTGTTCACAAAGGTTGGTGAATGCTTTTTGCTATATTTTTTACCTTAGTAGTGTCTTTCACATGTTTGTGAGACACTGCTGTTACACGCTTTCGCCACAAAGTATATTATTTTAGAAGCATTCTATGTTAGCGGGAAAATTAGCAGTCTTCTATTTAAAATTTGATGCAGCGGGATTATTTTGTTATATGTTTTAGAGCCTCCGCAGACGAGCGGTTTTGTTGTGGAAGACTATTGACGTCTAAAAATTGACGTCTGTAAGCTTTTAGTTGTCGACAATTAAACAGTCGATATTTAGTTGTCGACAACTAGCGAGTTTCCTCATCGTTGGTTGGCGACGACTATTTCTGACGACGCCGGAAGAATTTGAAAACGCAAAAATATTTCTCCATTAAAATATTAATCCGCGTCCACACGTAAACACAAAACGAGCTGAAAATGCTAACGTTATTTGATCCCGCAATACACCTTCAAATCAAAAATCCGCCAAATCCAAAGCAAAAAATAAGAAAGAATATTTCATTATAGGGTCCGTTCCTATAAGCCGCGTTGTTACCAGAAATTTGCGGTATGAAATACGATGAATGTCGCATTGTTAGGAATGCCGTTAGAGGCTATGTTGAACCAACACAATCACAATTATAGTTTAACTTTTAATAATAAAGAGTAAAGTAAAAACGCTAATTCACATTCACTATCGCAATCCCTAATTGATACTCTCAAGTTGAGTGTCACTTCCAATTTGTCTTTAATCATCCGAATTCCTTACTTATTATTGTTTCTCATGCAGTGTTAATTATACCTATGACATTTGCATGCATTATGTTAATTATCATATATCTGCACAATTTCCAACAGCATGAATAGCAATTTGCATTTAACTTTCAACACAGTGGTTTTCTACTTTCACCATACAGTAAAATAAAAAACTCAAAATTGCCGTTACCCTGGACCTTGCCCACTGTTTGCCGGACTCTGGAGCAATAGAACACCGTTTTGCAACGTTTTGATTATCGATCGAATTACTTACCTTAATTTGGTGTTTCTACGTTCACCGGCCCAATTTGTTGTGTTCAAAGGAGTGTGTAGGCTTCTTATGGTTGAACTGCCGATGAGACTGATAGTACTTTAAAGTGATTGCATGAAGAAAAAAGCCGAACTTTACACGAAAATTTATATCCGGGACGATATTTTAAATAGATGTAAATTTATCATACCTATACCTAGGTATTCTAGCCATAACCAGTGATTTTTCTTTACCTCATATATTTCTTTGTTTGTTATTGTTGATGCCAAACACGTGTTTAGAGCATGCTTCCGGCGTGTAGAAAAAGTATTAAGGTTCCTAATGGCATGACATGAACTAGAAATAGCTAGACATCTCGTGTGTAACGCCAAAGAAAGTTTTTGAAAATATTTTTATTCATATTCATGCGTATCGTTGCGAATTACCAGTGACTCAGATTTTCACACAATATGGACCTTAAGATTGACGTTTACGGCACATAGCTAACAGCAAAGGGCAAATTTCAAATCATTTTTGGGCAAACTTCACCAGTTTTTGCCTGCCAAGTAGCTAATTCATTTTCATAGACCAATTGCCCAAACTTCCAACAGCCAACAGTTGGCCTCAAAATATGATTTAAATTCGCAGTTTGCGTTTGGTAAAATATCATAGTAAAACGTCGGGATGACGTTGTAAATTTCCAGAGGAGTTTAACGAATCTCTTATGAAAATTAAGTACAAACATGTTTTGTTTTCATTTTGCAGGTAAAATGATCATGAAAGGAATAAAGGAGTTAGTCCTTTTGATAATAGGATGGTTATTGTTCATGCTCGACGTTGGCACAGATTGCTACGTCGCTCACCAGTATAGGCTTCAAGGGGAGGAAGGATGGTTTGATGTGACAATAACATTCATCATTATTCCCTTATTCATCGTAAATTTGGTGGCGTGCTATCAAACGCATAAGTATCGCACAAGTAATCTTATAATCTTGGGAACTTGTCTTCCTGATCCGGATGAATCACCCTATTGCTTCCTAATGATGTTTTTTGTACAATTCACAGTGTTCTCCATGTTTGATCGTTATATCCAAGAACTGGTACTTTGGAAACGAAAATATATCGATTGCCCCCCTTGTTGCAAAGACTATAAAAGATGCAACTGCGAGAAATGCAGAATTTTTTCCGAAGTTGTAAGCGAATCTAATCGGTCAGCGTACCGACTTGCATGGATAAGTTATACAGAGACCCTCTTGGAATCGATTCCGCAATGGTGCCTACAAGTTTACGTCATGTTAAGTCAGTGGTCTTTCCCGAGGAACACCGTGCTCTCGACGGTAGCTGCTATGTTATCTCTAGCGTGGTGTAATACAGCTCTTGAGAAAGCAAGAGCAAGTAAGTATGGCCACGATCTCAACGTGAAATCACAAATTTTATATTTCATTTCACAACTCGCTGTTATTGTGGCTCGACTCATTTCAATAGTAACGTGTGCGTACGCGATAAAAACCTTAATATTTTTTATGCTTATATTCCTCTGGCTTACTGTGAGTTTAATATTGTCATTCATTTTCTGTTGCTACATGATTTTCTCGTGTTGGGGTGAAAGAAAATGTTGCGACACTTCGGCAAAAGGAACTTGCAAAAGGTTCTTGCTCACCTTACCGCTTACATTTTTTGTATCTGAGACTGCTCTCGAGTCACTCGGTTTTACAGCGCTTTGGATAAAGATGTTCCTGTTTGTCGAAAAGTCATTGGAGAACCTATTGATGTTAGTCATAGCCACTGACACTCTTTTTTCTTTGCCTCATATGTGTATTTGGATGATAATCGCGTGGTCAGTGTTTGGAGTGGGCACCGTCTCTGGTTTCATTTCTTTATACGCACGTCATTTGCATAAGCGGGCAGAGGGCCATGCAAGCCCTAATGCAAATAGGGTCTGGCCTCAACTGACTGACGTACATGAATCAGGCACGACCTCTGTGACAATTGACAGGGTATTTGTCGCGTAAAGCACCACCGATAATTATGCGTCATAAATTTAACTTTTAATATATAATCTTTGTCTTATTAGCACTATACTTCGGTATATCGAGCACTCAATAATATTTCTATAGCGCCATCTCCCATAGCTCAACCGCGCTTTACAATTATTAGTTTTAGCATATTAATAATTTCATATATTTACAACAATCTTTTTTTAAAATTTAGTATAATATATTATCACAACTATGTAAATTAAATTAAAAGAAATACTAATTAATAATAAGGCTAGGTAATTAAGACTACTTAAAAGTAGTTACTAAACTTTACGACACGATAATTAAGACTCCTAAAAACTAGTAACAGTTATCAAGTATAAAAATTTTGGATTAAAGACGTCTTCAATTTTGTTTTAAAGACACCTATGTGATTGTAAACACATATTCGACAATAGAAAACCCTTGTACATATAATTATGCACGTTATAATATATAAACAATATATGTATATGTATATCCAGGTGATCTGAAATGGCGGGAAAGGACTAGGCTAGTTGTCATATAAAAATCCATTTCTCGGTTGAAACAACTTAATATCTCGTGAGTATACTTTATTTCGGTTTCAAATTTATATCAGAGCTATAGTTCTTATAACTAAACATAATCACAAAATTTCGAATGGTTCCATGAAGAATAACTAAAGAAATAATCGATTAAACACTGCAGAATGGATTTCTATTTTCACAAACTTTCTGAGCGCTGATTGGCTGAAATATGTGTGCGAGATCACCTGGTATATAACTAAATTTACATATTGACAAAATCAATTTCATTTTGCAAAATATCATTTTAACATCATTCTGATTTCATTTGTTATTTATACAACTATAATCTAATTGAGACTATCCTTTTAAAATATGCAATGAAACTTTAAATTATGAGCGTACACAAGGGGTTAGACTCGTTCAGCGAAAACGTGGCTAAATCGGTGGCTTCGTATGAATGAATATGCGAAAGACGCAACAAAAATATGAAATTTTGTAACTTGAACCAAACCGATTAAGGCAAATGCAATCATTATACAAGTTGTACGTATAAAAAGGTACTTCGTGTTTCAACTGTCTCATTTTGATAGAATTTCATTAAATGTAATAATACATTATTATGTCAAACCCAAAGATGAGAAAAATTGGGATCGAAACCATGACTTACAATAATCATGCATTCAATTTCCAGCCAAATACGGGATACTTTTTTGACACATCCTGTATAAATAAAATATGTTCATTTCAACCATTCTTATAACCAGTTTGCTGCTGATAGCAGCTGCAAATTATTCGATTTTTGATTTATCAGCACAGCATGATAACGTCGCCACGACGCGGCATTCTTTTAAGTTCC